TACATAATCGTTGTGCTTACGTAACTGCCACGGACCCGTGGATCTAGTGGGCGCCACCCGTAACTACGTCATAACCGGTGACATAATCTTTACAACGTAATATCGTAGAAAAAAACAGATTCAGGCCGGTGAAGCACGGTCGGGCCAGGGCGCCCAGAATTCACAAAAAGGACCCAAGTACAGTGGAGACCGAAATCAGTGTCCGAAATTTTGATGTCGAAACAATCTTAGCACGGACCATTTTTCGATGAGTGGGGGCTTGCACACTGTGCTCGCCCATTGGCAACGTACTCGTACCAGCCTAAAAACAAAGAAAAAAAAGGCTGAACTAAGTTCATAACGCTAAGCCTAAACCGGGTCTGCCTTTCTCGGCGCTTACCTATATGAGGGACAGTGCCACTCGCGGCCCGTCAAATGAAGCCCCGAGGAAGAAGTTTCTAATACATATAACCGGCCAGTTTCACGAGATGGAAGGGCTCCCAAGCTGACCTCGGCAGTGACAGAAGCGAGTCAAGCGCTGATTAATATAAAGGTCCACTAAAAAGGTACGAGAACCTTCCCCCGGGCGCAGCACCCAGTATACCTTGAACGTGGCCCCTAAGACCCCGAGAAGGTGCAAAGATAAAAAGAAAAAGAAACTCAAAGTACCGTACGTTGCAGATCAAGTATAGCAGAGATATATAATTGAAAAGCTAAAAGACGAAGCTCATATCCTGCTACCGTCAAGTTAACCAACGCCCGAGAAGATACTTGCCTATACACGCTAGTTATAGCATGTCGCTCCCTCTTGATAAGTCCAACTGCAGGGTATGGAAAACTCGGCCCATAAAAATGACAACGCTGCCTGAAACAAACATAAATGAGCTCTGATAGTCTGGGTGGAGGTAGAGTAGCTCTTTGCCATTGTTAGTGATCCAAGACCTTGTGGCGGAAATGTGATGCGAACACCGGCAGTCGGAGTCAGGCAACTGTAAAATTCCCGAATCGGTAATAAGATGTTTACCACAAGAGGAAAAGGACAAAAACCGTAGAGTGGGTTTTTGGCCTTGCAACACATGCCGCTCGGCCCCTGTAGCCGCATCCCATACGCGGACCGTCTGGTCGTCAGAGCCCGATACGATGAGCCGGCCGTCCGGCGAGAAGGCGACGGCGTAGACCGACTTCGAATGGCCCCGGAGCACACGCCGCTCGGCCCCTGTAGCCGCATCCCATACGCGGACCGTTTTATCGCGAGAGCCCGACACGATAAGCCGGCCGTCCGGCGAGAAGGCGACGGCGCAGACCGAGTTCGAATGGCCCCGGAGCACACGCCGCTCAGCCCCTGTAGCCGCATCCCATACGCAGACCGTCTGGTCGTAAGAGCCCGACACGATAAGCCGGCCGTCCGGCGAGAAGGCAACGGCGCAGACCAAGTTCGAATGGCCCCGGAGCACACGCCGCTCGGTCCCTGTAGCCGCATCCCATACGCGGACCGTCTCGTCGTTAGAGCCCGATACGATGAGCCGGCCGTCCGGCGAGAAGGCGACGGCGTGGACCGACTTCGAATGGCCCCGGAGCACACGCCGCTCGGTCCCTGTAGCCGCATCCCATACGCGGACCGTCTGATCGTAAGAGCCCGACACGATGAGCCGGCCGTCCGGCGAGAAGGCGACAGCAGAGACTGGACTCGGATGGCTTAGCATCTGCAAATGCGCACTCCAGTCTTCTGAGAGTGCCGGTGCATGTACGATCCACTTAGGGAGATGCCGCATGTAAAGCCGCCGAATAATACTCGCTTCGGGACTAAACACAAGAGCGGAGCAGTATAACTGAAGCGGAGCCTCCTCGATAATTGAGCTGTGGCTTCGTAGGAACCGCTTTGCATCGTAAACCACTGCTCCTAGAGTCGGAGGATTTTGTGCACGTTTAGGCAGGAGCTTGGTGTTCAAGTTGCTAATGAGGCCTCGGAATCTGGTCGTGGTGCTCCTCTTCCTCCTGTTAGCTGCGGGACAGAGTAATAGTTGGGCATACCTACAGGTAATCTCATTTCTAGAAGCTGGAGCATAGCAATCCCATCAGCCAGCCGACCAATTAAGGCGAGTGTCTCCAGCCAGAAGAGGAAGCGAGCCTCGAAAAATTCCGCGATACCACGGTGCTCTTGAAGGTCGACATCGCTCCGCTCGAGATGATAGACCCAGTACCGACAGGCGTACTGGACACTGAATGGAATATTCTTATTCACCTCTGACCTGAGAACGTCGCCAACTCGGATTCCTGGCCATCTAAGGCCGCTCATATCTCGGTGGAGACAACTGGACATAACCCTCAGACAGCATTCGAACAGGTGTCGGTGTGCCTCCGTAGCGTCGATGCAAAACGTCGTGTTGGGACATCTCTGTGAATCCAGCAAAAATTCGCGGAAGGAGGGGTGAAGAAGCCGGATCAGCCTGCCCTCTTCTTCCGGGACATCAAGGAGTGAGTGAAGGCTGTCCAGCGGCCATACAATCGTTTCCTTAGACTGGTTGAGTAGTATAGCAAGGCTCGCAGGCGAAAGAGCGTCGAAGAGCACGGCAATGGTGCCCATGACACGTTGGAAGAGTTCTCGCATCCTAGCCATCTCCTCAGGTTCAAGATCGGCGGTTAGAGAGTACTCCAGCACCATCGTATACATCTGGTCCAGCTCCGTCCCCGCTCCGGCCGGCAACCGCTCGGCGGAAACCAGACGAGCAAGCCGATTGCCGGCAAGAGGCCCTCCCGCGCGGACAAAGCGACATACTGTCGCAGCATAGATGAACAACCCACAGGACTTCTGGACCAGCGTCTGGATCGCGTCGTTAGAGAGAGACGCCGCGTTAAGATAGTAGGTCCGCGCTATTTGACGGAGTTGGTACTTGTAATAGATAGCTAGGTCCTGATCGATAATTGACTGTTCGATATTGTGGAGGATGAAGTCTTGATGCGTATCTGTAGAGATATCGCCAAAGCCGATGTTGATCGGCTGGTCCGGCCTGCTAGTGACGAATATTCTTAGGTCGACGTGCTCGACGGCCCCCGCGGCTGCAAGGCATCGAATCAAGAGCGAGACATCGTCGTTGTTATCACACTCGTCCAGGGCATCTATGACGATGGCCAGCGGGTGAGGGAACGCCTCCTTGCTCAGCTGCGCCAGCGGCTGCAGGATAAGCCTCTCCCACTGGTCGTACAAGCCGAGCCCGTGGATGCGGTGAGTAGCAGCCGCAGCATTAGCAATGTGCCTACGCAGTTGCGGCGACGCCTCCGCAAGCTGGACGGCGATCGTCGCGGCGAACCTGCGTGTAGACGCAAGATCGCCCCCGCCCCTCGAGAAGAAGAAGCTCGCGCCGAGCCGCTTCTTATTGTTATATTCGCGGGCCACCGTCAGCGCGATCGTCGACTTGCCGGTGCCTGCCCAGCCCTTGAGCCAGTATATGTGTTTGTTGCCGCCGCCGTCAGCCCAGCTCCTGATCTGTGTGAGGACGTCGCGGCGCGTGTTGGGGAGACAGGTCGCCACATGTTGCTTGTTCGCCGCGTCGAAGGATGCTTCGGGGAGGCTGTCGAGGCGTTCGAGCGATCGTTCTGAGGACGTGTCGGTGGAATCGTCTGGAGAGAGTCAATTGTTGTTCTATCTACTGTCGGCGTGCAACTAGACGTTGGCTCACGGTTGATGGTAACGGGCCCGTTGACGTAACCCTGGAACAGCAAGCCGCCATGGGAAGCTTCCGTGTTGCCGAAGTGCTGCTCCACATGTGGCCCCGCCTGTGCCATTGCGCTTGTTCAATGCGAACACCAGCAGATGCAATACTGAGAAGAATAATCTTTGCCGCCAAGACCAACGGGCCACCGGACGAAAAGGGACCAAGATGATGGCTATCGGCACGAATCTCCCGTCGCACAAGCCGCTGAAGAGAACACGTGTGCGGGGTAGGTGATACTGTGCCGTCCGCTCCAGCTGAGCAGCCATAAAACAACTCATTACAACTTGCCAACTTGCCAAATGCGAACCAAAGCCAGTCCGACGTCCTGTTCCGTAGGCCATGGATCCTCTTAGTGTCACTGCTAGTGTTATAGCCGTTGCGACTGCCACGTTACAGAGCGCCAAGGCGGTCTACGACATTGTCGATGGACTTATGGATGCGCCACATTCCGTTTCGCAAAGCAAGAGCCTTCTCTCCCAAATCCAGACAACCTTAGGCACTCTGACACGAACACTCGAAACCAACTCAGCATCCGGTGCGGTTGATCCTGTTCTCAAGGAGATAGGGCTCAACAAGACGCTGGAGTCGACACAGTCCCTTTGCCAAGAATTCGCGATTACCTTGACAAGATTTACCAGCCATTCAACGGATTTGCGTTTCAGCACGCGCGACAGATTCATTGTGCAGTTTAACGAGTCGAAGATAAAGAGACTGAATAGGGACTTAGCCGACTGTCAGAGGACAATAACGATGGTTTTCTCCTCGATTACGCTGTACGGTCTCCCACCGCTGAAACTAACGAGTTCTACTGACACTGGAACAGTATCATTTCCTACCTCGCATCCGGGAATATCGATCAGCTTCGGACTCAATTCGACACACAGGAGCGGGCTCTGGCCGACCTAGGCGCACAATTATCCACGAGAGAAGCAGAATCACAAGCCAATGACGACAGCACAGCCGCTGATGAAGATTCGAGCGCACAGTTGACGGCTAGCCTTCGAGATGTCTGCCAAAAGACTCTGTCGGCAACCCGCGTACGGCGAACCGGGCAGAAGTTTAGTGATATGAAGACAGACGACCACTCGGTCGCTATGCAAGGGATAGTTGGTGTGGCACAGCCAGATGTGGACCAGTCGTTCGGCAGCCTGACGACAACCACGAGCAGCCGCGCATTTCAAGGTCAAATGGATTCAAGCTCTTTTGGCAAGCTCTTCAGCAAATGATGAGATTTTTGCCTCTATAACGACAATTTGCTATTAGCCGCGGTTTTGGAACTTGCTTATCTTGACTGTAATGTCGTTGATATTTAAGTGGCTAATACTCAACTGAGCAGTCGTTTCCTATAACAGCTGAGGCAAGTTATCTGTAAAATATAGGTTGTATTTCATCAACAAAAATAACAACGTCTGTGCTGATGAGAAATATAAAGGAATGCTGTGCGGAACCAGTCTAATTAACGCACTCTAGCTTATTATCTAATCCTTTGAGTCTGTTTATGCGGCTGGATAGCATAGAGCTGTATGGTTGGCGTGACTAACGGATGGCGCTTAGCTGCACTCGACCTGTGTAATTCCGCCTATGTGAACTCTTCATCCTGCTTATACGGTAGGAGATTCGTCCTCGTTATCTTCGTCCGACGGCCGGCATATCCCAGTTGCAAATCACTCGTATCCGCTGGTACTGCGTCAACCCTTGCAAATAGCGCAGGCGCGACAATATGGAGCAGCACTTCGGTGATTGTCACGGCGAGGCGCTGCCGAAGAGGGATGGAGCCGCAAGCAGCTATCTCAATTGACTAAAGACAACAAGTACGAGGAAGGAAAGGAGAAAGGGCTAAGGTATGTGCCGTCACAGTATACGGAAGCTTGCGATGGCGGCTTGCTCCTCCAGAGTCATGTAAGCGTTGAAAACGGCTGATAGCTCATACGAATGAGGCTTAGCGTTATTAGTTTAGTTCCGTCCTCTTCTTTTATCTTATATTTTTTTTTGGCCGCCCCGGTACATAACGAATTGGGGAAGCACAGTGTGAAATTTCCCCACTCGCGAAGGTGATCCGTGCTAAGATTATTTCGACATTAAAATTTTGGACACTGATTTCGGTCTTCACTGTACCTAGATTCATGTACACGTTTGCCATCAGCGCCTACATTGTCGGCCCGCCGATGCGGCCAATATAGAGATGGGCCGTTCGGATCGTCGTAATACATCCGCCGATTCCGACCAGTGTCACCACTCGAGGTCCACTCATCATCATACACCAGCCAAAACCCCCCCTCAGGTCCCGGTACACCAGCCGGCATGGTAAACGGATACCACACGTAAAACCCCCCCGCTTGCTTCCCTTCAAACTCCTGTCCGCCTTCCGGTCGACAACCGTCGATGGCTTCGAACAACTCCCGGCTGTACCACCTTTGCGTATTGGGCATGGGCACGACAAACTGCTCTAGCTTCGGCATCTGCGACCCCATGCGCATCAGGCCCCGAAACAGAAACCCCTCCATCTCCTCGCGCTGATTGGGCTGCAACCCGGGGTGGCGACTCAGTCCGATTCTGCTGGACGGCCGCCATTCCAACCGGCGTACGTTGGGGAACGCTTTGGGGATGAACTCCACCATGGTTGTGAACGCGTCGACGGCGGTGTTGTTACGCGAGGCCGGCGTGTAGGGTGAGGCTGGCGTGTACGGCGAGGGGGGCGTGTGCGACAGAAAGTTCTTTACGGACCAGATGACGAGGGAGGAACTGATGTAGAGAGAGGTGATGAGTTGGAAGCTGGCGTCGATCAATCGGTTGGTGGTGGGTTCGAGCACCTGCTGTTTGATGAGATACAGGTAGTCATCTTCGTTGTCGAAGACGAGCCCGTTGGTGGCGAACAGGACTTGGACCACCTCGGGGTAGCTGCACAACGTTGATTAGTCCCTAGTTCCTACATAACATGGCATATACCATGGATAAGTTAAAAACAAGGTAATTAACACCTACGCTCGCTTGCAGCAGAGAAACACCCCCATGACACCCAGCCGCGCATCCTCCGGTATCACGCTACCGTGCGGACCGACCCCTCCTTTACCATCATACATATCCCCCTTGCAACACCCATCCGCAAAGTGCCTCTCACGCCAAACTGCCGAAAGAGAGCCCAGAGCCGGGTTGGTCAGCGCAAACGGCGGTTTGGTCACGTCCTGGTGACAGAAACAGATATGCCAGGACGGCCGCTTCAGGGAATATGGCCCACGCCAAGTCCCAGCCAGACCGAATTTTCGGTCGAGTTTCATGCCTGGCATGGTGCGTCCTGTGCGGCGGCGCGAGGGGAGTTCAAAGAGGGCTAGGCGCAGGTATTCACGGCGTGATAGCCACTTGCGGTTGAGGCCGACACTCATGTGGATGGCGCGGTCGCCGAAGGCTTCGCGCCAGATCTGGTTGCGGAGTTCAGAGGGGAGTTGGAAGAGGGGGGATTGGGATTGCGGGTGGGGTGGTTTTGGTTTGGCTTTGCGGGATAATTTGAGGGGTGACATGGTGATTTGGTGTTGCGATGGTGTGGAAGATTGGGTTGTTTGTTGTTGATGTTGTGTGTTGTTGATGTTGTGTGTTGTTGATGTTGTGTGTTGTTGAAGCTGTCAAGGTGGGAACGAATGATGAGTTAAAGAGGAGGTTGAGAAAGCAGCCAAAATAGGTATAATTATCGGCGGGGTTGTGCATATTAAAGTCAGCCTCACACAACATGCGATTCATGGATATGCACATGACCACAAACACGAGTATCAACATCGCAAACCAACTTAACCAAGAACCAACTCGAAAAGAAAGATTCCAGCACGAGTTCCTTGGGCCGGGATGAATGACGCCCCCTTTCACTCACGTCAAAGGCACCAACATTTAACCTCGGTTTATTCAGAAATCATCGATAAATTATTTAGTCTAAGCTAGCGCTTTGGTGCTGAATTCCTCCGTCCTGACCCTACTCACCACCCAAATCCCATGTCCCGAAAGTAAAAGCGAAAAGTCTACGCTGTGGAAAAAAGTGCAATGCCAATGCCGATGCAAATGCAAATGCAAGGAGTGATCCCAACCATCAGATCAACCCAAATACCCCCGCCGTCCGATGCTTTCGCCCGATCTCCGGATGGTTTATAAGCCATCAAATCGCCTACTCCCGGTTGTCCTCTTTCTGTGAGTTCTCAGCCTCACCGTCCTTGGCTTCACCACCATTGTCGTCTTGTTCCTTCCCCCCCGCGGCGGTGGCCGTTTCGATCACCATTCCATCACTCTCCAATTCATCACGGCCACTCTCATCAACCACCATCCCATCAACCTGCACCCCATCGACCTCCATGTCATCACCATCTCCTCGATCCTCCCCATGCTCATCCCCCCCCTCACGACCCTCCCCATCACCTCGGTCCCCCCCCTCGGGAGTATCCTCCCTCACCTCCTTAACCCCCCTCCACCCCCTAACAACGGCCTTCATCCTCGCAAGCGCGACATACTGCCCCGCCAACTGCCTATCCAACCTCTCCATCTGCTTCTCAATCTCATCCCTTTCCTTCCGTGCCCTCTTCAACTCACACGTCATACGCTCTTGGTCCGCGGCGTGTTGGGCAGATTTGCTGGCTAGGGCTGTGTTGAGGGCTTCGAGGGTTGTGTTGGCTGCTTCGAGGTTTAGGGCGCGGGTCTTTGAGAGGGTGGGGGAGGGTTGGGCTTGGGGGTTGGGGGTGTTGAAGGGGGCGTTGGGGGTTGGTTGGGAGTTGACGGGTTGAGTGCATTGGATAGGCGTGATCGGCACTGGGGCCGAGGCAAGTGCTGGAGTAGGTTGCTTAGACTGGGCCTTGAGAAAGTCCAGTTCGGCGGTATAGGCGTTGAGATTCTGGTTCATCATACCAATGGTAGTCTCATGCGTTTCGTTTGTGCGCTGGAGCTGCTTGTTCACAGCCGTGAGCTCCGTCAGTTGCTGGTGCAACTCCTGCAGTTCCTCCTCGCGTGCCGTGAGACCTTCCTTATAATGTGACATTTCGGCGTTCAGCGAGGCGATGGTGCTCTGTAGTTGCTCGATCTGGGCCTGTTTAGTGGCCGTCTCTTTCTTCTTCTCCTCCTCCAGCACGACCCGCAGTTTCTCAATCTCGGCAAGATGTGCGTTGGCATCAAACTGGAATTTGGCTGCCGCGCTCCGGACAGCTTCCAGGTCTTCTCTCATGTCGTCGGCTTCCTGCTGTTGCGTGATGATTAGGCTGTCTTTGTGTCTCACATCGTCTTCACGCTGCGCCAGTTTGGCTTTGAGTTGCTCCATGACCTCGTCATCTTTGACAACGAGCTCAACCTTCTGGTCGACCCTGGGAGAACCCTGGGAAGCATTCGCCGAGATTGTCCCTGGGTCCTGGCCGAGTCTAGCAAGCTGCTGACGCATCTCAGATTCCCGTGCCTTGGCCTTTCTAACAACGTTGGTGTACTCGGCGCGGAGAGCGTCGTTCTCGCGCTGCAGGCGGGAAACGGCCTCGCGGTAGTGGTCGGTGTCGCGCTGGAGGTTGATCAGCTTATGGTCTGCGGCGCGAGAAATGGCCGTCCAGCGGTGCTGGTCCATATGTAAGGACGATGCGATTCTCTTTTGTTCTTCGAGGAGGGTTCTCACATTCTGAAGCTCGTTCTGGAGCTGCGAAACTGTGGTTTCGGACTGTTGTTTCTCGTGCTGGAGGGTTGAGATCATGCTGTGGTAGGCAGCCAGCTTTTGTTGGTTGAGTCCTTCCTGGTCGGCCGCGTGGACGCCTAACTGCTGGTTCTGCCGCTCATAAGCAACAAGCGTTTCCTGCAACTCCTCCAGCTTCTTCTGCAAGCCCTGGACCTCGGCTAAACGGCCCTGGGACTCCTGCAGAAGGGTGTTCCGCTCAGTATGGAGATTATTAATGATCTCGCGGGTTTCAGCAGCGGCATTGCCCTGCTCAGCGGCGGCCAGCTGATCTTGCACCAGGGCCAAATCCCGGTTGACCTTCTCCAAGATCTCCTCAGAGCGCGCCAGCTGCTCCTCCTTCATCCGCAGGATGTCGGCGGTGTCCTTGCGCTTTGCTGCCATCGCGACTAGACCCTGTCGGACTTTCTCCTCCGCGTCTTTGCACCGGTTCTCGAGCTCAGCCAGCTGCTCGTCCCGGACACTCAGGGTGTTCTTGGTCTCAATCCAACGGGCCTGCATGGCTTGTAACTCCTCTTCAGCTTGGGTACGTGAGATGATGGCGGCGTCGAGTTGGGTCTGGGGATCAGCCACAGTGTGGTGGGTGTTGGTGTTATCCGGGGCTGCGGTGCGGGCTATGGTGAGTTCGTCAGACAAGAGTTGGATGCGGGTCTCGTGCTGCCGGATAGTCTCCGTGGTCTTATTGTGCTGTGCAGTGAGATCCTCCAGCTCCTTGGTGAGGGAAGCGACCTTACTATAGGCTTCAGCGAGGTCCTTTGCCTGCGAAGTGGCCACGTCACGCAGTCGACCGATCTCATCGGTCCCACCCTCGGTGATGGTTCCGTGATCAACCATCTCAACATGTCCGCTTTGTTCCTGATCACGGGCCGGGTTTGAAGCCTCGTGTCCTGAAGCCACGTCATTCCCCAGTTTGTTAGAAAGAGCCGTGTTCAGACGCGTCTTCAAGTCCTTGCAACTGGCCTCGAGGTCCTTCTTCTCAGTGGTCAACCTCTCCATCTCGAGCTGCAGTGGCATAGACTGCGCTGCGAGACTGGCTGCCCATGACGCGTCCTGGTCGTCCATGATTGTTTGAAGCTCCCGGGCGCGCGTCTCTGACTCATATCGGAGGCGCCGCTCCGATGCCAGTTGCTGCTGTAGAGTCTCAACATCCGCGGGCATCGCGGACGGCGTCACGGTAGAACGCGTGGGTGATTGATTGACATTGCGCGCCGGTGTCGGCGACGACTTCGCTGTTGTTTTCTCGACCTTTTTCTTCTCCTTTTGCCGGCGTGCCTCTTCGTGATCCGAGCCAGTATCAGACAGCACAATGGCCGTCTCGGCGGTATTGCTTTTCACCTTCCTGGGGCGGCCACGCGGTCTCTTGGCCGGTGGTCCGGCGGGTTTCGCGTTTGCCGATTGCTTCGCTGGGTTAGCACTGGGAGACAAAGGAAGGAGCGGGAACAAAGCGATCACTGATTCGGGGCTGTCTGATTCACGCACCTTCTCTACCTTGGGTTCCCGGGAACGGGCACGCTTGCTGCCTGCAACCACAATGCAGGACTCGTCGTGGTCAGAGTCGCCATCGAGGACTATTGTTGCCATTTTGCCTCGGATACCTTTGGCACCGGATGGTTGTAAAAAGGTAGGGTTGGGTTGAAGATTGCTGGTGGTGAAATCCCTTGAGCAGGGAAGAAAAGAAGGAAAACGGTTGCTGGATGTAAGGATCGATTGTGGGTGAAAAAATCGCGGGGTTCTTTGGTTGTGGGAGATAAAATAAGGCAACTGTGCCAAACTGGCAACAATGATGGTAAAACCAGAGAGTTGCTCCAAGTGCAGGTGCCTGTAGCGAAAGGGAACTTGGGAAGGTTGTGCACAAGGCTTTGATGAGAATGATGAATTTGGTCTTTGGTTTAAATGTGTTCCATGTGGATATATCCCCACGACTGAACAAGTAACCTGATCGAGTGTGTTGTGGAAATGGTATGAGAGGTGGGAATTGGGTGCAACTTAAAACCCTTCTCCTCCAACGGTTGACCTGCGTAGGCGGAACTTGTGAGAAAAACGCAGTCGGCTGTGGAAGTGGTTGTCGGTGAGAGCCTTTCGGAACATGACTGGGAGGAGATCTAGCGGGTGATGGAAGGGCGCTATTGCCAGAAACTCTTCCCGGGAATCGAAATAGCGATGCTGGTCACAGTGGAAAACTTTGAGGAACGTAGATCATTCTTAAGCACGTCCCAGGGGAGGATGGTGACTGAGAGAATTGCGCTGGCCAACCAAGATGTTCAGGTGTGGTTCATCATGTGCGGGGCAAGAACTGCCAAAACCCAATCTCGTGGTGTTCTCTGATTTGATTGTCTAAGCTAGGTGTGGTGAACCGCCAGTGGAAGGTAAAATCCAAAGGAGTTGAGTAAATAGGTCTGACGAAAAAGAGGCAGAAATATCTTGCATTGAGGTCTGAAAGCTTGAGATTGGGTAACGGATGCCGGTGGAGATCAAGAATAAACCGGCGAGAAGGAAGAACATAGCTGTCAGCAGGTTGGGTACAGTAACAAAGAGAGCCTCGGTTCTGCCAACTTTTGTCTCGAGACCGCATGGAATCCGCCATTTATTTCCCATAGGGCTTGGACAAAGCCACCCATAGGTAGTGGGACAGGATGTTTTCCTTCACGAATTATTAAAGAGGGTTTGTATCTACTACGAACGAATCTCAGGATCACATCTGCTGTAATTTCTCATACATTCACATTTTAACCATGAAATTATGGTTCGCCGCTCAACATTAGCATACCATTATCCAACATCGGGGACTCAGGTTTGGTGGTCCTTCATGAGAGGGATCAATCATTTATGATTTATCTGGTGTGCCAACAAGAGCAAACATATTACATGGCTTTTCGAAGTCGCAAGCCTTAACTTTCAGTCTCACGCGAATCTTATTATTTCCGTTCTTATCTCTGGTTTTGTATAAACGCAGACTTATGCTGGTGTGCACACCTGAGAGAATGGGCCGTGGTTAAATTGTATGAAGTGGACTTCACGACCGCGAAGATTAGGTGTTGTTTCACAAAAACTCAGAGTATCACGGTGATTCCTCAAGCCTTCCCCTTGAGCCAGCTAGGAAGTATCAATCGCTCACAATATTCACCAGCCAGTCGCTAAGCATTTCTATCCTCTAGTATAATTACAATTTGCAACGACGTACTCTCAGGCAACCGTCAGGGGTGTAAATGGCAGGTGGTCAATGATGCAGAGAAATGGTGACGTCAAGCCACCATAAATCAACGCATCACGACTCCTTACACTCAACCTGGCCGGCAGGCCAACTAGTAACTGGGTTTTGAAACTGGTGACGCCGAGGAAAACAGCGATTTATAACCCGGCGCTTCCCCGAAATCTTTGTGTTGCGACCCTTCCCCAAAACTTCATCCTCTTCACCCGATCCCACAACCACCAAGCAAACCAACATCAGACAAACTCACACACCATCAACATCCCAACACCCACCATGACAAACCCATCCCCCTCCCAATACCTCCACACCTCAGGCGCCACCAACCCCGTCTGGACCCTCCACCAACCCTACACCTCCCACCCGCGCTTCCCCCAACTCACCACCTCCGTCACCACCCCCTCCCACTCCCCCACCATCGTCATAATCGGCGCCGGCATCGCAGGCATCCAAACCGCCTACGAACTCATCCTTCGCAACCACAACAACTACCGAATCGTCCTCCTCGAAGCGCGGGACGTCCTCTCCGGTGAATCAGGCCGCACCTCCGGCCACCTAACCAACGACCTAGACGACGGGTATGTACAAATCGCCAAGAAGCATGGTGAGAAGGGAGCGAAGCTGGCAGCGGAGAGTCATGCGTGGGCGAGGGATAGAGTGGAAGAAGTGGTGAGGGAGTTGGGGATTGAATGTGAGTTTCGGAGGGTGAGGGCTTATGATGTGAGTCAGTATTGTAGGGGGGAGGAGGGATATGAGGGGGAGATGGGGGAGTTGAGGGGGGAGGCGGAGATGCAGAGGGGGTTGGGGTTGGAGACGAGGTTTGAGGTGAGTCCATTACCTACCTACTTATTATTAAGAGAGAGATAGGACGAACTAACACAAACAGGAAAACCTGACCGTCCGCGGATGGAACGGCAAACCAGACCAACGCGGCGGAATGATCTCCGAAAACCAAGCAACCTTCCACCCAACCCGATACCTCGCCGGCGTGCTGGCCTGGCTCAAGACCCAGCCCAACTTCAGCTGCTACACCCGCACGCGCGTGACCAACATCCAAGAACAAGGCATCGAGGTTCTGGGCCTGGGCCACAAATCCGTCGTGGTCACCACCGAAGCGGGCCACACCATCCACGCCGACTACGCCATCGAAGCGACCTGCATCCCCTTACAAAAGCTCTCGGTGGTGGCCGAGCTGGAGTTCTTTCGCTCGTACTGCATCGCCGTGCGTGTGCCGCGGGGTAGTGTTGAGGATTGTCTGTTGTATGACAACGCGGAGGCGTACAAGTATGTGCGGTTGACGGCGTGTGATGAGAAGGATGACTATCTCGTCGTAGGTGGGTGTGACCATAAGGTTGGGCAGGCCGAGACGCTGCCGCGTTTCGAGGAACTGGAGAAGTGGACGAGAGAACGGTTCCCGCAAGCGGGGAAGACGGATTACAAATGGAGTGGACAGATTTTCGAGCCGGTAGATTACATGGCGTTTATTGGTAAGAATCAGGGGAATGACAAGATCTTTATTGTGACGGGGGATTCTGGCGATGGATTGACGCATGGAGTGTTGGCTGGACGGTTGATCGCCGACGAGATCGAGGGGAAGCCGAACGAGTGGGCGTCGCTGTACAATCCTAAACGACTCGGGAGTATCGCCAAGTCTCTACCGACGATGATCCAGCATGATGTGCAGATTAACATGCAGTACAAGAGGTTCCTGCAGTCGGATATATCCGATATTGAGGACCTAGCCCCAGGTTGTGGCGGTGTGTTGAACACGGTATGTTCCCCCTTCGACAATTTCCCCGGTTTTATTTACTTACATCACGGGGACTCCAGGGAACCAGCAAGCCCTTGGCTGTGTACAAAGACGATAGGGGTGAAGTAACCACGTACAGCGCGCTGTGTCCACATATGAAGGGTGTGGTGTGTTGGAACCACGCCGAGAAGAGTTTTGACTGCCCGGTTCACGGCAGCCGGTTCTCTGCCAACGGGATCTGTCTCAGCGGCCCTGCTAAAATGAACCTTTCCCCGGCCGACAAGAAAGCCGCTGCAGACCAGGAGTATGACTCGGGGAAGGAGGTCTGAACAAGGATCAAACGTGACGGTTCCATTCCACCAATATCCATGTATTCTATTCATCGTTTACGAGGAGTTGCATATGCCAAGATTTACACAACGTTGTTTTCCTCCTTTCCTATCCGGCGTAAAGAACATCCGTGCCTTTTAGTACGAGGATCGCATGACAGCCGACCGGCCGCCATCAGGCATGATGACGGCCCCGCTGGTGTACGATCCAGCCCGTGAAGCGAGATACAGCACTGTGCCTGCCATCTCTTCGTCGCCCCCAAATCTTCGGGACGGCATAAACCCCGGATGATCATATGGCTCCTTGCTCGGGTCTCGGTCACCGATCATCCCTGCAGCCAACTCGGATGGGAACACTGTCAACAAGTCAGCATCGCCACTCTTGACTTCGGGTTCAGTTGCTAAAAGGACAAGCAAAAAGGAGAACTTACATCCCGGGGCTAGAGCATTCGCCCGAATCCCATACACGGCCAAATTCGAACTCACTTGCTTCGTCAACTGCAAAATCGCTGCCTTGCTCCCCAGATACGCCGGCGACGAGATATGCATCCGACTAAACGCCGCAACACTGCTCGTGACAATCACCTGGCTCTGCACACTCGGCACATCACTCCCCTCCACTAACGGCTTCCCAAACCCTTCACCCTTCACCGCGCGTTTGTTCCCTTCATCCAACAACTCCAAGAACGCCAAAATCGTGAAATACGCCCCCGTCACATTCACATGGAGCGTGTTCGTTGTCTCGGCCATCGCCTCGGCGGTGAACGTCTTTGCGCGGACTTCTGCGAGCGGCACATCTGGGTGGCCGGTGAATCCTGAAGGTGGGCCGCCGACACCGCTGTTAGCGACGAGCAGGTTGATGTAACCGGCGTCGGCGGTGACTTTGTCGACTGCGGCCTGGAGTGAGGCATGGTCCGTGACATCGGATTGGATGGGGACAAAGATGTCCGGGAATTCGGCCGCGGCGGTCTTTAGGACGTCGAGACGGCGACCGAGAATGTAGACGCGCTTGGCGCCATTGGTGGCGAGGGCACGAGCGATGGTGAGGCCGATTCCTATGGGGATTAGAAGGGTGGACGATGGTTGAGCGGACTAGGGGTTGGGGGGTTACCTGTGCCACCACCGGTGATGGCCGCGACGATGCCATCGACACGGAAGAGGGAAGCTGCACTGATGTTGGATGTCATAGTGGGCAGATGCTTGTTGACGAGCGGGGCAAGATATGGAATCTCGTGATGATTGACCGGAGTGGACGTGAGTTCTTTCTTTGAAGGCTACTTCTCTTTATCTTTCGGCCGGAAGAATTGGGGGAGATATGTAAAGATGCAAAAGTACCTAAAGACTCGAATCGTATTACTGAGCAAGCTGATAAATCCGGCCGCACCTGCAGTGTGAGTTCTCAACCTTACAATTGGGGAAGCGGCGACCGATTCTTAACGCCGGAAACCCCGGCTCCCTCGGGAAACACCTTCTCTGGCAAAGTTGGGGGACGCATATTTGTAGCCCGATACTGGATAGCTGCTGCCCAACCAAATTGACCCGACGCGGTGATACCATTTTCGTGCGGAGAGTATTGTCGTATCGGAACCTTTCGGGTTTCAGAACCTGCATTCCGCTTTCGGCTGCAACAATCGCTGCAGTCTGAAGTCTGTGTACTTGCAGGCCGGGAAGTTGTGGGGAGTTCCGCAACTCCGAGTGATCTGGATAGAGCCGACGCGATGAAAGCGAAAAACTCGTGTATTGTGAAAAAACCAAACCAAAGTTTCCTGCTTTCCTTGTCTCTAATCCCGATAAATGTCGAGTAAATAATACCTGAATCAAGCCACCCCTGCCCTCCGAACACGCCCCCCCATCTGATACCCATTCGACTCCCAAAACTTCTTCTGGTGCCCATCCGTCGTCCGCAACGTCGCAAACGGATTAAAAATCGTCTCCGTCTTCGACCGCGAATCCTTCCACCCGGGCCCCTTAATCACCGTCCTCCCGTCCTGCGCCAAATACAACCTCGAATCCCCAGGCAAGTGCCCAGCCGGATGACTCAAATTCCACACCACCACCCCAACCAACATCAGCGCCGCATCAAACACCAAAAAATACCACTCAAACCGCACCACCGGATCCAAACTCATCGGATCCACCCCCTTCCGCGACGCCGGCACCCCAAAGTGCTCCGCCATCCGGTATATCGTCCGCCCAAACACCATCAACATACTCGCATACGCCGTCATCAACGGCCGGGCGACCCTTTTGTTCCGCATGATCCTCCCGCGGTGGCACGCCGCGTGGTAGGTGCCGGCGAGCAGGAAAAACACGACCGTCACCAGCAGCTGCAGGACTAGGGAGGCTTTCGTGAGCGTGTCGCCGACGCTGATCGATTTATCGGGTGCCCCGCGGTCGGTTAGGTAGGCGATTCCCGCGATTGTGAGCAGCTCGGTCACGGCGGTCAGGGCGGAGAAGATGACGACCATGCGGGAGGGGTGCAGCGGCGCGTGGTAGGGGACGAAGTAGAAGAGGCGGGTTAGGGTGAGGTGGTTGGCTAGGGCGAGGATGGGGCTGCAGCAGTGTTAGCCTGCTTGTACGAAGGTAGTTTCCGACTGATCATGGGTAGATCGTGGCTAAGAACAGAGGGCGCATACGGAGAGGCATAGATTAGCAGCAGACTGGCCGTGTAAATCTGCGGGTCATCGTAGTGGAATGCGCCATAGCTGCGCGTGGCGTATCCCGCTGTGAGGAGGGCACAGAAGAAGGGGAGGAGGCTGCTGATGCTCCAGGAGCGGTAGTAACTGGACATGTGTGTCGCTCTGTTAGAGATCTGGGTCGTTGAAGCGTTGTGAAGGGCGCCTCAATTGTGACCGGGGTCAATCGTAATGAGGTAGGTCAATCACTCACAAACACTGGCCGATATGAGCCAGCCCCGAGACGGCAAAAGCCGCGGCAAAAAAAATGGAAGCGCCTTGGTTAGGCGCGTAAAAGTAGACGCTATTCGCGACTGTGTTCGCTCATGGTGGTTAGTAATGTTCGATCGGTCGTAGTGTTTCGGAGCGGGGGCGCGCGTAATTACCGGGACGACCGTCCGACATGATTTCGTGCGCCGACCGTGTCGACGGCGAGTAAAGCCTGAAACTCAATTGTCGACCAAAGAAAACACAACCATGGCGTCCGCGACGCTCAAGTTCGACGCATCAAAACGTCGAGATGTTGAGAAAAAAGTATCGTCCTATTCCCGACACAGCCGAAAGTTCCGGAACACGGAAGTTGGGGGTCGCGTGCAGGGGTTGCAAGCGGAAGAGGCTGTGTTTGGTGTTTGGGCCAACCAGAACACCAGAAATTGAGGACTTGGCAGCGAAGGAGCCTTTTGTCGTTCGTCCTTTCCACGTTCGGGTAAAACGTGGCAGGTTGAGACCCAGAAAGTCTGGTCGCGATCCGTTCATCTCGGGACCAGTTCTCGGGAAGATTTAAAAGTCCGCGATGGCCGAAACTTTATTGCTCTACTAGAATTTTGGCGGTGAAGACATGCTCCGTCTACTATAGTACGCGATATTGTTGTTGTTGGCAGTATTACACCTGTATTACCGTGTAATCATCTCGCCCAATAAATGTCATGATTCCCCCAACACCAATTTTTATTTCCAAAATTACCTCCAGCCGTTCGATCAATGTTCACAAAAACTAAAGGTTTGCTGTGCAACTCGTTAGCATCAACTCGTGTTTACCTCCCGAGGCTCCGGAACTCACCCGATGCATGTAATTCTCCACGCGCTCATTCAGCATCCCTCGTTCCTCCATCAATTTCTCCCTCGTCTCTACTGCCTGCTCCCATGACAGCGGGAAATCCACCCTCTTCATCGTCATATCAATCAGCTCATTCGGCAAGTTCGACAACGCCCCGCTTCTCCGCACCTCCGCTTCCCACCAGTCTCTCCTCTGCGGGGGGACGTGTGCACTCGACAAGACCGGCCGGTGCGGATGCACCAGAAACATAGCCAGGATCTTTCGGTGTCCCGCGCGGGTCTTGTCCTGGAGCTCGAACGGCTGGACCTGATGCTGCAGGCAGTTGGGGAACACCAACAGACGCCCTTCACGCGTGAGAACCTGACCGAGAGTTTGCGTGCAGGGCCCGTGTTGTTCCACGCCGAAGAACGTTTCTAATGAAGTGTACTCGTTCTGTGCAGGCATCATGATGAGCTCATCCTGGTCGATGGCCTGCCGGAAGGCAAGGTGGCTGTCTGTGATGTTGTCTTGGTCGAAGTAATAGATCGCCGACGCGCAGATTGTCTCGTTTTGGGTTCCTTCGACATGCCAGGCACCGCCAGGGTACCGGGGCTGCTCTGGGGTCAGGTGGATATTGGCGAGCTTGAAGATGACTTGCAGGCCGTCGGGGAAATCCTTTTGGAGGTCGATGGGGGGGTATTTCTGGAGATCGATCTGGGGATAGTCTTGGATCAAAGAACGGACGCCAGAGGGTTGGTTTTTGCCCTCGGTTTGCTCCTTGGCTCGTAGAGCCTCGGCTTCGGCTCGCTTCGCGGCAATTTCGGCTTCTGAGATGTATCGCCTTGGTTCGGGGTATACGAGAGTGCGGTGTTCATCTTGCCAATCCGTCCAGGCATTGTCATTCTGCCAGTCATAATCGTCGTCGTCGTCCTCTTCCTGGTCACTTTCTTCGCCCCACGCACCATTATCCGCCATATCGTCAACAACCTCTTGGTTGCCGTCCTGGCCGGCCCCCGTGACTTCCTCGTCATCCGACACCTCTGAATTGCCGTGTTTGTCGCAGTACTCGTCTACTGTCGGGTCCCACCACGCCCGAGGACCGCGCCGACCGGGGACTCGGTAATATAGCCCTGGCGGGTACGAGTAATCGTCGTCACCAGTGTTCCGAATCTTGAACCGGAGGCGGTTGGCAAAGCCATTGAGCGCATCCTGCCAGAGCGGGACGGTAGCCGCAACGATGCGCTCCAGTGTACCGTACAACGCCTTGTGGTGCACCGGGTGCAAGTTGTTGATGTAACTCGTAATTTTGGCACTCCCGTCGGTGGCGAGCTCGACCTGTGCCGGCAGCCACTGGAAGGATCCCCAGGTTTGCAGTGAGGAGGAATTCGACATCGACTCGAAGGACCCGACCAAGTCCCCTTTGCCGGTGTAGTCGATGCAGCCATCTAGCGGCACGGTGCCCTCCTTGAGTGCACGTGTTACCCCCCAGATGACGGGGAACAGAGATGGATGGACAAGATCGAGAACAAGATTGTCAGACTTAGGGTGCCAATCTTTCTCATTCTCGGGGACGTCCTCTAGGGGTCGAACCTTGTCCCGGAGTTCATTCCGGAGCTGCTCCGAGATAGCGCTGTCTGACTTGATCACAGTCAACTCCGAGTCAAGCACGTTGACGCAGCCTGTTTCCTTGTATCTGGTGGCCTTGTCTCGGAGTTCAGCGATGCACTAATTAAGATCAGGTCAGCCTCAACCACAACATCAACACTGTACGCTGCGAGGCCACTACCCACATGATCAAACATCTCTTGCGACAGATACACATCCCCATCCAGTTCATCTGGTCTAACATCCGACTCGGTGCGCCATCGGGCTACGATGGTTTCATCAAACACCTTGGTGTCCCAATCCGGTTTGTCGCTGATGCTGCTTATGAACTCAAGCATCCGCTTCTCGCGGACAGTGACCCCTTTGCTCTCCCATGGCATAGCGCCAATGGCGAGGGGCAACCGCAAAATCGACCGGCGTTGGTCATCACCAACGATTGGGAGGCCGAAGCCCGGGAATTGTTTTGTGGTGGGGCCGGTCATGATTCGTCGAGATTCAGGATCGATGGTGTGAGCACTTCGGAGAGAGGAGGAACATGAGGTTTTCCTGTCTTTTGTATTGTCTCGGCGCATTAAGCTTGTGGATATGGACCTTGCATGCTGCCTACCGCCGGCCTGGAAGCTTTCTGATGCCAAGAAACCCCGCCTCCAGCCGCAACGATCGCCGATTTCCAGGGGTTGGTTCCACAGAGTTGATCCGAATCGGGAAGCTTTCCACATTTGGAGAGAAACGCATCTGAGCTTGACAGCCGGCTTACTGGAGAAAGAAGACCTGTTCATTTTGGGGCCGCTCAATAATAATGCGGTGTGGAGGAGCGGTGTGGTCGCTAGTCAAGGTTGGTGTTTCAAGCTGAGTGAAAGGGAACGTCGGTGCAGTCGTCAGTCAGGAACAACAACCTGACATTACCTCAGGTAATTTTCCCGGTTCAGAGATGTAATACATAACGCCCCCAATACCCTAATAGTGAATCACTACCAAACAGTTTCCATTGTTTTAAACCACCATGGTGACTTGAAACAAAAGCTTGAATGGAATATTCCCCCACCCATATCACAACATCGCGATACTCTCGTACAAGACAACCCAGTCAGGATGTCATTGTAGGTAGTGATGTCAACTTACGAACATCTCCCGGTAACGAAACTACCTGGGTAATGAATCAATAAGGACCCAACAGACGGTTCCCGAGAGTCCCTCTCTATAGCCTTTTCACTGCTTCAGGCAGGCGGGTCATTTTCCCATGTAATTGGAGGGAATCGCGATTTGTGCTAGAGTGTTACAAAAATAGTGACGGCGAGGCTGGAGCGGGGTGGCTCCAACATGGATGATTTTTTTTAGCTGCCCTGGTGTTTGAGCGTTCACTCTCCTCTTCCCCAACAAACCTGTAAACCCCTGTTTCCAAGGGCTGTTCTGTGCCTAAGTTCTGAAAGACAAACATTGGATATTGTCCAAGTCTGCTTCAAACAATTAGGTAGTGGTCCCTACTCAATCACGCAACGGATAGCATGCGCACCTTACATCCCAAACTTCTCCTTCAAAAACTCCCGCACTTGCGGATTTCCACCCGTCGCCGCTTTTAACCGCTTTGCTCCACCAATAACTTTCAACCCGTTCAGCGTCCTCACCCTCGAGAGCGCGACGTACGCCTGCCCGTCCTCCCAGATGCGGGATAAATTCACGACGGCAGAGTCCAGCGTCATGCCCTGTGATTTGTGAACGCTCATCGCCCAGGCGGCTGCAAGGGGAATTTGGGTGCGGCTTAGAAGCGAGTGTGGCTCGGGATTCTCGTAGTCTCGCAGCTCTTGCTCTTCCGTATAGTCATCGCTCATCTCTTCCCCTTCGAACCCGCTCTGCGTCAGCCCACCTACTTCCGTTTCATCCCCTCCGTCGACTGAGTTGAGCATCTGATACTGCGTTTTGTGACTGTTGTATCGCCGCTTGCGTGGTCGGTCGCCGAGCGCGTGGACGATGCACTCAGGGTAGATGACGCGTACCCGACCGTTAAGAAAACGCACGATAGGCCAACTGAGGTTGGGAACTCTTTTCTTATGCTTTCCCGCAAATAACCGTACATAATGTTGCTTGATGAAACCGTACCCCCTAGGGGGGTAATTGGGCAGGGCTTCCTTATCATACCGTTGAAAGCCGATGATTGTGCCCTGACTGCCATTGTATAGCTGTTGCTTTAGGTCTAGGTTGATGAGCAGAATGACGGGCATGCCAACCTTGAGTTGGACCTCACGCGCAAAATGATGGTCGTCGAGGCCGCGAAGAGACCCGTCTTTGTTTCTAATACCTTTAGACTCAAGGTGTGGATCCATCTTCTCATTCCAGTCGAACTCATCGAGGCAGGTATAGGAATATGGCGGGCTGTTAAGCCGCACGAACTCTTCGTTATTGATTCGATTGACTTCATTGCGGGTTGGGAGGAGTTTGATGGCACTGTCGGGGACATCTCTGTCTTCAATGAGAATTTCGATTTCGTCTTTGGAAAGGGGGGTGCTAAGGCGGCACTTCTGGAGTAATGCGATGAAATCCGCGTCATGTTGCCGGTGGATGGAATCTAGGTGAACATGTACAAACATGCACGCAGCCCAGGCTTTGCTGCGAAATGCCCATTTGTCGCTGTCGTTGTATTTTTTATTACAGTGTACGCACGTGTATTCCTCTTTGGCTGGCACTAGATCGCTCCCACAATCGATGCAGTGTTGAAAAGGTTTGACAGGGGGCAGTTGGCAGAAGTCTCCGGTGACGATGACTTGAACCCCGCCGAAGGGCAAAGGGTTGGAACGACCGCTTTTCATGACTTCGTTGAGCCTTTGGAAATGCCAGTTCTCGACCATGCTAATTTCGTCGATGATGATGGTGTCAGTTTGCTTAAAACGCTTGACTGCGAGGGGGTCAAGCCCTTTTCCCCTCAAAAATCGGATGCCGTTCTTGAAGTCGTTCGGGTTCCATCCAGCGTAAGTCCAGGTCGTAGTCCCGTTGATAGCCAGCGCGGCTTTGCCTGTTGGGGCCATAACGTGCACATTCTTGCCCATTTCCCGCAATCGATGCGTGATAGCATGCAAAACCGTAGATTTGCCACAGCCTGCAGAACCGGTATAGAAGATATTCTTCCCGTCCACCGCGAGTTGTACTACCCTTTTTTGCTCGGGACAGAGTTCAGGCGCGGCGCGGTGCTCTACCTCCAACTCCTGCGAGGGTGACAGATCTATCTGCACGTCTGGAAACGTTGTTGCTGCGGCATCGGCTGCCGGTGCCAGTTGGTCTTCTTCGCCAATGTACGGAGGTTCACGCGTGCGATCGCCGACCCCAAGCTTAGAAACCCCTAGAACGTGGCATGTGTATTCATTCCTCTTGCGAGACAACTCGCGCATAAGAGCAAATTGTTGTGCTTCATCTTCTGCATCGCTTCCATTGCAACCTTGAGCGTCGATCCTCCGTTGGCAGTCCCAGTACGCGCGAGCCGAGGCAAGCGCAGCATCGGACAGTGGATTCCCTTGGTGGTCCTTCAGAGACTTTGACCGGGGAGCTTTGCGAGCGCGGCTGGCTGCTCGCTGTTGCAGTCGGCCAGGAGGCCACGGAGGTGTCAAGATCGAAACTCCTTGCCGTCCGAGTCGGATACTGATTTTATGGAAGGGTCCCATCCCGGCGGCCTTAACTTTCAGGGGACGGCGCTTTTGAATGCCCAAAACGGCAGGGCAGACTGTTGCGTGGCGTTCTTGGACTGTTGTACTGTTGTACAGTACACTATGCCTTGGTCCTATTGTAAAAGGAGTGAGTCGAGCCCCGCTAATCTTTAATTGTAAGAACGTACATGGATCCGTGGGAAGTTCGCGGCCCTTTGGTATGCGCAGTGCCGCGCAATTCAAGACCATATGTTGGGGCCAAATGTTGGGCAGCGAGAATGTATTACCGACGGAGTTGTTTTCGTTGTAACGTTAGTCATGTATACGCGTACTTACGCGTACTTGCGTGTTTTTACGCGACAGGGGGCATAATTTCCCCACATTTTGAGCAAGAGAGATGCGTTTCGATACCAGATTCTTACTAGCAGCTTTACGTCCAAAACAACAGTTCCCGAAGTTAGTAGACGAATATCACTTAAAGGCAGGTGACATTATTTACACCTCCATCAAGTTGGCTTCTATTCTCTGCATTTAAACTACGGAAGTGAACGGAAATCCGAGATTTCTCAAAGCTTCTAATCATGCAAGATTAAGACGTCGTCCGAAACTTAGGACATTACCAAAAACGAAACCAACAGTAACAAATTCGGGACGTCCGATGCAATGCGCATCGTCCACCATCAATTCTACCGCAGCAAATACGCATTACCTTCAAACGGCGCCAACCTTCCAACCTCAGTTTTGCCCTTGTGCGTCGACATGATAGGGATTAACTCCGGCTCCCTCTCCAAACCGAGCTCCTTCGCATTAGGCGCCGACCAAGTCTTCTCACCCTCGGTGAAATTCAGGACCACAAGCACCCTATCCCCACCCCCCCCGTGGTCCGGCACCTTGACAAAGACAAACAGATCCCCATCGTCCGGCCGCAAGTCCACAAAATCCCCATACACCAACAAATCCGCATGCTCCCGGCGGAACTTCAACATCTTGCGCCAATACGCCAACACACTCTCCTCGTCTCCCAGCTGCGAGGCGACATTGATCTCCCCCGCCAGCGGATGCGGCTTCATCCACGGCTCTTTCACCTCCTTGCCCGCTTCCTCCGCCGCAAGCGAAAACCCGCCGTACTTGCCCTTCCCATCCCATGGGATCGGCACACGCGCGTGGTCACGCGCAAGGTACTGGATCGCAGCAAACGCCTTATCCAGCTCGGCCTGGTTGTCCTTGCCGTACCGCTCCTGCACCATGCGGTAGAAGAGGCTGCTGTCGATGTCGAGGTAGTTCTCGATCGGGTAGCTGCCGTCGGCGGGCAGGTTGACCATGCCGATTTCCTGGCCCTGGTAGACGTATTGGGTTCCGCTGAGGCACGCTTGCATGAGGGCCAGCAGGCGGGCGCTGGCTACGCGGTGCTGGGGTACGTCGGAGGCGAACCGGCTGACAGAACGGGCTTGGTCGTGGTTCTCGAGGAACACGGTCGACCAGCCGTCTGTGCCGCGGATCAGGGCCTGAGTGAGGTCAACGGCGGCTTTGAAGTCGGGCAGTCGGAAGTTGCGCGGCGGGGTGGCGAACTTGTGCGTTGCGCCCATGCCAACGTCGACGATGTCGAACTGGAAAACCATGTTCAGCTGCTTGGCCTTGGCGCTGACGTACTGCAGGACGCGGGCCGTATCGGGGGTGCACGGTAGTTCGCCGACGGTAATGGCCCCGTATTTTTCGAGCACCGCGTTCATCTCGGCGAGGAACTCGTGCATCCGCGGACCGTTGCAGTAGATCATTCCGGCCGGCTGGTAGGGCGTGCTGGGGTCGACAACCGGGGCGTTGGGAAGGGTCGGCGGCTTGCTGTACATGTTGACAGTGTCAACGCGGAAACCATCCGCGCCCCGCTCGAGCCAGAACTCCATGGACGAAGCGTAGATGGCCTTGCGGGTCTCGGGGTTCTCCCAGTTGACGTCGGGCTGCTCAACGGCGAAAAGGTGGAGGTAATACTCCTGTGTGGCTTCATCCCATTCCCATGCGCTGCCACCCCCAAAGTTGCATCGCCAGTTGTTGGGTGGAAGGCGTTCACCCGAGGCCGAGTATTTGGCCGGTCTCCAGATGTACCAGTCTCGCTTCGGGCTGTCCTTGCTGGCCCGTGAGTCCTTGAACCACGCGTGCTGGTCTGAGGTGTGGTTGATGACTAGGTCCAGCATGATCTTCATGCCGCGTGCATGCGTCTCCTTGATGAGTCGCTCCATATCCTGCACGGTACCGTACGGCCTGTAGACGTCCTCATAGTTGCTGATGTCGTAGCCCATGTCGACTTGCGGGCTGTCGTACATCGGGCAAATCCAGATGACGTCCACGCCGAGGTCGGCGATGTAGTCCAGCTTGGATGTGATGCCATTGAGGTCGCCCACTCCATCACCGTCGGAGTCGCAAAACGAGGCTGGGTAGATCTGGTAGATTACTGCCTGTTTCCACCATTGTTTCTCGCGGGGTGTAAGAACAGTCATGTTGGTAGTTACACTGGAGACAAGGTATTTAGGTTCGGCTTCGACGTTTGAAATGAGCAGGTCAGTCCGTCAGAATGTAACAGGCTTAGAGGCGAAAACTGCTATGATTCAACTTCGACTTCTACTCAACTTAAACTATCGTTGGCCTCCGCTCGTAGAGCAAAAAAGCCGAACAAGAGAGCCGGTTGTGTTTCGCAACTCCTCACGGTGGAGTGCCGTGATCCCGGCGTCTCGGAGCAGACCATGGAAGTTGCCCGTCACAAGGTTCCATATTCCCCGCGTCGGCGCTGATCGCCCACGGCGGTCAGCCAAGTGGTGCCAAACACTGCCGAGCCCGGACGGTTGCGATTGCTGGGCGGCGGATGCAGAACCAGAAAACCTGCATGGAGAAGACAAAAGGCCCAATAACGCCGCGAGGTGGTGCAGGTGTTTCGCCGCACGATTTGCGTTTGCATGAGATGGGGGTGATTTGGGGAAGTCGCGGCAGCGGATGGCGCGGTTCTGCTTAGTTGCTCTGCTCACTCCCTAAAACGGAAGTTGAACCTTCCCATGTGGTTGGCCAAATATCGGACCGACAGCAGAGTGTGACATGATTGGCCATATGTCGGGCCGAGGACGGATCCCTGCGCTCAGGCCCCACAGCTTTCTTTGCGCGCACATTTGCCCTTCCGAGCCTTCCACGTGCCTTCCTAAAATCGTTCTCGAACGGTTTTCCGCGAGCGCCGCGATGCAGGCGCGATGGCTGTTTCAGTCTTTTTCCGAAAACGAAGGTCCTACACTACCGAGCCGTTCGCTTCCCTCCCACATTCCGATACCTAACAAGGATCCAACGAACGAAGATGGCGACGACCACCATAACGACCGCGCTGCCGTGCCGCCAGGTTCCGACACGTCAGGGTTTGCGCTGCATCCTGCTGCAGTGCGGGCGGTAGCTCCAGCACCTGCGTGAGCCGTGAAGATATAAGTACTCGTGCCACCCAAACTTGTCCTCTTGAATCACCACGTCCGGTTACCTCACGCCAGCGTTTGAAGCCGCAATTAGGCGTTCTCTCCCTCCAAGCTCAGCGAGCGGCTCCTTGCCATGACGTCCCTTCAGTCATTCGCCCAACCAGCGAGAAGCATCGGCCCGAATAATGCCACACCCACTAGTGCCAACGTTCGGGTAGCTGAAAATATTTCGCCGTGTGTTTCCCCTGATCGGCCACACCATCACGAACCCCGCGGGGATGGAAATCCGGGGTTCAGGGAAGTCGGAGTCCAGACCCTGTTTCCCCAGGCGCGGGAAGTGCCGGTTCACACGAACCCGACAGGCACATGCAAACTATCATCTCCCAGCATGCATCTACCGAAAGGGGCCCGCCCGCACGTCCGCGACTGCGCCTCGTGAATTGAGAACCTTGAGGATGGTTTGTTTTGTGGCGGAATCCTCTCTATACTAGCTCGTTCGCGTTTCGGTCCGAACAAGTCCCTTTCGCTTGGAGAGGACCATACAGAGCCCATACCTCTAACGGAAACCTGAACACGGCGATTTGCCTCCGTGATGGGAATGCGTCCATGTCATCGCGTTCACCGGCCGTTGGGATGTTCGTCGGGGTTGGTTCCGTTTTCTCCAACCTTGCCCGCTAGTAAGTGCCCCTATCCTGGTTGTCTAGACCCGGTCCTTGTCAGAACGGCAGAACTTCGTCGCGTGGCATGGGCATGGGTAAGCGAGACTCCCGCGTTGACTATCATGGTCGAACTCGGCGAGCGGTATAAATTGGATTGGCTGCCCGGGGTAGGTTGGAGTTGCATCCAGGCACAGGGGTCATACACTTCAAAGAAAACATCCTGTTGCATGAGATTACCTACGAATTGACAGACGTATCGAACGTCAACACGATCACAATGCTTTCACAACCCACCAGCAATGCGCCCGAGGGTAGCACCGCAACCACCACCGACACAACCACTAGCCCCGCTACAATGGGTCCCACAACCGGCCCTTCTACTACCGTCCATGAAGCCGCAGCAGCCACTCGCGCGGAACATACCCTAGGCCTGCGCGCCTCCTTCCGCTTGTACCGCCCGGCGTGCCTGTGGTCCATCTTCTTGTCCACCTGCATCGTCATGGAAGGGTTCGACAATGCCTTCCTCGCCAGCCTGTTCGCATATCCGCCCTTCCAGGAACACTTTGGCGTGCGCCAGCCCGACGGGTCGTACCAGCTCACAGCCGCGTGGCAGACCGGTCTCACGAACGGCGTGTTGGCAGGCCAAGTCTTGGGCTTGTTTGCGAACGGCATTGTGGCGGATCGGTTCGGGTACCGCAAGACGCTGATCGGTGCGCTGGCTGCGTGTGTGGCGTTCATCTTTATACTGTTCTTTGCGGACACATTGGAGCAGTTGTTGGTCGGCCAGGTGTTGATCGGGATTCCGTGGGGCGTGTTCCAGACGCTGACAACGACATATGCGGCGGAGGTGTGTCCGACGCATTTGCGGGCGCATCTAACGACGTACGTCAACTTGTGCTGGGTCATGGGCCAGTTCATTGCGTCCGGCGTGCTGCGCGCGATGTTGAGTCGCAATGACGTGTGGGGGTACAAGATCCCGTTTGCGCTGCAGTGGATGTGGCCTGTGCCGTTGATGGTGGGTATTTGGCTTGCGCCGGAGAGCCCGTGGTGGTTGGTGAAGAAAGGCAGACTAGAGGAAGCAAAGCGATCGCTGTCGAGGTTGACCAGCCGGAACACCACGCAGGAGAAAGACGGCGCTGCCTTCAAGCTGGACGAGACGATCTCCATGATGGTGCACACCAACGAGATGGAAAAGGAGCTCCTCGCGGGCACCTCGTACGCAGACCTCTTCCGCGGTGTCAACCTCCGCCGCACCGAAATCGTCTGCACCACTTGGATGATCCAAACCCTCTGCGGCTCCAACTTCATGGGCTACTCAACCTACTTCTATCAACAAGCCGGCCTGGCCGTGGAGAACTCCTTCAGCATGTCCCTCGGCCAGTACGCCCTCGGCGCCATCGGCACGGTCGCATCCTGGTTCCTCATGAACTGGTTCGGCCGTCGCACGCTCTACCTCAGCGGACAGGTCATCATGTTCGCCCTGCTCCTCGCCATAGGCTGCGCCTCGCTCGCCGGGCGCTCCAACGTAGCAGCCCAATGGGCCATCGGATCCCTCCTGCTGATTTACACCTTCACCTATGATGCCACCGTCGGCCCCGTCTGCTACTCCCTTGTCGCGGAACTCACTTCCACGCGATTGCGCACCAAATCGGTGGTGCTCGCGAGGAATACGTACAACATCATGGGCATCGTGACAAATATCATCACGCCGCGCATGCTGAACCCGACGGGCTGGGACTGGGGCGCCAAGTCTGGTTTTTTCTGGGCGGGAACATGTGCGCTGTGCGCGGTGTGGACGTATTTCCGCTTACCGGAGCCCAAGGGGAGGACGTATGGTGAGTTGGATGTGCTGTTTGAGCAGGGGGTGAGTGCGCGGAAGTTTAGCTCGACTGTGGTGGATGTGACCGGGACGTCGGGGCATTTTGTTGCGGAGAAGGTGAGGACGTCGGAGGATGAGGTTGTGGAGCATCATGTTGAGGGTCGTAATTGAATGAATGTGATTGAGTGTTTGGGTTAAGGCGTTGGATGGGAATTTGTCGGTGTTTTTGTATTTATCATTGTAGGGGCGAGTAAATACGACTCTTTCTGGAACGGAGTTCATTTCATGATCAATATGACTTTTAAGACTGTGCTTGTAAATAACATGATGAACTAAGTATGCCAATTAATTACTCATCATACTGATTTATAACATACACCTCTTACTACTCTTCAATGGTTTCCTGCGAGTGTTTCAAAATTTGCAGTAAAAGGGAATTATTGCAATTAACAAACGCCAAGCTAACCAAAACGCCTGGGACCTAATTAAGTAAACATCAATTACACAAACCACCCAAACTCCCACTGCCCTCACCTCCCCGGACTCCCTGCGACCCCCTCAAAATCCACAACCGTATACATCCCCCGTAACACCTGCAATTTCTCCAACAAATACTCCCGATGATGTTTCTGCGCCCTCTCAAACCCAAACAAAAACCTCACCACAAACAAAAAATCCTCCACCCTCGCCCTCCCTTCCTCTTCCCTCGTCTGCCCTGGCCCCAACGGCAGCGCCAGCACATCGGCCACCGTACTCGTAATCTCAAACAACTTCTGCAGAATCCCGCTGCCGTGGGTGATGATACTCGCCGTGTCGCGTAACCGGCTAACGAGCTGTCGTAGTTGGGAAGAGAGACGGGCTGCGGGGAAGTGGAGAGAAAACCCCTCGTGGGCGTCACGCGGTGGGGCGGAACGGAGGAGGCCGTGGGAGAGGGCCAGTTGCCAGACTAAGGTGCGCAGCCAGAGGCGGGTGACGAAGAGGTCGGCGTGTTGTTCTTCTGTGAGGGGGGTGATGTCTGGTTCGTTGACGCTGCGGGCGAGGAGGTCCTGAGTGGCTTCGGCGGTTTCGGCTTCGTCGGCGTCGAGTTGGGCTTGTTTTGTTTCGATCCATTCGGCGGTTATGGTGGGTGCCGAGGGGAGGGATTGGGTGGTCCAGTGGGCTAGGAGGGTGGTGTCCATGAGTTGGAAGAGGCGGATGAGGCGGTTGAAACCGACGGTTACGTAGGGGGGCACGGTTGGGTCGGTGAGTGGGAGGGGGGATGGTAGTGGGGCTAGGGCGGTTGGGAGGCCGGACATGATGCACACGAAGCGTTCGTGGATGTAGGCTTCCCAGTACAGGCGCTGCAGGCGGGAGATTTCGGTGATGGTTAGGCCGTGTGGGGTTTCTTCGGAGTACTGGTGGATGTTGAGCATTTGGAGCATGCAGATGGATTCGCGGAGGCTGGCGAAGCTGCGGTCGAAGCGCTTGAAGGCCATGAGCGAGCACTCGTTCCAGATGCCGGCCATCACGCGCTTGACGGTCAAGGGCATCTCGTGTTGAAGGTAGGAGCCGTTTGTGTGCCCGGATATGTCGGCCGTGCTGCGGGCGATCATGCTGAGCTGGAGGAGGGAGCTCATTTGCGAGGCGACGTCGCCGTGTCGGCCGTGGATGTCCCACGAGGTGTTTGTCAGGTTGATGGTGACGGCTCCGAAGGCGTGGACCAGCGCGGCATCTTCGTAGTCGTTGTGCATGTTGGCGATGGCGGCACGCATCTCGTCCGGCGTCAGCACTGGGTTGACGGGGTAGACGTGCCGCTCGAAGTCGGGCATCAAGAGCATGAAGAAATCCTGCGTGTAGCCATGGCCGCCAATGCCCGCTGTTGGCACGGGAAGGGCCGGGACACATTGGAGATCGACGTGTCCGGAGTGGTAGGTCAGGGCTGTTGAAACGGAGGCGTTATCTGAATCATGTCTTTCAGACCCCGATGTTGATGATGTTGGAGACTGCCCCGGAGGGCTCGCACAGCCGGGGCTTGAGCGTGTGTTTGGTGCCAAGTTGGCGTTTCCGCTGCCGGCTCCAGAGACGCCTCGCTTGCGCAGCTGCGCGACGAGCCGTCCCCTTTCACCGGGCTTCCGCTTCGCGGGAGCCGGTGCAAAGGTGCAGGCGAGGTTGAGGTGGGCGCATTGGGCGCATGGCTGTGTGTTTGTGCAGCGCACTTTGCGGATCCGGCAGGGATCGCAGGCGCGGGTGACTTTCAAGCTCATAATTAACGTTAATCGGGAAGAGGCTGGATAACTCGTGGACGAGTGCCGAGCCGTCTGATCATGTTGAATATGGTGGAGGCGGGGCGTCTTGAGGAGCAGGCCGCGACTCGCGTCCCATCTCTGAAGGTTTTCTATTTTTTTCTCTTCGCCTTGCGGCTGATGATGTTGAAGGGCGTTTTGGGCAGTTGAAAAGCCAAGGAACGCGCGAAGGGCGAACCGTAGGGATTTGTGCACTAATGCCGGCCCCTCACGTGGCTGCCGACTTGGCGCGGAGAAGGGCCGGATAGCCCCACCTCCGCATAAAAAACGGCCGAGAAAAGGGCGGCTAGGGAAAGTTCGGCAAGGACCTGCAGGTCTGACGGAATGGGCAAGCGCGATGGATTCATGGTCAGGGGAAAGCGTCACAGCGGTATGGAGTTTGACAAGGAAAATAGAGCTAATGCACCAAAATTAGTCGTAACTGCCGGAGTTCGGGGCTTTACGGAGCATTCCCGATTGAAGGTGGCAATGCCGCGCGTAGCCCTGTTTTGACCCCGAAATCGGGTGTCCGACTCAACTGACTTACAAATACGCGGAACTGATGCACATAAGCCCTACCGGTTTTTAGTTCGCGATGGCTTCCATGGCTTCAGCCCGCCCGGGCTTAAGTAACCGATTTGGCAAGCGTCCGAAGCCATGCCAGGTCGCGCTCCAACACGAATTCATTGCCCGAAACGGTTGCATAAGGAAGGGTGAAGCGCAAAAATGCTAACATCGTATTCGGGTGCATTGCCGAAGATGACCCAAACCCAGGGTTGAGATCTCTGGTCTCACAACACCGCAACTAATTTTATTTTGCGTAGTTAGCAAGCTTGGATTCCTAATTAGCCCAAGTTACACAGCTTTGTTACGGCAAGTATGCACAACACAAACAATACACCCGTGACGGTCGCATTAGGGCTTCCGTGGAAGAACAACATAGACACTTAAGAAACCAATAACCTTCAATACACAAAGTTGGTATCATCACACAGCAAAACCTGCACTAACGAAATTCCTGTCACTCTTGCCCACACAAATCATATCACCCAGTCCCTAAAAGCTAATCCAAAACCGCCCATAGTAATCATCCCACTCTTCAAGGGCTTGTATGACTGACCGTAACCTCGGGCATCTTCTTCAGCATCATCGATTCGCGCTCGGCCTCCATCGGGCTGCGGTAGGAACCGGTATACTCGACGGCTGTCTCGAACTTGGGAAGTTTGGCGTACGTCCGGCGCCTGATCCAGTGGCTGTTACATTACATTAGCACAAACCCCCGTAAAGAACGAAAAAAAAGAAAAGAAAATGGAGGGGCACGAGAGTAAAAAAAACTCACATCAACGAAGCAATCACCGCACAAAGCAGCGGCACCCCCAACCCCACACTCAACCCAATAATCAACTTATTCGATACCCCACCCGTCTCCCCTTTCCACACATCCCCTACCCCATCCAACACCCCATTCCCATCCCCATCATGTTTCGCCGTGCCCGTGCTCTTCGGCTTCGGCGGCGGCGGCGGGACGTAACTCTTGGGCGTGCCCGTCGTCGCGGCGACTTTGTTGATGTTCTTCCCAAAGGGTATCGTGCTGGCGACGGTGAGGGCGGTCGATTCGGGGAAGGTGGCGGTCGCGCCCGGGGGGATAGCGGTGACGTGGGTTTTGACGGTGGTGGTGAGGGTGGTGGCTTGGAGGGATTGGGGGCAGCCGCCCTGGGGTCTGGGCTCGGCGCAGCCGATGTTGGTGTAGATGACTGTTTTGGTAAGGGTTGTGGTTTCGAGTTCTTTGCCGTCTTGGCGTGCGGCCAGGCGGTTGGTAGGGGATGGGGTAGGTGGTGTGGTGATGGCGTCGGCTGTGATGGCGCAGACGTTCGCCATGGTGGTGTAGTAGATCGGGATGCTGGTGTTGGGTTGGGGTCCCCAGGTGTGGCTGCCGATGGCAAGAGTGGCGCCGGCTGAAGCCCCGACGGCGAGCGTGTACTCTTGGACGACCTGTAGAGCGCAGTTTTCTTCCTCTTCGAGTTCGGCTCCGAAGGTTATGTTGGTGAGAAATTCGGCGACACTGGAGTGGTCAGTTGGAATCACCAAGTCCTCTTTTTAGGTGAGGAAAAAATCCGGAATTTGGGGCACTTACGTTCCAAAAACGCCCACGCTCATCCCGTACGACACCCTCACCTTGTCGAGGAATTCCTGGGGTGCGTCGTCCCCAATGCCGAAAAGGTCTGCCCCTTTTGCAAGGAACTCGCCCACTTTGTCCACAACGGCTTCATTGCCGCGCTCGAATCCCGCGTACAAGCCGACTCTAAGAATGGCTTTTAGAGTTACATGACCACTGACGATGGTAACCGGCAAGAACTCGAACTGGCCGCCGTTGCTAGTAAGATGGGTCAAGTTAACAAATGTCTATGATGTGAGTTTGACTGGATCAACTTACAAGATGATGCTTGACACGTTTTGCCCAAACAAGGCAATGTTAAATCCCACCGGTTCTTCAATAAGTAAATGAAATCCTGAGCGGATTACGAGCTCGCCCTCTACACCGAGGATCAAATCCATGGTGGCAAAAAGTCCAGCCTCGAGGCCTGGGGCAATGGATATCCCAACGACCGTCTGCGACTTGTACAACGGGATGGTCAGCGTAGCGCCCGCGGCGATCGTAGTGTCCATCTCCATGTATAAATCCATGTTGTCGATCTGGAACAACAGCTGGACTTCGGGAAGTGGAGGTAACTCGATATCGAAATCCGTGTCGATGTGGAAGTTGTCAAAGTTGACAAATTCGTCGAGCTCGAAATCCTCGGGTGTCCACAGTGCCTGGAATTCGTCCCAGTCAAAGACCTCCTTGAAGCTGTCCCTGGCTGACTGGCTCATGTTGTGGAACTCTTCTCCCAACTGATCCGTGAGATTGCCGAGTGTATTGCCCAAGTCGAAGTCGCCGTTGATGGTCAGGGTGGCTGTCGCGCCAGCTTTGAAGTAACAGGTCACACATTTCACTTCGATGCTCAGACTGGCCTCGACGTTGTCAAGCTTCGTGCCGGTGGTGTTGGCTTCATATGTGCTGCCGCCACAGTCAGCTCAAGCACTATGGGGGCCCAAAGACACAAACATCAATCACACTCACTAGCTGAAGAGTGTGGCATCCACCCAGCTCTTGTCCATACTCATGCTGTTGGAGAAGGTATTCTCTCGCCGGTAGTTCGCCGCGGCCACAATGTCGCGCCAGATGAGATTTCGGGTGTCTTCGTCCGATTTTCCCGGCATGTTCCGCGTCCGAACGTCCAGCACCGGGACGATATCAGCGGGGGAGGCCACGACGAGGCCAGCCGCCCAGCCGAGTGCCGCAACAATCCCGAACTTGACCATGGTGGGCTGCAAATATTTGGATGTGTTTGGATTACGGTAGACACCCGGTGGACAGTCAACCCTTCTCCCACGGCAGCTCATGTTTTCTATATTGTTTTCAGGGACACTTTCCCCTCCTTCATCCGCAGTCCGCTCCCCCATGCACATGCCATGCGCCAGGGGGGCAACAGCTCCCAGCCCGGCCCAGTCGAGCCCAACCCAACCCTTCGGTTATAAGCCACCCCCAGCCTTCCTAGAACAAAAGCCATTTTCCCGACCGAGAGCAGGGGGGTCAACTTCGGCCCAAGGCCCGATAGCCCATACCGGGCTCAGGGAGCCCGCCAGTTTGAACTCATTCCCCCATGTTTCTATGGGCTTTCAGTGTTCAAAATGTCGGAATACATGGGGGCCATCGAGAATTTGTTTGTGTGGGGCGTATGCAAGCATGAAGACGCCGCATGGCCGCAGGTCTGTTGGTCGGCATTGCGCCAACGAAAGGTTGTATTTTCCATGTGTAAGTGAACGCGCCCCAACCGCCATCTTTCGGGACCCTGAACCCAAGGGATCATGCGCTGCACGTTGAATGTTTGAGGTTCTTGGCATGTCGTCGTGGCATTCTACCTTTTCTGTATCTGATTTTGCTCGGAGCTTGCGGGTGAAAAACGGCGTCGCTAACTACCACATGGTAATTAATAATTAGGCGCAATGTAGTTGGGAGTTCGCAGTTCAGAGGCCGGTCTTGGTTTGTTGGCCCTAGCTGCCCAGCTGAAGAAATTTGCTTTGAAGGGTTGCCATCTCCTCTCAAGTGCAGGAACCAGAGCCCCGTCAGTCCACAAATGAATGCCTGCCTAGCTGCGGGATGCCACCAACGCGCCGAAGCGGCCTAGTCAAACGGCCTGGTACCCCGCACAATTTGTTATCTCTGCCATTTTCACGAGAATTAACGGCAGTGAAGAAAAAATCATGATAAAAATGTGTGGGCAGCCGCCCGCGCCGCAAGGGTGCATTGCACAGCAGCAGAATCAGGACAGGCCCCAATGTGGTTGAAACGGATGCTTGCATATGATGAGTGGTGTTTGTTGTCGGATGGGATTTGAAATTCCGGCAACCATTATGATAGGTTCCCAGACATGCATGCTCCCCACCTGGGAGCAAGCCACCAGCTTCCAATAATAGACCCCTAACATCTCGGCACGCGAGGCTGGGCTTGGGCAGGATGCACCATGTGAGTTATCACCAACTGCATGGGACGGGTGGGCCGGAGAGTCCAGCAGAACAAAGCTGGCGGATGGTGCACACCATTATCAGAACTTTAACCTTGGTCTTGGACAGATTTTGAAACGCGTTCCTGGGGGTTATGGAGAGGATGGGCACGAACCGGGACAAGATCAACGCCGCATGTTTGCAGCGGTATCAGGAAAAAGATGTGATGACAGGGGCCGCAAGGCTCTCTCCCCCATCGTGGCGCTTTGGGAGACGACATGGCGGATGCTTGGCCCCCAAAACGCGGAAATAGAGGAAAGTGTGGAAAAGGTGTGGCGGCGAATTGAGAACGGTCGCCAAAAATGAAGCGAACCATTCTGTTTTCGGTTGGCCCCAAGTGGCGTGGTTCCTATAATTATCGAAATCGTGTCCTGTTAGCATTTTTGTTTAAATAGGATGAAAATGTCATCGTTCACCTCTCACAGCTTCCCTTTCGCTTGGAGCTGGAGGAAAGGCAGTGGGGCGGTGGGTCGTTACGGAAACCTGACGGGCGGACTTTCCTCAAGTAATTAAAGTCGCCTGTGTAAGTTGCCGGTAACTCTTGGCCCCTCGAAAATGAGAAATCGATCGTGGTCGGTTTCTGGGAGGTTCATTTCGGGCGAATTGTAAAATGTCACTACTGCCGTTAAGAACACTATTTATCAAGAGCCGGTTATCGGTCTGTTCGTCCGGCAAGAGCTGCAATTTACTTTCACCGTTCCGGCTCCACTGGTTGCCCAACCACCATGCGTGTTTGACATTGAGATCGTGGAACCTCACGGTATCAAGGAAGTTGATCAGAATTGAAGCAACTGAATACAGTGAGCGACATCGGTTTAGGGAATTTTGCCGGCATTAATTAGAGACGGCGATGGCTGTAACTAGTTAATGTTCATGGTGCCCGGCGGACTTCGAGGAAATAATTAAACCCTGGACATAGTGCAAATAACAAACTCAAAACTTTTCGCTCTCGGGATCAGCCGGAAGTTCCGGAACAATCACAGGATGAATCCATGGTCACCTCTTGGACAGCTCGCCCTGCCCTACACCCTGAGAACACAGGCATCGTTCATTCGCGCGAGATGTCGTCTCGAAATAGACCATCAGCCCCCATCCAGCGGCAGACGGAAACAACTCCACCACTGCTAAACGCCCCCATCACCTCAACCACTTCACACGTTGCAGAGCGACTCTTTACTAGCAAGGAAGTGCCACCATGGTACAGCGAACCTTTTATCTACACGGGGTATCGCCCCATCAATTATTCGGTTGATTTCTGCCTACGAAGTCTCGCGTACCTGCACAATGAAACCGTCAATATCTTCTCTCATCTCATCCCGGGTTTCATAGCCCTCATCCTTATCAGCATCATCCCACGGTATTTCGATGAACATTTCCCCGACGCCAGTTGGAAAGATATTGTGGTTGTTCAGATATACTTAGCCACCTCAGCTATCTGTTTCACTATCTCTGCCCTATATCACACCCTCCTCTGCCACTCGGAGTGGTATCATGGCCTCTGGGTGCGATTTGACTACACCGCAATCCTCTTCCAGATGTTGGGTTCGTTCGTCTCCGGAATTTACATTGGCTTCTACTGCGAGCCCAACTTGCAGAAACTGTACTGGTCGATGGTAGGTTTCGCTCTCTTGAGTCTAATCCTAACTCCGCTAACACACATGCCTAGATCGGTGGCTTGTCATTGCTCTCGGCAGTCATTGTGCTCAACCCGAAATATCAGAGCCGAAAATGGCGGCCTCTGAGAGTTTCGAGTTTCGTCGCGACTGGCTTCTCCGCCTTTGCCCCCATCATCCATGCAGCTCTCATTTTTCCATATCATCAGCTTGATCAGCAGGCGGGACTGCGGTATTACTACGTCGAGGGTGCTTTGGTCCTGATTGGGACTGTCCACTATATGGTGAGTACAAAACACTCGTGATCATATTCACTCGCCAGTCGCTGATAGTGCCTGAGTCACACTTTCCCGAATCGTGGAAGCCTGGGAAATTTGATATCTGGGGGGCTTCACACCAAATTTTTCACATTTTCGTGGTGCTCTCCGCTGTTGTTCACTTCTACGGAATTTTGTCTGCATTCAGATGGAACTATGAGAATCCCAGGTGTCCGGTGGGTAGTCAGGGTGTCAGTTTTGGATAAGGCGGACTAGGCAATGGGAGTCATGGGGGTTGTTCTAATTTCTGGGAGAGCGCATCCCGGATATGAAGCTCTGGATATCCTCTAGAATATGCACATGCCCACTCAGCTGGCTGTTTCGCGTCTATGGATGCGCTCGTGGGTTTCATTGCAAACGTGTCGGCAAATCCAACTCCCTAAACCTCGTCTGATCGGCGAGGTTGTTGCCGATACCACTGACGGCCAAGTTTATCTTCAGGATTTGGCCCGACAGACACTCCGGTCTCGGAGGGCCGGTCACTTCTGCACTTGAATCATGCCTCTTAGTGTACGTCAGATCCTGGCTCCCGCTCTGGAAAAGCAGCAAGACGTTGGACAACGTAGAAAACTATTTTTATACTTATCGTATCTTAGGCCTTTGTCACTAATAGCCTGAATCGTATCCCGCTCATTGTCGAGGACATACCCATCATCACCGTGCACGCGGACATGGGTCCGTCAGCGTATGCCTACTTAAATACGAGCTGGTGAGCTCCGCAATGCGGCCCGGGGAAACTATGCTAGACCCGAAGAAATCAGATGGGAGCGAGACGGCACAGACCTTCCTATGGTGGTTCAAATTCGGCCTATTCATAAAACCCGAATGAAGGCCAAATGCCTTGGCCGAGGACGAGGTGCAGAGCTTTTGGAAGGAGACGATTCCAGTTGTTGAGAGTATTTTGACCCAGTAAATCATCCCTAGGTAGCTAGGTATTTGTCTGCAGGGCACATGTTCACACCTGAGCGATGAACTTGTGCCCAAGCCAAGGCCGATGGCGCCCATCCACCTTCCGGTCTGGCTCAACGCAGTCATCCAGAAGTGGGCTAGAACGTTGTCAGCTGCAACCACAATTAGCCAATCTCACGATGTTGTGGCCGAAGGATGACCCACATGCGCAGACGGAATAGGAAAGCGAACGGGCCGCAGCAACAAGTCAGAGAAGGGTGGCGTGGGGCTGAACTCGTGTTGACGAGAATATTGAATGACTTGTTGTGCAGGATCGAATGGTATCAATTGTATAAAGATGGGTTGGTTGAAGGCGGGACAATGACTTGGTTAATGTTGTTGCGCTAGTTATCTTACTTGTGCTGAGCTTGCAACGACAGAATGAGGTTACAGTCAGGTTCATTCATCCTGTACCAGGCGTTCGGCGCTCTGGCGTTATGGGCCACCGTCAACGGCCAGGGCGTTGAACCTCGTATCGCACTGAAGTTGACGGATGCAGCGCACGCCAAACAACAAGATGACCCCAACTTCATCACATCGCTTGTCCAGCGGACGCAGCCTCAATCACTGCGCCCGTCCAACCCCAAGGTTGATGTGGACAAGATCCTCAAATCCCAGCGCTTCGAAGACCTCGAATCCCGAGTCCCACCCTCAAATAGGCTAGCGAAACCGGCCTTGCCAAACTTTGATGCGTGGTACAATATCCGCGTCGAGCTTCACCCAGGGGCTTCCAGCAGACGGGCGACTGATAACGGCGCCCCGGCCAATCACACTGGCGTTGACAACCCAACGGTAGCTCTTCCTGCAGACACCCTTGATCTCATCCATCGACTTCACAAGCTGGCCGAGGTGGAAAGCGTGCATGCGCTGTACCCCGGACCACCGCCCAGCGTTAACCCATCGGATGATCCCCGGAGCGTTAATCAGGGGTACTTAAATGCGGCCCCTGAAGGCATCAACGCGCGGTATGCGTGGGGTGTTACTGGCGGAGACGGGACGGGCGTCAACATCATTGATGTAGAGCAGGGGTGGAATTTTAACCATGAAGATTTAGTGAGTTCGCTTTCCCTATGGGCCGCTCAATGTTGTACACGAACTGACAAATTGGCTTCCAGGTCGCGGCTGGCGTGACCTTGATCTCGGGCCGCAACGAAGCCTACTTTTCTCACGGTACCTCTGTGCTCGGGGAGATGGTGATGGTCGACAACACCATTGGCGGGATCGGGATTATCCCCAACGCCAAAGTCCGTGCCGTCTCCCAGCACCGTGAAGATTTCACCTACAACACCGCCGACGCGATTCTTGATGCAGCCGCCCACCTCACCTTCGGCGACATCATCCTCATTGAAGCACAAGAGTTTGACCCCGTCAGCGGCGTCTACTACTGGCCAGTCGAGATTGCCGACGCAAACTTCGACGCCATCCAAGTCGCCACCGCCTTGGGCATCACCGTAGTCCAGGCAGGCTGCAACGGCGCCTACGATCTCGACGCGTACGTGAACCTCGACGGAAAACACATATTTGACCGGTCCAGCCCAGATTTCCGAGACTCCGGGGCCATCATGGTCGGTGGATCGACCTTTACTGTCCCCCACTCGCGGTGGTACAGCTCCAACTATGGTTCCCGCATCGATGTCTACGCCTGGGCTGAAAGCATCGACACCAGCGACAGTGATGACGATGTCGGTTCGGCGAGTTACTACACCAGTTGGTTTGGCGGTACCTCGGGGGCATCTCCCATTATTGTTAGTGCATCCGCCATTATCCAGGGCCTCTCCCTAGCCCAAAACAACGTCAAGCTGGCTCCCGCCGCGCTCCGCGAGATTCTCAGCAACCCGGCTAATAACGGCACGGCCACTGCCAACCCCTCCGTCGACCGCATCGGTGTCATGCCGAATCTTCAAACCATCATCGACACCCACTTCAACGGCACGAACCCCGGATCTGGGTGTAACAAAAAACGTGTGAAACGTGTGAAACGTGTGTGAGATGATTGCGCTGCATCTCGTTGATTATAATTTGGAACAGTGGACGTCGTTTGGGTTCCTTGGAGCATTTTCGGTTTATTATCTTCTCATATATGATGGATCTAGTCTCGAACATGATTAATGAAAGACTTTAGCGTGTTCTTCATGACGGAACCAAGGTCGAAAACATGCTGAATGTGTACCACGAAACAAGTAGGAGTTACCATGCCCTTGGCTACTCCGTGCAAACCTTGTAGCTTGAGATAGTTGTTTTATAGCCGGCCGTATTAAACTACGCAAGAACATCTTGAAATAATAGTTTGGCGTTCAAGCAATCCCTCCTTACTTCCAAATACGCCTCCATCAGCACGCCGGTATGGTAGCCCATCTGTTTGCTAAGGAAGCCATTGAACCAAAACGTGAGTCAGACCAAACACAGAATCTTAATTCCGTCGAGAAATTTAAGGGCAGGGGAATAGTAGAGTGAGCAAGTAACGCGGTACGTTACGATCGCTGGGTTTAATTACGAAGACATGAGCTATGATTTAACATGCTCCTTGAAATTTCGCGGTCTTTACAACCTCGCGAATCTCCGGGCTTCATTGCAAGGCACGTGCATAAGTAGGTACATATGTTGTTTGGACAACTACCCAGGTACATAACGTACAGTGGGCTATGGCACCGCCTTGGAAACTACGAGGGGTGGTATGTGTCCGAGCGCTGGGGGTAGATCGGATTTAACCATCTTTGCAAGCAGCAGGCGCAACCAATTTGGCCACAAGCACATGTAGGAAGAATCAGACGATGGAAAACGCCAGGTCTAAAAGCAGTGGGTTCCATCGCCATGTCGGTGCTTAACCGTCAACTTCGCAGAACGAAATCGAGCGTTCCCTCGCCCCCGATGATACGATCAGCTGCCTGGCTCCCAGCACTCATGTTGGGCCTTTGCAAAGCCCAACCGCATTATCCCTTAGATTCCGTTGACATACTTGCAATTGATAGCCTCCCGTACCTCAGAGCGTGGCTAGAGAAAAATCCACAAGCTGGCTGCACACTCGAGAAAGCTGTCAAGCGGAAGGAATGGTAGGCTTGGATCGAATACGTCATATGCGATGCGGGTGGCGAGGGTTAACAACAACACAGGAGTGACTTGAGCATTGACCAGCGGAATGAGTATATCGATGCTGTTGTGTGCCTCCAGGGTCAGCCTGCTTTGATGAGCAGCCAGGCCCCTGGGGCAAAGAGCCGTTACGATGACTATGGTTAGTGTTGCCTTGTCTTGGGCCACCCTCTCAACAATTGTTAACCTTGAGTCCACCTAGTCGCGGTCCACATCCAACAAACTCCGAGGAACCACATGTCGGTAAGAACCCCTTTGAGCCCTACCGTAACACACAATTGTAACATTCAGCAGACGTTCTTCCTCCCGTGGCACCGATATTTTGTTTGGCACTACGAGCATGCGTTGAGGACGGAGTGCAACTACACTGGATATCAACCTGTAGGTGTCGGATAATCACAATCATGCATCACCAAATGTCTCATCCAGCTAACAGGGGCGCCTCGTTTAGTATTGGAACTGGGACCGTTATGCAAAAGACCCGGTCAACTCCCCGCTCTTCGACGGCAGCGAAGGTAGTATGGGTAGTAATGGCGTCTTCGAACCACATGATGGCGTCCAGATCCCAGGTTATCCCATGCCTCCAGGCGACGGTGGCGGCTGCGTCACTAACGGGCCGTTCAAAGAGTAAATACAGTTTTCAATGCCGTTCGCCGTACTTTTTCATTACGTATTGTCCTACTGACACCACACAGTATGGTCGTCAACCTCGGCCCGGTCGCACCCAGTCTCAAGGTCCAACCTAACCCGCAATCCGATGGACTCGGCTACAACCCACGCTGCTTGCGCCGCGACATCAACAAATACGCCGCTGCCGTGACCACAGCCAATTACACCTATGATCTGATCACAAACAACCATCAGATCTACTGGTTCCAAACCGTCATGGAAGGTCAACCCCAGCTAAAGAAATGGGGCGTGCACACCGGCGGCCATTATACGGTCTCTGGCGATCCGGCCGGAGATTTTTACGTCAGTCCAGGAGACCCCATGTTTTGGCTACATCACGCCATGATTGATCGTGTGTGGTGGATCTGGCAGATGCAAGACTTGGAAACGCGGCTGGCGCAGGTGAGCATGACGAAAACAATGATGAACATTCCGCCGAGTGAGAATGGGACGCTGGATGACTTGAGTGGGTTGGGGTTGTTGGCGGAGGATGTGAAGGTCAGGGAGTTAATGAGTACAATGGGGGGTTTAGGAGGGAAGTTTTGTTATTTGTACGAGTAGGGGTGTCTGCCGAGTTCTAGGACGCTTTTCGGTAATTTATTATTCTCTTGTGTTAAGTGACCAACAGGGTTAGGGTCAGATTGCTGTTCTCACGGCCATGGAATGGTAATAATTTACGTTCCAACCTAATACCTACCATCGCTCCCATGATAATTTACGCATTAGAACTGATTAGTGGAGAAACTAAACCTTGATCGTGCGTTGTGGGCTGACAATGCTATGTCGCTTTCAGTCGATGCGGCCCGATGGTGAGAATGAGGGAGGGGCTGGGGGGTGGTGTTTTCGGCTTTTGCCAGTCCAGTTTTGTGGGTTCCCCAACGTACCACGGGAATAGGACGCAGCAGAACCTTGGTATGCCAACGCCTCATTCGTGATTTGGCGCCAAATGTCCATCCATCCGTTCATCCATCGTTCCATGAGGCAGTCTACCCTGTCCGGCCGGGCCCTCGGCAAATCCCGCTGCTATGTCGCCGACCCAAGTCTTCCCAAGGTGACAACTGCATGGTAAACTGAGGTGGACTTCACAATAATGTGAGTTGGTGAGTGCCAGTGGATACCGTCCTGTGTGTAAGCCCCAAGCGCTATACGGTGGTGGAATAGTGATGTTTGTCCCGTAATATCCCTGACAATCCGCAAACCGGCCGAACCACCCCTAGACAAGGATCATTTGGGATAAGGGCAGATATCCGATTTCGGTTATGACCCTCGGCTTCTTCCCTGTGACAGAATCGGCCTGCCCAATCGAAGAAGCAGTAAACCCGCGCTGCTGAGTTCCTTGAACGCCCCAGAAGGACATTTAATCGGCATGTTCTTGACGATTCTCGGCCGTCACTGACCTGGCGTGAGGGCATGCTTTTGAGAGTCAAGGGGAAGAACGGAATGCCCTGAGGAACGAAGTCCGGAAAGGTTGACACAGTGTTCGATGGACCCGCCAACTGTGCAGCAAGCAGCCTTCTTTCTACCCATGCGCTAATTCCAGCGCTGCAGCTTGAGAGGTCCTTCGTACCATGTTTGAACCTCCCCAGCAACGCTCGATACGTCGCCCTTATCCCTGACCTCAACGACACGACCACCCCACTTGGCCACCCACAAGAACGCTCCTCCTCCTCCTGCAGCCACTGCTCGACTCGGATAGCCACCTCGCGCTGCCGCTCTCGAACGTGTGACTTCCCAACCACCCACTTAGAGGGCTCAACAGGGAAGCTCACCAAACTCCCCTAGGCGAATACGGTATGGCATCATCACCGCAGATATTACCTCAGATTCTGTCTGAGATATCGTCTGCTCAAAACTCGACATTCAAGGTGACAGCTGGACCTTTCAAGGGTGGATCCAACATTGTCTACGTGGTTCAATCCGACCGCGGGGAACATTTGTGTCTCCGCATACCACTAGACGCTGACGCTGCCTGGCCTGCTGCCAGGGGCGCAATTCTTTTAAACGTATGAAACAGCAACAGCCAGCACTTCAAGTTCCAACCATTATCTATACGTCTGAGCGTTATACGATACTGGAATACCTGGTAGGGGCTTCTTTGGGGCCTTGGAACACAGAGGTTTTGACAAAAGAGCGCCTTCGGGTACTTCTCGATCACCTAGCGTCGTTCTTGTTTTCCCTGTGGACGACAGATATGTCAACTATCGACGCTCTAAGTCAGTTTATTTTGTCCAACTTACGAAATGACATTGATACTAACTCTCCGCAGCACCCAGAATAACCTACCGGGAATGGCTCAAAAAGGAGGTTGACCGAGGACTTCGCCGCACACTGCAAGGGAGCTCGTCTTGGGGCAACCCGCTGCACTATCTCTATCGCCGATCCAAGATTGAGGAACTTACGCCTGATCCTGACCATGGGCGTCCTATGATTGAGCACGGAGACTTGAATGCGTGGAATGTTATTGTATGTGATAGAGGACTGTCCGGGTTAGTTTCCTCCCCCCTCCCCGTTACATCTAGCATTTCTAATTCGAGTAATTAAGTGTCATCGATTGGGATACGGCCAAGCTAACTCCCGCTCCTTCTGCCCACAAACACCACTCTTTCTTGCAGACATTCCTGGGTGGCGAAATGATAATGTTCCCGAGGGTATGACGTTCGAAGAAGATCGAGCGTACCTGGAATGTGCGATCGGCAGGTTAGAGGCACGTCTTGGGGGCCCGCGGCGAATTCAAGAACTCCTTTGCACCTCGTTCGAGCGTCAATTCCTAGAGTTATCTCTTCATAACAAGCAGATTAACGAGGAGTATATCAAACGGAGGTTTAATCCGAGAGGGTGGAGTGGGAAGTCAGGACTTGCTCAGTTAGATGATTTTCTTTCGGCTCATGAGCCGATGCAGACTCTCCCTGCTGTCCTAGAGCTCCGAAAGAGCTTAAACCAGGACACTGAAGTGTAAATTGTAATACACAGGTTAAGTCCAACTTTTGTGCTCGCTCGCATGCCTGCGCCTCTTCATTCGCCACGGCGACGGCTGACATCCATTGATGTTATAGTTCAGCTATAAAGGATGGTCAAGGCCAGCAGTAACTCAGCTGTAGGCGACCCAACATCTGCCATCCCGTCGGGCAACGGGAACGGCCGAAGCGTTTGCTTGAACTCAATGATCGTGTGATTGGGCTCTAATTACCTCAATGTGACGATGCACATGCGTGTAAAACACCAGCTGAAAGCTGCCTAGATGTAGGACATGAGCGACAGGAATATGATCCTGTTTGGCAAGGTCAGCTGCAAAACGGCCGCCTATATCACACAGAACTGCGTGATCCGTTCGAGCTCTGGGCGTGATGTCTCACAGTGGCGGCTGTGCCGGCCCGATGCGGCCCGGCAAGCTCTATAACAGGTCAAGTGCCTGAGAAAATACCGTGGTGTACATACCAGACCAGAAAGGGTGTCTGAGACACGTCTACCTAGCTATCCCGTCAAGTCTAATGGGGTTTTGTCCGAACACTGAAGAGAGGGAGAGTGCGGAATAACCAAGTCCGAGGTTAATTACAAGAAAAAAGGCACATAAAGTTAGCTATCTTCCGTCCCCCCTCAGACTTAAATAACACTACCTTACGCTAATGCTCATGTAACACCTTCCAAGTTCTTAGTTTTTTGATCATGAAGTTCTTCGTCCCGTTCCTATTCGCGGGGGTGGCGCTTGCCTCGCGATACACACTCTCGGTGGACCTGATCGAGGCTATGTCCCCCGGGGAAGGTACTGCAAAGATGCTTCCGCGAGACAATGGGGTGCCGTCGGTTGGCTTCACAACTTGTGATTTGGATCTTGCAGTCATCAGCCTCGATGAGCACGGCTTCTTCAATAACGGCTTCGTTATACGGTTGCTTGAGCGAGATAGATGGGCCTTAATCAGAGATCCTGTAAGTGATGGTACAGCTTTGCTGCACGCCGGCAAATACCCGGCTTGGGACCGACTGTTGAAATAAAATTGACAATATAATTGGTAATAATTAGGCCTACGCTGGTGACATTACCGGTCCCTTTACTGTCGATGACATAACCGGCGACTTCATTTATCTTGATGACGCCAAGGGACACCCAGGGGGGCGGTTTTGTGATCCTGCGGAACGGGATCATGGAGCAGATGAGGAACTCGACATCTATCTGTATCACCAGGAGACGCTTGTACATTACTGCCTCGGTCCCGGTTACAAGCTGACCGCCAAGCCTTACACCGGGGCCGACCCATAACGAGTAGATACGTGCTCAATACATGATTATTGCGCCTCGTACATGTGCCCGTTTACGTGCCACGAATCATTAATTTCCCACCCCCTATTAAGAGATGTTGCGACGTTCCCCAGAAGGGAAGAGTTGTCTGAGCCCGCATCAAATATAAGGCTCTCCGTCTAGCCCAACACTGCCGCACACTTCCATTGACACAATCTGCTTTTCACGGACGGTCTACTCCCAACCCGCGTCGTTCAATCATAAAGTTTCTCGCCCCGTTTTCTTCCGCGTCTTGTCTCCTACCGCGCTTGGCTCCGTTCATACTGAACCCAAATCCCACTGACGATTAACTCTAATTGACCGGCGGTAGCGAAGTTGTTCTGGTGAATTGGGTGGCCGATCCGAGGCCCAGAACGAGAACGGCGTGGGCAGACAACGACGGCACAGTCAAGATTGAGAGAACTACTCAAGTTACGGCTTCTGTCATAATTTATTTCATTAATTACCTACTTTCCGAGTGCCAACTGATGCCGCCTTCGCAAATGAAAACGTCTCCTAACATGAAACACCACCCCCAACGCCACCACCAGCGCCCCAACCCCAACAAGCACAGCCTTGACAGGATGATCCGCCACAAGATTAAGAAACACCCCGTCCGGCCCATGCCACGACCTCCCCGTGGCATGTCCCAGCACCCTCCTCCGGTACTTCTCCTCATCCAGTACCCCAACATCCAACCTGGTCCCGGCATCATTCACCCACACATACTGCCTCGCCGCGCCCGTAACCATCAACGGCCCCGACGTCCACAGCACGCGCAAATACGGCAGCAGCACCCGCATCGATGGGGATACCGCGCGACGTTTGGCCTCTTGCAGCGCCCACAGCAGAAAAGGTGACCCCTGCACGGCCATGAAGAAGTGGTTGCTCAGTCCGATGTGGGCTGTCTGAGTCGGGGCGAAAACGGCCTGCAGGCCGAGGCGCTGGACACATTCGGTGTCGGTGACGTTGCGCGGGTAGACGTCGAGATCGGCATAGATGCCGCCCTCGGCGTGGATGATGGCTAGCCGGGCGAGGTCGGCGCGCTGGATGTCGTAGGAGTAGGCGAGGTAGGTGGATAGTAGCCAGGGGTAGGTGGTGGTGATGAGTTGGAGAACGTCGTCATCGGTCCAGAGCTTGACGGTGTACCCGAACGGTTCGAACATGCCCTTCCAGGACTCGTGGGAGGGTCCGAATTCGGTTACGTATGTCTCGACGTTTTTGGTTTTCCAGACTTGGTGGATTGTGTTTGGGATGTTATTGTTACTGCCATGTTGTGATGCTAATTGCGTGGAGTTGATGTTGCCGTTGTTTGTTGGGCAATCGTCGATGACCTGCAGCGACTCAAATAGGTCCCCTTGAAAAAGAAATTCTTGCGATGCATGGCGTTGGCGAATTAACAAGACAACGAGGAGTGAGAGCGAGAAGATGGTGAGAATAAGCTTTTTGCCCCCACCTCGCCGAGGGAAATCCATCACGCGAGGGGACACCATGTTGGGTAATTGTAAGACGATCGGGAAAATAGGGCCAAAAAAGGAAAATAACAATAAAAATAAAAACACCAGCCTCGAGGGTATTACCAAGTGCCTATCAAAACGTGCTAGAATGAAACAAAACAATAATGCTCAACGCCGTGAATCTGTCGACGAACCCCTTGCGGGTGAGAATGGCGGCGACAAATCCGACACTGACATTTGAGCCTTGCATCAGTGACCCCAGACAAACGTGTTCAACCTGTCGTCCGCTTGGCGGGCGAGTAGCGTTCGCCTATGCCCATTTAGTACTGCTCAAGCGACCTCGATTCCTGAGGATGACCCGTGCCGGCCAAGCCCGGGGAATAGACTAAACGGTGGGCCAACAGCGTTGTCAGCAACCAACAGGGCCATCGTCAGACAAACCCGGCCCGTCTGGCACACCTGGGTTGCGGCACCGAAACGACGCGTCACGCTGTTGACCCGCAGCGCCTCTCAAAAGGGCGCATGAGCAGCGAGTGTGCAATGGGACAAAAGTCCCCCACAGTGGTGGCTCAGCCACACCCAATACGAACCTGACCGCATTCGAGGGAAGGTGTTTGAGGCCCGATGCAACGACCGGCATTTGATAGGAGGAAGGAAAAATTCACTCCTGCGCGGAGGCACTTGATGATGAAGCGGAATTGACGGCCAATACGTCCGCGAGGGTATCTGCTCGTTCCCCTCGGGTTGAGTCTTGGCGGGGCGGCTTAATTAATTATTGCTCCTTCGAGGACCGCCTTGCGCAGAGTTGGGCTAAGTGTGCCGAGCTGGGCGATTGGATGGAGAGTCGAAAACGACGACAAACACAAAGAATTGGCTGTAACGGAGAGAAGACGGTGAAGTGGCGCCACCTGTTAAGCCCCGGGGCAGATGTCCCCCAAGGCATGGCGCGTGGCTGGGGAGTTCGCCCCTACTTATTCACTCACTTTGTGGACCTGGAACAGGTAAATTTCTCGCTTGGTTGATGACCTCAATCATCTCAGTGTCAGGGTGTCTTGTTGTCCACGAGATGCCGTCCTTCATGAAGAAAATACCGAGGGCAAGGTGACGTTATGGGTTGAGGTACTGAACTGGGCGCCGAGTGAGTGTGAGCCGGTCCATGGTCTGAAAAGCATCAACCGTGAGCCCTTTCCAGGAAGGTTCTTCTTCAATTGCGTGTCCTGAAAGAACTTGCAAAGGACCGGTACAACGCGCTGAACTGCTCAAGCAAGGCACACCTTCACGGCCGGGCGTCGGCCTCTTGTGCGACATCCTAAGAAGGAATGTCAGTGGACGTTCTCTGTAGTTGGGCTGGGGACGTTCCGGTATCGGTTGAAATCCCGATGATACGCTGCACGACGTAAGCGTCATCCTAAGGTGAGAAAGTCTTCCTAGCTGGGAATCTGAGATAGCTGATGATCATCCGTGGGGAATGGTACGTTGGGGTATGCCCGCACAACTCCGACTGGTCGCCCTCCAAGTGGCTGATGGGCCGCGAGTATGATGCCAGGCTGAGCCAACAATGGAGGCGTCTGTGACATTGACACTGATAACCTCGGTTTGGAATGTCCCCAGGCTGAATGCCGGATAGCCGATGGCGTTGCTGGGCGCGAAATATGCTGGAATTGCCATCGTGATTGGCCTTATGCTACATGGAGTCCTGCTCCGCGGGTGGAGCTTCATCACACCCATGAAACCATCAGAAGGTTCCTTTGGTCGATCGGAAAAGAAATTAATGCGCCGCCGAACAATCCTAGAACTCGCGCAGGTGGCATGGCCCTTTACAATTCGCAAGGCGAGTAGCAAAAAGGAAGTAACAGCCAACGATGGAACAAATCCCAAAAAGATCACCAGCCGACCCTGTCCACCGGCTGAAGAGGGGTGCTTGGCTACGAAAACCCCCGGTGGGTTTTTCTCCGGATTGAACCGGCAGCCTCTCGATCGGTTGTCGAGGGGTGAGGCCGCCGCATAGCCGGCCCCCAGCCAACTACGCCACTTGGCAACTTGGTTTGTATTCTGGAGGCTCGGTGGCAGAAGGGACGTGGAACTTCTACATATACTGTCTGAGTTTGTGGTGGTGAGGAGAGAAGGAGCCTGAGTCTGGTGGGATGGCTTGAACCCATGTCACCTGACGAGAGGTTCTGGTCCCGCTTTACAACCTCCCATGGCTCTTTGCTCAGCAGCTCAAAACTACCGAACGCATGGTCTCGAGACTCAGACTAGTTATCTGCTCGCGAGGAACACCGCGACCGAAAGCCCCAACAGATGTTCCGCTTAGCTAAGACCCAGGCATGGATATCTCTGGTACGTTAATCCGCTCGCCGGCAACCTGATATGCCTTCTAGTCTAGTGGTTTAGATATTATCAACAGGCCAACGAGCCCATATGCTACTTCTGATGATATGAACTGACAATGGATAACACGAGTTTAGACCATTTAATGTCCATCGATCCCGTCATTCCGTTTCCGCGACACCGCTAACAGTTCAAACAATTACAAGGACCGATGCCTCTCATTCGATAACTACGACATCCTCCACTCGCCCCCCCTCCCCGATAACCTATTCGCGCTTCACACATTTCCAACACTTTGCGTCCGCGGGGTCTCTGCAGCCCTTGCGAAGCTTCGCAACCTTGGGATACGGGCAGAGAATACGTTGGTGGGTGCTCCCATCCGACACAGTGACATTCACAGGCGACTCTTCCGGCGCAACACCCTTCTCGACCCACGTCCGCAATTGCTCAAACAAGCCGGTCGGCTGTCCACTGGCATGGCCCGCGCAGTGGCTGAGACCGGGAACTTCATAATGCCGGAAGAAGTCGTGCGTGCCGGGCATCACGGAGGAGACCTCGTTATAGTACTGCCGCGTTGCAGCAGCCGGGATGAGGCTGTCCCACTGTTGTCGTTGTTAGCGGCAAGTCCACCGAGCCCCTTACACCCTGGGAGGGACGATAGAGAAAGGAAAACTCACAAGACCATGGAATGACACAATCTTCCCGCCAGCCTTCTGGAATTTCGACAAGTCCGGGTCATCCGTATCCAATGCCGAGCGGTACACCTGCCGACCATACTTGACGATATCATAAAACTCCTCATACCCAACCTTGTTCAGATCAAACTTCGGATCACCCTTGGCAACAAACATATCGATCCAGCTGACCGTCAAATCAGATGGTACGCCCACACACGTTCCCGAGCTGCAGTTCGTCGCCGCGGTACCCGTGAGCGTGAGCATCCCATCCCCTTCCGCACTGATCCAGGTACCCGGGGACAAGCCGTACCAGAACGGCTTCCCATCCGGCGTGACCATCCCTTGCCAGGTCGCGTTGACCACCACAGCCGCCGCCAACCCAATCTCCACGGTCTTATTGCCCGCCTGCGCACAGTTCTTCACCTTCTTCCCTACCATGCTGAACGGATCGAACGCACACCCATCGATATCCGCCACAATGCCATCCTCCACACCATCAAGCTTATCGCACTTTTTCGTCGCGGCTGCCGTGATGGCGTCCATCTCGCAGTTGTACGGGTACCGGTCCAGGACTTTCATGACTTCCTGCGGCCAGTACAGGCTCGTACCGGTGAGGGTGGAGTACAGGATGGGTGCGCCGACTGAAATGCCATCGTAGGCCTCGGGATAGCGTTGCGCGAGCATGAGGCCTTGCCGGCCGCCTTGGGAACAGCCATTCCAGTAGGAGTACGCCGGGGGCTTGCGGTAGAAGGAGGCGGTTAGGGACTTGCTGAGGGTAGCCTATGGTTGATCGAGGACGAGGTGTCAATCTCATGATCAAAGTCCCGTTGACAATAGTTACTAGGAAAATGGCACTGACCTGATCACCCAACGACACCGACGCAAAATTGTTGAAATTATACCAATTCACATTCCCCGCGCTGTTCAACGCCCACTTCCTGGGATCTTGTGCACTCCCCAACCCAGCATCCGTCGTCGTCGTCACATACCCATCCCCCAGCGCGCCCTTCATCGTCTCATACGAGGTCGCAAACCGGCCCGCAATCCAGCTTCCGCCGCCGACAGCCTGCAGCCGTTCATTCCAGCTCGGATTCTCGACTGGCAGCCATGTCTCCACTATAATATTATCGTTTTGGCCCGGGTGGGTGTAGGACACAGTGACGTTACAGAAAGTGGCGTTCTCGTAGTAGATGGTGGGCGCCGTCCAGCGGGGGATGTCGAGGACGTAGGCGCTGAAGTTGGTGACGAGGCGGGTATCGATCGAGAGGATTTCCGTGCCGAAGGCGGCGAGCCCGGCAAACGTGGACGGCGCACAGGCCGTGGAGAGGGATGCTGCGTCCATGGTGAAGACGGGGATCAATATTAAGAACTATTAATCACCCTTCACGATGAGGAAAGGAAGCATCAAGACGCGATGGTTTGAGCAGCCATGGTCGCGATATAAAAGTACTTCTCGCACTTCTCGCACTTCTCGGCAGCAGCGCGTTCTCAACAATCTCGGCCCGACCCATCAACGTATCTTTCGGCCGCCAGTCTAAGCCCGGCGCGGTGTCCTATCGTATTAACCGTATTCACGCGCATCACCATCCCATTGGCTTCCCGAACCCCGGTGCCAACACTGCGCCGCTGCGCCCCAAAATACGCAATTTCCGGCCTTTGAACTCTGGGCATTGGGGGCGGATTCGGACAGACCTGTGCTCCGTTCTAGGATTACCTAGCGAATAAAGAAGCCGAAATAATGGACAATTGTGCACGACCTCCAAGCGCGTTGCCCCTGTGACGGGTTGTCAGCCCAACACGTGGTGATGAATGGCAGAGTGCTGATTAAGATCAACGGGCCGTATCGGGCTGGCAGTCAAATCGTCCAGTCCGTCATGTCAACCCGCCAAAGCACACCGCAACCCCTAACCAAACATAACTATCGAGAAGCAGTCAAACGAGTGAGTGTATTGAACATATAATTAAAACGCTGCCCTATCCGGGATACAACCGCGACTGTCCAACCATTCCATCATAACACAAAAACACTCTTACCGCTCACACAAGATGCGAAAGCGACACCCCAGGGGTGCTGAGTATCTCCAACGCCTTTTCTTGGCGCATCTGCCTGAGGGACATTGGATTGATAACTTCCACCGGCAGCCGCAACTTATGCAATGCATCCCCAAGGCCGTAAATACGGCTTCCATTAATCTTCTCCACGCTCACACTCAAAAAGTACCCAGGCCACATCTGTGCACCCAACGTTGCCCAGTGCGTCACGAGTTTGCCAAACCATTGGGGCGGGCGTCCTGTCCCGCGCCATGTCAAGGTTCCCATGTTGCGACTCTTGCGTTCATAGATGAGGGCGCACGCATCTCTCCCATCGCCCGTCGACCACCACAGTGCCAGCGTCTCCAGCACCGGCATTCGTGTGAAAACTATCGATGGTAAGCTCGTGAGGTTCCAACCCGAGCATGGGGCAGCGCCATTTGAGGTGAGGGAGCAGGACCGAAGAGCCAACGATCGGAGAAACCACCAAGCATAGTTAACAGGGCCCACAGTGAAAAAGTCCTCGGCTGTGACTGAGAACGAGACGGAGAGATGGCGCAGAGAAAGGCTCGTCATAAACAAGCCGCGGACCGGGGAATGGTTCAGTCCGTACACGCCCATGGAGATAATCGGCTGCAATCCAGGGTGTTCCGCAACGGCGGCCATAAGGGCGTCGTTGGGGTCTTCAAACAGAGTCAAGGACTCGAGCTGGTTTAGAATCCCCTGTTGAACCAACATATACGTCTCTGCTGTTTGTATTGTTTAGCATGGAACTGGTCGAAGCAAGCCACCGTAAATCGGCTATGTAATTGATTACCCAATGGCCCACTTACTCGAACCGGTGTCACAGTCCCCTTCTAGTTGATTCCGCCACATTTCGTAAGTCAACCTTGTCAGCCGTGGGAGCGAAGCAAATATGCCCTGCCAAACCGACGCGTTGATGCGGCGCCGGAGCGGTCTGCGTATGATGAGCTCGGTGACCGCAAGAACTGCAGGTAAATGTTGGATCGGGGTCCCACAGGCCGGCCGAAAGAGCCGCATGAAAGCCATCAACGGAGGGGGACGTCGAGCCCGCTTGCCATACTGCTAGCCATGGCCTGGGTCGTGCCATGTCGGGGTGACCCACGGGTGTTGCCGGCCACCACCGGCTTCACCGTTGTCATAACCAAACTGAAAATGCTTGAACCAGTGCTCTGTGTCGCTTGAGGAGGAAGCGGCGATCTCAAGGGTCAATTGGCCTTTCGCCGGCCAATCCGCCAGGGCAGAAAGCAATTGGACGATCGCCCCGGCCACCATGCAACTCGTCTGCCGGATCAATTCCAATGTGTCTAGTGCACAACAAGACAAACAGCTGTAACGCGGGAGGTCGATGTGGAAATAAATGTACTGGACGTAAGACCGGTGGCGGCTGGTCATTTCGTTCAGGCGGTCAACGTCGTCCTGCTTGAGATTCAGCCGGCGGAAATTCGCTCTTGCGATGACGGCCTGCCAGTCTCGATTGACGGCCGCGCAAGATGCCCAACCGCGGTGTTTCTGGCGGACCACCTCGTCCATGATAAGCCTCATTATGTCATAGGGAACCATCTTCCCCTCTCACGCCCTGGGGGCGTTGCGTTCGAACCTCTTTGGGGGGGCGAGGGTGTGGTTGGGATCGCGAAAGATTGGTGCCTAGGGTTCTGCTCGGTCGGGATGGGTCGCTGTGTCCGTGCTAGACTCTTGTAACGATGTTACTGAACAAATAAGGTAAAGATGAAACTTAGGGTCGACGTGAGTTGTAAGCTATGGTGCCGCGGCAATGAGCGTAAGAGGGTGAGTTGGGGGATAAACATGTTCAAAGTGCGCTCGCGGAGTCTGAGCCATGAAAGCCAAGTCGCGGGCCAAAAACTTGAGGAAATTGCCAAAGTTTGTGCCTTCCTGTCTTGGAGCACCTCTGGGCCGTAGCCTTGGACATCTCGGCGCCTACCACATGTGGGTGGCTCTTACTCCAATTATGGGAAACTGCAACGGGCGGGTACAACCTAATACCCAATCTCGCTGTGGCCAAAATGTTGGCAGACCAAGTCCTTAGATGCCCAATTTTTCTTTTCCACAAAGGTGAAAACAGACAGAAAATAGTGAGTAAAAAAAGTGAAAGGGGGCCGGAAAGAGTAAACTAAGCCATCGGTAGTGTAATAAATGAAGATTGCAAACAACAATACTATAACTATACGGATATTAGGCTTTTACTTGGTGGGCAGCTATTCCAGCTGGAATCGTCGAAATATCTCAAGATTTAATCGAATGCTAACCGATCGGCCTTAGGCCATCTGTTTTGGACTGCCCCTTTTTGGCCACAGCGAACCAGTGAACCACGAATAGATTCCCGGTGTCAGTCCATATCAACTAAGGTACTTTCCAGGTTCCTGGGTCATTACTCTGGGCTACAAATATTTGGCGTGGCCCATAATAACCCCCATGCTATACGTTAGTTCTCAACCTTCGGCTAAGGTAATTAATCACCTAGGTACGAACACGTTTGTGACTATCCTTGTGTATTATCCCGGGAATGTCATTAACAGTAGGCTTGACCCGAAAATAAACAGCAAGGAATTCCCCTATGTTGCTATTTTCAGCGCCGTGTTTTCCAGAGTCGTAATTCTCCGATCACTTCATTCGGTTCTCGCCACGGATTCACGGGTTCTCGCTGGGCATTCCCGCCCAGCTCGTCGAAATAAAAAACGCACGAATAACCAGCGGAATCACACTTTTCGCCATTCTCGGCGCCACCTCTCTTCCCCTGATCGTCAACCTCACCCGCACACGCCAGTGACAACACGGTGTTAAGAACCCTTTGCCCCACCATCCAGGAACCACCAACGCCGTTGGAGGTGTGCCTCGAGATTGCAACTTCATTACCCGTCGGTACTCTCGGAGGAAGTCTTGGCGTGCGTTTAATTTGATCCCGCATTCCATGACTTGTTCGATGAGTGGCCCAGCGTCACATTCCGAGACCCCAAGATACCGATGGGGCAAGAGTTCCATTGTTGTGTAACACACAGGGACAGGAACGTGCTCAGAGGGTATTTTGGCTATTTCGAGGACACCCATCTTGAGGATGTGAGGCAGAAGTTAATTCAGGGCGCTCGCAGGTGCGTTGGAGATGGTGACAATGTTAAATCGGGGTCGACCCCAATTGAAGTTTGGGTAATTCTGTGTTTGGAAGTATCGAGAATCTGAAGGCCAATTGAGCCGTAGCAAGATTTATTTCGAGACTTGACTTAGCATTGGACCTGGCATTCATCAATTGCCATGAAGCTCTTCCAAGCAGCCCTAACAGGGGCATTGTTGGCATCACCAGCCTTCGCTCACCGTACGTCCCACTACCCTTCCTCTCATCTCCAAAGCTAACACTCCCCAGAAATAGCAGGCATCCTCCTCGTCAACAACACCGCCTCGCCCGAATGGAAATACGTCCGGTACCAATCCCCTTACCGTCTCATCTCCCACACTCCTCTCACTAATTAACCCCCTCCCCGCTCAGCAACGTCTTCTCCGAGTTCTACAACCCCCCCGGCGCCTACCCCGACGGCAGCCAATTCCCCAAAACGCCCCCCCTCATGGACATCACCAACCCCAACATCACCTGCGGCCGGGCAGCCTTCGATTCCGCGCCCACCACCGAAACCGCCGATGTCCTGGCCGGTAGTGAAATTGGCTTCCGCGTGTCGTGGGATGGGAACGGCCCGGGGGGAGTGTTCTGGCATCCTGGGCCTGGGCAGGTGTATATCTCGCAGGTGCCGGGGGAGGTGGAGGGTGGGTTGGGGGGGTTCCATGGGAAGGAGGGGGAGTGGTTTAAGATTGCGTATGCGGGGCCGGTGAGTAATAGGGAGTGGACTTTGTGGGGGGCGCATGATGTAAGATTCAACCTTTTCCTTGTCTCTTTGCTCATCTCTCTCACGTTCTCCTTACTTTGGGGGTGAGTAGTGTAAGTAGGTGACTGACCAACATCCCAGTTCAACTTCACCATCCCGGCCACCACACCCCCAGGTGCGTACCTTATGCGTCTTGAGCAATGGCTGCCGACCAAGATGTACAACTACAGCCAATGGTATGTCAACTGCGCACATATCAACGTGATCGGCCCGGGTGGGGGCACGCCGACGGGGTTTGCCAAGTTCCCGGGGACATACACTGTTGATTCGCCGGGTAAGTCGTCTGTCTCCTTGCGCGGGGTGTTTGAGATGATGAGAAGAAGGATGGCTAATGAGAGTTTGGGGCCTAGGTTTGCAAATCCCTGAAAACCAGGTTGTGGACGGTGGATGGGTGCCGGATGATCAGCTGCGGCTGTTGGAGTATCAGGCGCCCGGGCCGGATGTGTGGACGGGTGAGGCGTGAGGTAAAAAATCAGGGGAATAAGGGTAACAGGCAGGGCAAGGAAGGGTATTTGACGGCGTCTAAAATGGTACCAAAACGAATTGTTTGTCATTATTTACTGAAATTGATGTACACCAAGAAGAACTTCACCACAATCTCCCCCTTAATTCTCCTATGTACACCCGCCCACCACATCTCGCCCTACTCTATGCCGATTTACGAAGTATACCGGCCCAAACTACCACCACCACCAGGCCACGACCCAGTAAACCCGTCCTGCGCCACGACCTCACTCCCATCCGGCAACCGCAACACCGCATGCGCATCCTTACTGCACAACCCAAACGCCTGCAGCCCCGTCGGATTCTTCTTAATCACATGCATCGCATCCTGGCACTGAAACTGGCCCGCACACCCCTGATAACCGGGTCCACTAAAAAACGCCCAGCTCGCCGACGCATACGTGTGAATGTTCTTGCCCCCATTGATATAATTCGCGGGTCCCATGCGGCACCTCTTATCCGACCCGTTGCACCAAGAAAACGTCGGGTCGCCCCATCCGGCTTCATCGGCTGTCCATGGCGCGGGGGGAGTCATCTTGTTGTTGTCGCCTTGGTCGTAGTTCGTTTCGGTTTGTAGCATACCCACGACTACGTTCTCCGCGTTGCGCAGGTTGAGCTGGTACAACCACCAGTGTTCGGACCCGAGGCCGTGCAGCCAGGTTCCCTTGGTCGATTCCACTAATGCGCCGCGGCCGGCGGCAATGTTGCTGCCGCCGGAGAAGGACTCCGTGATGTGATCGGCCACCCAGTTCCAGACGTTCTCAACGTAAGCGGACGAAGACGCGGTGAAGTGCATGCCCAAAAAGGCAGCCTTGCATTCGTTGGCCGGGTCCTTGCAGTTATCCGTCAGCGCGCTCGCGCCACGCGTACCGCCGACGGTGATAAGGGAGTTCCAGAGAGCCGCGTCCCCGGGCTTGGACCCGGCGATGTTGAACTGGATGATGATAGCGCCTGGGTTGACGCCGCTGACGGTGAAGCGCATGTCCTGGATCTGGGCGACGCCGACGTCACCGGCTTTGCCGACCTGCACAACGGGTTTGGGGTTCTTTTCGTCTTGGAAAAAGGAGCCGGAGCCGGTGATGGTGGCCCAGGCTTCGCCGACGATGCGGCTACCCTTGGGGATGAGGAGGGTCTTGTCGACGCGGTATTTGCCGAAGGGGAAGTAGGCGATTTTGTTTTGTTGCGCGGCAAGCGCGAGAATGGCGTTGAGGGTGTCGGATTCGTCGATGGTGTGGTCGCCCAGGACGGTGCGGCCGCCGTTTTGGGCCGGGTCCTTGATGTTGAGGAAGTCGGTGACGGGGTTATTGGCGTAGTTGGGGGCAGATACGACGGGGTAGCGGCCACCGGGGGCGATGATGTCGCCGCGGGTGGTGGTGGTGTCGATGGCGGCGTAGATGGGGTCGTGGTTGTAGGCGTTGGAGTAGGAGAAGTGCTCGACGTTGGCGCGGGACTTGAGCACGAAGCCGTTCGGGCCTTCGGCAATGTTGCTGCTGGTGTCCTTGTTGAGGTTCTCGATCAGGTAGCTGGGGTAGCCGGTGGTCTGGAAGGTGACGCCGGAGTTCTTGGAGGTCGCGTCGATCAGGGCGATCCAGGGGGCACCACCGGTGTGGCGCACGCCAGTGCCGCAGGTGTCGAAGGTGGGGTTGATCAGGCTGATGGTGTCGCCGCCATCGATGAGCATACCGATGGTGTTTTGGTAGAAGTAGACATTCTTGAACGCGGCCTGCTGATGGCCGTTGTACCAGATACCGTTCTACAGAGTGTTAGTACCATTGTCACAAACATATATTTTGAGAATGAATCTTCTTAGCATTCGTACCTGACCACGCTCAATGCGCACATCGGCCACAAGCAGCGTCGAACCACGGCCGAGGCGGATACCAGAGTGTCCCTTGCCCCCGGACGAACTCGGCATCTTGATCACGACATTTTGGAGGTGAGCGGCCTGGGCGACACCCCACCACAGCGCGGTGAAGCTCGCGGTACCAGAGACAGCCGTGGTGTCAAGGATGACGTTCTTGAGACTGACGGCAAAAGACAGCTCGCCCGAATCGCCGGTCGCAGGGTCCTGGCCGGAGAAGAGCGTGCCGGTCGTGGAGAAGCTCGACGACGCTTTGATGATGGGGGGCTGTGATTACTTGTAAGTTACTTGCCGGCCACGGCCAACGTTAGGTTCCAGTGGAGTGGATACTCACGTTGGTAGCATCACCCATGATGATGGTGTCGGTGTTCATGTAAATCGTGTCATCAACAGTGTACGTACCAGGCGGCAGGTACACAACCTGGAAACCTCTCCATTAGTATCCCATCGCTCACATCGAATTCACACAAACAACGAGAAATGCATACCCGCGGCTGGCTCGCAAGCCACTGACCATGGCGCTTCGCGGTGCCAGTGCCAGCATTGATCGCCGCCTGAATGCCCGGCCCATCGCCGGCCTTGACGGCCTTGTACACGGCATACTCATAGTCGCTATCGAGATCCGGTGCATAACCGCGAACTTTGTCGGAAGTGTGGTCAATATTGGCGTACCAGAAAGTAGAATCCGCGCGCGCCTCGATTGCAGAAGACGACGCGGGCATTGGCGTCGCGCTAACCACAGTGACCGCGCCGATCCACGACGCGGCGATCGCTGTGGCTAGCGACCGGAGCCGGAAATAACCCATGGCTGTTTCGATCTGGGGACAACCCGAACGCGATCGAAGTTCGAGATTGGATGGGTGGGTGGTGATGGTGAGGATACCCGGTAGTGCAGATCAGACTATTGGCGGCTCAGGGGGCGGCGTGGGCAAGATATATCAGACTTTATCTCAACGACATCGTGGTCTTAACCATGCCCGATCCGACCGACCGTCGTCGAAAACGCCTGCCTTGCTTGGCCCGCGGCGACCGGGGAACATCAGATCTCACCCTTCATCCATGTTTGACAGGGAAAAGGGGCTAAGCTTGTGCTGGGAAAAGACCCCGTCATGCAACCCACCGCCGGCCCGCTAGCAAAGCCGCCGAAAGCGCCAGCGAAGGGGGAGGACAAGTTCGAGTCGAAGAGCGGACGATGGCGTGCATTGACGGCGTTCCCAGGCCCTCGGATCAAGACCATCCCCGAACGGTGCCACGCTCCCAGGCGGGTTGCAACCCACCACGGTACTTGGCACGCCAGGCAACCTGAAATCCGGCATCCCCGCAACACATCTTTTTGTTGTTGTCAACGGAATCTGCTTGAGATTGAACAATTCGAGGTGTGATTGCGCGCCGGGAAGGGGAATTCCGGTGCGCGGGTTACTGAATTGTGAAAAAGCACCCGAAAGCGACCAAATCCCCATAAATTTCCCGCTGGACCCCATACGAACCCACCAATTGCAGCCAAAGTCCCCTGCCCGCTGGCGTCCAAAACCCACCTTGGCCTCCAGGCACCAGCATTTCCCAATGGTAGTGGGGTCCAGGCCCGTCCTAGGCAAATGTCCCCTTGCCCCGCATTCTGGTTCATTGGAACTCGAAAAGCTGCGTTTGTCGAGGAATCAAGACGGCGACAATGATGAGGTGAGGAAGAGGGCTCGTAAAAGGGGGCATTGGTCAGCTGGGCGGTGCCAAACAAGACCGGGGATAAATCAGGCTCAAACTTGGCAAAAACATCAGAAGAAACGAACGGCCATGGCCTAAAATCTAACTCAGCGTGAAGTCATCTGAATTGACTTCAGTGCCTCCTTCCCAAGCTGAAATCTCACGGCAGTTGCTCCACTTGCCCATTTCGGCGGCCACGACTGGCCTCGCAGGTGCGTGATTGGCCGTGACCTGACTAAGGCCGGCATGTATCCCGTCCGATAGCTGCAATCCTACCGGGACCGAGGTCCAAGGCAGGCAAGAACAATGCATTGTTCCCTAATACCGAGGCAATGTTGCTCTGGTAAGCTGGGGCTCGAAGGTATGAAGTGTCGACCCTGTAGCGCGTTCGGACTGCACGATCAGAGCGAAGTGCGAAGTCTAAGAGGGACGAGACTAGCCCGATGGCCCAACTTTTGGGGGCCTGAAGGCATCCCAGCATCAATTAGGAAGGTACATATCTCGAAGAAACCGCTCAGCTCTTTCAGCTCACGCAAGTGGTCGTTAAGACGGCCCGATTTATCGGGCTGGAATCATAACCGTTGTGTGATCAAGGCCCTACTACTACAAAGTCGGAGAGTTCTCCTGACCGGAGATGAACTCGATGGAACGTTGCTGTTGCAGTGGTGCTAGACAGAATGGTTCACCGTGCCGGTATAGGCAAAAGGTCTGGCGAGTGTGCGAGTCTGGCCCACTGCTACCATTCACTGCTACCCTAGTCACCACTGAACCCAGGGTCCCGGTTGAGGGGTACGGAGGACAACGAAATGGTTATAGTTTGGAGAAAGGTTGCCCATATTTACAGCTTCCGTCTTTCTAGAAGCATGCTCGTTTCGAATTGAGGGTACTATGCTCGTCTCTTGTCTCGTCGGAAGACAAGCGGCAGAACGTGTCGATGGACACCTGCGATCAGTAATCCGCGGACTCTTCCAAACAAAACTGCCGCTTTCGATACCGACTTCACAAGGGCTTGAACACGCACCCTGTCTACACCGTACACCAAGAGGCCCGAAGAAGGTTTTGTCCAGCCCAGTCGCCATTTTAACGGACTACCACGGCGATTTTGGCTGCCGTCTAGCCATGTGCGTAAGGGACCATCCGGTCCATGTTCTCAGTCGACGTCCATCCAGCTAGATTACTCTACATGGATTGGCAGGAAAGCTTTTCTCCCGAGCATCACGTTTGTGTTCCTTTCGTTGCTTATGTTGGAGCAGGTTATGTATCAACAGGGATGTCATTAATGCAAGTAAAGGCATTAAAGTGCACTGCTATGGCGAGGTACCCCGTTGATACTGCGCTGGATATTACCCATGGGTACCCGTGTGGGTAGGACCCAAACGCAACCCATAACCCGTTTGGATAATTACTCATGTGGGTTTGGGTTTAAATGAGTTGGGTCTAGAAATACCTAGAAATATGGGTTGAGCCTAGAATGTAACCAAACTGTAACCATCGTTGTAACCGCCTTATACATGCTCTGGGTTACGTATGTTTGCTTGCCATCACGGGACCAGCGCTGCCTACCTGGGTGAGATCATGAAGAAGAGATTATATCGATGGGGGTAGAGGTCATATACGAGCCAAATCAACATTCAACACTAGAATTGGGTCTCACCCAACCCGGACCCGAAAGATTGGTTCCTACCCATATCTGCTACCCATAACCCGTATGGTTCGGGTTGTACCCACCCGTGGGTACCCGCGTGTGGGCAATTCCCGCGTTATGATTACTACCCCAACACCGACTCATCAATGGCGACGCATCCTACTACTGTGAGGTGCTCAGGTTTGAGGGCATCACCAACCCAATCAACTCCACTTCACTCCGGGTCATGATTAGAGCTCCCGCCCCGAGGTCTGCAGATCAATCCGGAAGTATCTCGGCTCACTCCTCTCCGGTCTTGTCCATCTCTCTTTCAGTCTCCTTTACGATCTCGACAGATTCCATCAATGGGTGGCGAGCCATGAGATTCATCTCACTTGCCCGAGGTGATGTGAGTCTGAAAGACGCGGATTAGTTATATATTCAGAAGAGATACGTCTTCTGGGGGACCGAGTGGTTACTTCTCGATAACCGGATCACGGAAATACCTTGTCGATTACGGGATTCGAGAGAAAGACCTTACTGTAAACGCACCAGGGACCTATCAAATCATATTGTTCAATCTCAGACTACCCATTAATTACCCCCTTGTCCCTTAACTTATCAACAAAGATCTCGGGCCCGATCCGCCTTTCCATCTTTCGGGTCTCACATCCCCTCCATTCAACACGCCTGAGATTCTCAGATCAATACAAATCCCCAGTTTCGACTCCAACAAATTTACCTATATTCCAGACTCAGCAGTCCACAAACGTTCTCAAGACGCCTTGTTGACTGCTGCTAACGAGGATCATTTGAGGATCGTTTTTGAATAGCCTTGATATGGGCAGCCCAGGTTAGCCACCACGGCGGAAAGAACCCCGCAGGGTTCGAACGAGATTCACCATCGTACATAGTACGACATGTGGTCGAGCGCATTGCGATCGGTGACTGGGAGGAAATCGTGTACATACCTTGTTGCGCCTCGACGACGTGTTTTACATCATACAATGCAACTCATGAACAACAGATCATCAAACTTGAAGTGGGCTGGGTTCGGCGGCTATCACCATGGATCTCAGAACATACCACCATCGTGGTTTGCGTAGAAGGTGCTGGCGTAATTAGGGATAATGATGGATTCTTGACAAGTCAAGGGGTTGGGGGGGTTTGGTGGGTAGAATGGTATCTTGTTATGGTGGTTGGGCGGGTGTAGTAAGATATTTCTGCAGGTGGTAGTGTTGAAACGGATGCCTGTATGTCACACTGGTATTTCGTGATGTTCTTTTGAATATTATTGTGTTACTTGGGGCCACCATAAAATGGATATGATATGTCAACGATGGATTCTTTGACCTCGTCCATTAAACAAGGCGTTAGCGCCACTAACTTGGCTACCAAATCGCTACCTTAATGACCATAGTTGAAACAACATGGGATACAACCCTGTTATATCTAGCTTTTAAGTCGAAACGTATCATATTGTCTCCCCAAATCGCACGCTATGATAAAGGAACAGAGACAGGATCCCACGACCGGCTCGCAGCGAGCTGCCTTGGGTTGGCAAAGCGCAGTCACCTGTGTATGACCGTAACAAAAGGAGTATGCGGCGAGGTACACTGGAATTCGTTCTTGCAACCCATCTCAAAGTTGAGCAACTAACTGGTAGTAAAGGAACACCAGACGCTTCCGGTATCGGTTCCTCTACAAATCCGAGAGTAGATGTGACACAACATCTGTTATATATCAACTTTTGCGGATGGAAAGACGGACATACAACTTAGGTAAAGACCTGCTCAGTCAAGCAAATAACACATATCTAAGTAGAGGAAAGCAAGACTCAAACCCTGACTTTTCTTTCCATTATTTTTCATGGCTCATACAGCCCGACGTCTCTAACCTTGACGACTCCTCCGTAGTAATTACACTTAACCCCCTCTTATGCGGTCAGACAACTATAAGCTCTACCTTGTACGAATAGTCCTCTATCACCCATCGGCGTTAACCTTGGGAATTAGCCTTACTCCTCAGCCTAACCCTAACCCAGCCCCCAAGGCCACGCAACCAAACCCCCAAGCCCCCAGACCCGATCTCCCAGATCTCCCCAAACACGAACCCAAATCCCAAAATAACTCTCCCATCAACCACCCACATCGAAGCACGCCGGTACTGTCCTTCCCGCCCTGAATTACCTCACCACCCACCCACCCGGTCATCCCCCCCTGTCAATCTCAAATCCGAAACCACACCAAACCCACCACCCACCTGACCTCACTTGACCTCCCTCAAATTACACAGTCACGTTGATTGCTTGCAGTACGCTTTGCGAGGAGTGCACGTCCCGCCCCGGTAACTTCGGCCCCGTCTGCCGGAACCCACTCAGCGTGCCCAGCGTGCCCAGTTAACGAACCCCCACACCCTTAACCCACAGCCCGGCGTCACCGCAACGGGCTGGGCTGGGCACGGGTTGGGACGGACTGGGACGGGGATAGCGAGGACGGGGATAGCAAGGACGGGAGCGGTGCCCGTGCTGGATTTGGGAAAGTTGGGTTTTCTCTTGCGCCTTGCTTTCCTGCAATGTACATACCGACAGGTCAGGAGGGCTCTGGGTATGGTGAGTTAATCTGGAATACGATTACTGCCTATGGTCATTTACAGTCAGTGACGGGAGAGAGTGAGTGAGTGAGTGAGTGATGAGTGCAACACGGGAAGGACCGCGGTGGGGCGTTGGGATGCTGAGGGGTTGATTCATCATGCTTTCTTCACAGCATGTGTGAGGTTTTGATGTGGGAGTCTGATGTGGGATTACAGTGGATTGAGACATATCGGCGTGCCCGCCAGGGGAGAGAGGGGCTGATTCAAGTCCTTCGAGAAGCTCTAGAAGGTCTTGCGTGTCGCGCAGGTCTGCAGCGCAGTTGCAGTGCTGCGACGCAGCACGGGGCGGGGGGTTCGTCGGACCGGGATCACATTGGTTACTCATTTCGGCGAGGCTTGGCTCTGCCTGGGCTTTCTTTGACCTCCCGCAGTCCTACACTAGAGTGTCGCCATGACTCGCCATGGAATGGAATGGCGGTTCCTGGGCTGAGCATGAACCTTGATATTTCACGCAATTGGCGATATTCCTTGGTCTTATGTACAGAGTATGGTGCTTCGTGTTTTCTTGGCGCAGCACTTCCTCCTCGTTCCTGTGATGATTTGCCCGGCCACCTCCGTCCGTGCCGGGCCGGGTGTAATCCCAGCTTTCCTAGATCCCTCTGCGAGCCAGTGGCGTGGCACCGTTGGGTTTTGCGAATTCCTGGTTTCGCTCCGTCTGACCTCGGAGCTTTCGCGGCAGTGACGTCGAGGCGCAGCGATGTGAAGCTTTCTTTGTTCGAATTCATGCCCTGCCAAGCCTGCCCTCTCGCTGAAGAACGCTCTGATCGGCAGGGGAGCCCACGAAAAGGATGGACCGACGAACGCGACCGTTCGTGATGGCGCGCCCCCCCAGGCGGAGTTGACGCGGTCTGACGCCGGCCGGTGCCCGAATCGGCGCTTGTCGCTCCGTTGGAGGGCGGGGTTGTCCGGCGGAGTTGCTGTCCTGTCATATTGCGCTCTGCCCTGGCGTTCCTGTCTGGGTTCGGTAAGGCTGCGTGGGTCAACGGCTCAGGGAACCCATGTCGGCCCGACGCCCTTTGTTTTTTTTTTTTTTGGAGGGAACGGAACGTGCTTCATGGGAGGCACGGAGGATAAGCTTATTACCTTGGGTGGTGTTTTGAGATCGGGTTCTTGGTGAGTTTTTGTCTTGGTGTATCGGGTTCCCGGGAGGGAGTGCATGAAATTGGGGAGTTTGGATTAAACCTGTCCTAATCCATGCTTGTCTCTGTCTTTGTGAAATTTTAGGATAAAAATAACATCAAAAATCCATCGCCAATTCTTCGCTCTTCAACGCATCAAAAAAACATCCCAAGCCCCGCGGCTTATCATGCATCAACTCCAGCAATAGTAGTAAAAGAGAAATCTTGACTTTATCCGACCACAAATCAAAAGCTCAAAAACAAAACCATGCCCCTCTATTCGCAATCCCAGCCCCCTCCCAAATGCTAACTCCCCATGCAATGTCTGGTTTGTAAATGTGTGCTGCGTATGCGAGCGTATGCGTGTAAAATGGGAATTAACGGAATTCCTGCCATCCGCCTCTTCAAGAAAGAAAATAAAAAAAAAGGACCGCCGTCAGCGCCGTCGATCCCGGCGTCAAGTCGGACCGCGCAGGTGAAGAAGTATCGTCGAAGAAGGCTTCTCGCTCTCGCCCGTGCGCTAGAAATCCCACAGCGTGCCAAATGCATCCATGCCAGCTGCAAAAGGAAAGGTTAGCGGCGTGGTTCTCTTCCCGTCCCGTCCCCACGGCCCCGTTTCAGGGCCCTTTTGCCAAGCCCTTTCCCGCGTTTGGCTGGTTCCGGTTTCCTGGAAAGGGGAAAACGAGGAGGCGAAAAGGGAACTCTCGAGTAAAAAAAGGACAAGAAAAAAAGGATGGTTTCCCGACTTACCCGCGCGGCAACCTTGCATCATCTCGTCGTTGCCCTGCTTGTTGCTGGTGATGAAAATGACTTCGGCGCCGAAGCTGTCCCACACCTCCTTCAGCAGCTTCACGCTGTCGGGCCGGCCACCCCGCTTCTTGGAGTCCCAGAGGATCATGCGCTCGGACGGGATGTTGTTGTAGATCAGGCCTGTGATGGTCGGTCCGAATGTCTTTTCTTGGTCGGAGCCGATCCAGATGAGGAACCTATTGTGTGTCTGTGTAAGCATTCTCACATCGAGCACGAAAACCACCAAGAGGTGTTTTTTTTGGTTGTCTCTCAGCTAATAGGGACTTACCAATTCGGGCTCTGGATGCAAGTGGACAGTGCCGCGCCGATGCCCGTTCCGGTACAGATCCGGATGCCTCGCTTAAACATGGCCGAGGCGTGCCCAACACCCGCTGCGGAAAACAAAGCCGGGTTAGCTCAGCCATCCAACCTGTCGTCATTTCCCAATCGGGCAACACGGACGACGAAGAACCTTTCAACCAGCACCTAACCCTCTCACCCGCGCGCAAAAAAACAGTCACCCGCTAAAAAGGGAGAGGGAAAATAAAGAAAAAAGGGCGACATACCAAACTTCAGCTCCCGCGTCCAAACCGTCTTAGGCGGGTTAGCCACCAACTCCTTAGTGAAATCCCCCTGCACCCCACAAATCATGTAGTGGCAGCCAGACCGGCGGCCCTCGCTGATGATGCCGAAGGCGTGGTATTCCATGATGGAGGTGCGACTGATGCGGCCCAGCAGACCCTGCTGCATGCCACGCTGGAACTTGAGGATGGCGACTTTGGGGGAGGGCTGGGAACAAGGTACCCTTGTTAGCTACACTACACTAATTATGTACGTCTTGTGGGGGCAGGGAAAGGAAGGGACTTACGATCTCGACTTCGACGGGGACTTCGCGGAGGGTGACCCATGGGATGAGGACGCTGTTGATATGAGATTAGTGGTGGTGGCTCGAGAGCAAGTGAGGGATGGTGAATGACTTACAAGATGGTCATGAACGCAGCAAACCACAGCTCCTGCGCGCTGAGAAGGGTGTTGGCGTCGGTCCTCCACTCGCCGCGCTTGATGTCGTAAACGTTGCCCAGGATCACGAAGACCCAAGTGGCCTGTTGTTGTTAGTCATCGGTTTCGAACATCAACTGGGGTGGTCCACCCACTGCAATACCCAGCCAGCCGATGAAACGGTGGTGCCTCTCGAAGGTGTTGTGGTAGTTACTAGACATAGTGAGTTTACGGTGGCAACCTTTGATTTTGGGGGTGTAAAACTGACTTGCGGATCCAGGGAAAGGCACTCAACACCGAGATGATGACGGCAACGTTGGTGATGATGCCTGTGGCAATCACAGAGCTGTGTTGCACTGAGCGATACCGAATGATATCGACGACCTTGTAAACCAACCACCTAAGTCTGTTAGCTATGTCCTGATTTTGACTGAACTTAGGGATTATCGACTTACCCAGCACCAGAAAGGGCACAGCCAGAGTGAATACCACCCACGTGCTGCAGAATCGACGTCACGCCCACCTTGATGCAAACCGGCGCCCACTAAAGATATGTCAGCGTCGTACAACTCAACAAAACAGAGTGAACCAAATGAAAAGAGACCACCTACACTCCTCAACCCATAAATCGAAACCAAATACAACGCCCTCAAGAACAACTCATTCCGCATCAACACGGCCATAAGCAAGTTCCCCAGCACCAACGCCCCCAAATGATTCTCCGCATACTCAAACTTCCCCACCGCCGCCAAAATAATCCCCGTCAAATTCAACAACGTCACAAACGTGAAGAACTTCCGGTACGTATTAAACCACAGCTGGAATAAAATCCACTTGCTCGGCTTCGGCTTCGCTGCTGCTGGCTTCTTCTTCTCAACGACTCCTGTTGATGTGACTGTCCCCGCGGCAGTCGGTGGTGTCACCGTGCCGTCGGTAGCGGAACTGACGGTTTCGATGACTTTCTTCTCGTCGAGCAGTGCGACTGGTGGTGGTGTGGCGATCACGGGGAGAGTGGGTGTGCTGTCGAAGATGCCTTTTTCGGCGTCGTCGTAGGCGGTGGAGGAGATGGTCGTGCCGTCGGGCAGGGGCTGCTGCTCGTGGTGCGACCAGTCTGGTTTGAGTCCCATTGTGGCGACTTGACTTGGGAGTGTGGATGTGTGTGTATTTTTGTGGTAGGTGAGTGGGTAAGCGGGCGAGGGTGATGATGCAAAGAAAGAAGAAGAGGCGAGCGAACAAAGAGTAAAAAGAAGAGGTGCAAGCTGAGTGAGTGATTGTACGCTGCGAGGGTAAAAGAGAAAAAAATAGAAATCCGAGCCAACGAGTGTTGTTGAGGTTCTTTCTTTAGGTTGTTAGGTTGTTGGTAACCGGGACGGGTCTCTTGCGGGTAGGGCCGTAGGCTTTAACGCAACTCGGGAAAGCCTAAGTAGATTCCGCAAACGATCGGAACGATGGTCCGGAGCAGGAGTCGATGACGAAGCTCCGTTGGAGGAAGGTTGTGGGCGGTGCAGTGTCGGAGCGTGTGGGCTTACGGGGTGAGCACACGCGTCAAATACACAAACCCCTGGCAAAAAAAGAAGGAAAATGGAAGAAAGCCCGCAGAACAACGTTTGTTGTTCCTTGGCCCAGAGCCGCAACGTCGGTTCCAACCACCCGATCGTGAGACTTGAACGAACTGTTGGCCAAGGCGGAAGAGAGGAAAACTGGATTCCGTGGGAAGGGGCCAGATCTGGGTGTTGATGCTACCTAAGTAGTCATCCAGGGCGGGAAACTGGGCGAACAGACAGGATGAAGGCATTCCGCGGCGGCATGACCCCCGTGCTTTAAAAAAAGCTAGGAAACCCAGCTACATTGTACATACCCTTCTCGTTGGGTTCCTCTTGGGCGGGTCCCGCCGACGGACCGTCCGTTCTTCGAGGGGAAAAGCGTCAACACGCTAATATCCTAGGATGTACAGTACCGATGTCCAATAACACAACAGACACACCCCTGAGCATTCAACTCCCCGAACCCTGCCCGACGACAACATGGCCGCAAGGGCCAACACAGCGAACTTGGATTCCCCATTACCCCATCAAAAGATGTGCCGGTGGTGTCTGGGGAGATCTGGGGCAGGCCGCAGTTCGGGCAATTGCCGCATCTGGGGTAACCTATACTCTACCGTCCAAGTCCCAATTAGGGCAATAATACAGCCGAGATTGTTCCATTCTCATGCCGCCTTGTTTGGCTGGCCGTTTGGGTGTTGATGTCACATGTGCAGGAGCGTGCATTGCATTGGGAGGGAAGGTTTTTGAAGGCGAATACTGGACGGCCCGGGTGCAACTCGATTTGGGCGTGGGTGGGTAGGTGGGATCTGGGGGGAGTGGGATGCCAAGAAAAGGCACGACAAGGGGGTGAGAAAAGGGGAAAGCTTCCAGACCATACGGGCAAAAACCGCATGAGGTGCCTGATTAGCCAAATTAACCCCGGATTCTACGGCGGACTCTGCACGTCCGCCCGGCAACACGTGCGAGGATCCGGAGACTAGATTTTGGGCGCGATGCGCGCTGGCCGTGGGGTTGGTTGGTTTCAACGAAGCAAGTCGTCTCATGTAGGTTGGGTTTTGTTTATTCGGGCGAGGGGAATTCAACGCCGACAGCCTTGCGCACTGCGTGGTCGGCGGTGATGAACGACTACGAGTCAAAATTGAGCATCGGATACTGAAATGAAGGTTTGGACGACCCCTGAACAGTAATGACAAGAAGGCACCACGTTGGTAAACAATAATATCTAACCAAGTGCTGGAAAACCAAGACGATCGCACTCCCTGAGTTGGCGACACAACATCCGCACCATCATCAGAAACATCCAACCCTCGCACTCCGAAAAAGAAAGCTTATCGGCCCTACGAACCAGGAAGCGGGGGCGAACACGGGCGGAGAGTTTCTTGTTCAACATCCGCCCCATACCACGATGAAACGCTGGGATCCAACTCATCGCTGTCACCGAACCGCTATTCAAAACCAAGCCAGCGAATAGCATAACACGGACGGCCGGAATGGAAGCAATCGAAGAACAACTGGAAGCTTTCCCCCTCCCGAAGTGCCGCATCCTCTTGGCATCCATTCTCTCACAATCGCGTACTGTGCTCGCTGTACGGGACCCCAGACCGATTCCCCAGACTGGTCCCCCAAACTTGGGTTTAACTCGCGCGCGCCAGCCGGACCAACCCGTCCAGAACCTCACTGCCGATCCTGTCTGTATTCTCCCTCTTGCTGCACAGCATGCAGGCTGTTTGTGGCTTACATATTGTTGACAGATTTGTATGTACTCCATGTCTATCACCCACGGTAGTTACTCTTTGGCCGCCCGTCCCCCCCAGAACTTCCCCAGACTTGCATCTGCAAGCCCGAATCGAGCCGCTCGTGCCCCAACGGTTCGTTCCATTGGGCAGACACGGCAAGCCGAGATACCTCCGAGCGAGGAAGAACAAAAAAGTACCTGCGGGATGACGAAATTCGCCAAATCCTCCTACAGGCCGCGGCCAAGGGCATGCCAGACCGCAACGCCGGGCAGGAGAAGACAGCCGCGATGCCGGGACCCTTTTCTTTGTCCGACGGCCGGATTGGGAAGTGCCCAATGACCCACAACTTCCATCCCGGCCCAGCAGGCTCAGAATGATACTCTGGCATCTCACTGCTGCAACGGAACGTCACGACTGAGATCCACGTGTAACCAACCACCATGAACCCGCTCCGGTAAGGTGGTAAATTCTCCGATAGCAAGGAAAAACAAAAGGGGAGTATCTTATAAATAGCGCTCGATCGACAGTGTTTACACAGACGGTTTTCGACAGGCAAATTTTGAGCCTCCCTGGATGGCTTCACTCATAGCAAGCACAAGCATAAACAGAATTCAATCCACCAACAATGACCCCCATAAACATTAGTGCGAGCGATACTACCATGGCCCGCACATCCGCACCCTAAAACTTGGCTTCCCGCTCAAGTGGAGGTGGTGTGAACTTGCCACGCCTGACACGGCGAAAGGATACAGCCGGGCCGTCGAGCCGACAACCCCCCATTCCTCTTCCCAGCTCAAAACTCCTGCAACAACCCGTGATCCACCTTCGCCCCTCGAGGTCCTTTCGCTTGTCGGCGACGAGAATGACTGCTTCCGTCGTTGTCTTTTTTTTATCGCTCGAAAACCCTCAGCTGAGCTTGGCTGCCTTGATACGTGATGATCCTGCAATGTTAAATTTCGGCCCAACATCGCGAAGGACGCCAAAAGGAAGAAGGGAGAAAGTAAAGCAAGGCGATGGGGAAAGCCCGTCGCGCGCATCGTATCCGGAGTCTTGAAACAGGCACGAATGAAATGGACAATCGTTTCCCGGTGCCGCCGAGCCGTGTGTGACTCCGGAGAATAAATCCAGCTTGCTTCAAACCGGGTAACGTTCCTCATCGCGAGGCGCACTCGTGCTGAAACGGACCGAGGGAAGGAATCAAGAAAAGAACACCTCCAATTCATTGCCGATTGCATTTGGGTCGGGGGTTAGCTATAACACCTGGTTGGTTGGTTCTGCTCTGGTGTACTATTGAGTTTGGATAAGCAAAGGCGACCGCGTTAATTACGAGTTGATTAAAAGGTGCACCACCTTTTGATCGGCGGCTATTTACGGCGCGCAAAAGTACGGCTGTTGGGAGAAGGGGCTGTGTGCCTATTCCTCATGCTGCGGTTGTTTAGAACATCACGAGAGAGGAAGGGCATTGGTGGAAAAAATGTTGATGAGGCTGATAGATTTTATGGGAGGTGAATTAAAGTTTCAGGAGCTAGTTATATGAGCGGGTTGGTAAAGGCGATGGTGATATCCCTTCCCTATGGTGAGCGACAGGCAGCTTGTACGAGACGGGCCGCGAGAACGGTCAAGATCCTTCATCACTTCACAATTGGGAAAGGAGCTTGAAAGCGTCAACATGCCCGAGAGCAAGACTTCACCCAGCGCCACAACATCGAGAAGAGAGTGAGAGAATTAGCAGCTCGAGGGAATCCGACAAGCAGTGAGAGCTGATCCGTCCGTCCGGGGATAGTAGATTGAAGGAACCGTGGGGGTCCTCAGGCCCACGGTGGTTGACTTGGGGTTCCGATCCAAGCTACCGGCACTCCTTCTCATATCTAAGTGGCTGTGGGGGCTGGCCCAAATGTGGGTGCAAAGCCGAAGAGAGGGTGGACGCCCTGTCTCCTGGGCAACAGAATAAATCTCAGTGTTTCGACTTCATATCAGGCACATTAGGGCGGTGGAAACAGGGCGAAAGAACCCATGTATGTTAAAGCTTGGATTTGGCTCAACCAATGCAGTTAACAATGAGTGAGGAATTTGTCCGGTGATAAGTGTATGACACCTTCCAATTCGATGAAAGTGAGTGAGTTTGTTTCATGTGATTATTATTGTACCACCATACATGAGCAACAAGGTCAATCTCATTGTAGACCAGAGTGATAACAGCAGCGTTTGGTCTGTGATGATGACCCGACATGAAAAGCTGTCTTGTTAATTAGATCCAATATCTGAATGAAGTAGTTAATCGTTCTGTTTTGGGGTTGCAGTCATGTCAGTCACCAACTTGGTACCAGAGTGGTACGAAATATGCCCTCTGCCCGATGCCCCGTAAGGCGAGGGTATGACTTAAGATGGTCGTATCTGCAACTCGAGGTTCCGGCTAATCAGTTTTGTTCAAAAGATACCATCACCAGTTTTTGCTTTGCGTGGAAAGTTAAACAGCTTAGGGACGTGATTATGTTGTTATTCATTTTCCATCAAAATATTATTATTCTCCTTGGATAGTTGAGAGTATTGACTTAATTATAAGCAATTATCTTCTCTAGTTTCTACTACTTTGTATCTCACTGCGATGATTAATTATCTGGGTAATTAACGTTTTGTAGTTCCATTGTGTCCAAGCGAAAATAGCAAGCATCGGCAGGAGGTAAAGATGCGTCTGAGTATAATGTTGATTGTTTAGAAAGATCAAAGAGATCTACAAGAACAATTTTAAATATAAGGCCTGAATGATTTTGTTACGGTGACTTTTTTGCCGCTCATGTTGACTATTTGCAACTTAATTAATTACGTCTCGCAACTTAGTTGCACGATGAGATGTTCACCTCGTTGCCAAGAGCCGTGGCACAAACATCTCTCAACCAAGTCATTCAATTTTTAAACAATTTATTGATCAGAGTAACTTTTATGAGTTCACTCTCTAATACCTAATTACCCATGAATGTGTAAGTTTTGTAAGTTTTGTTGTACCGAAACAACACAGGCCAGATATACCCCAAGCCCATCGAAAGAACAAAAACAAAAAACTATTTCCCACAAATAAACCCAAAACAATGCTCCCCCAAAACCATGGTATCCCCACATTTCCGTAGTTAGTGTAACGCCGCCCTTCATTTCCACACGACCAAACATGAGACCAAACATTGGTCCCCCTCAAACGAACTGTGACGCCGTCCATCCAGCCCGATATCCCATTACCAGCGAATGTGCCCATGTCCATGTCCATGCCTAGCCAAACCAAACCAAACCAACCGGAGTTCCAGATCAACGCCCAGACTTGCACCGTGAGGCGTAAAGTATCGAAGCCAAATAACCCCCAATCTGTGCAATGCAGAGAGAAAAAAATAAAGCCAAATAGCCCCCCCCCATAAAGCAATACTTGTGTGATCATCTCAACTCTTACCTTCGAAACTTTTCCTCCTCTTTCGATGATACCCTGAATCCCAAAAACTTCTGTCCTCCACCGCCATTATCACACTTCTCCCCCTCTTTCAAAAATTTTCCTCTTTAAAAGGCGGTTTGGTCCGCAATAACTCTTCTCCCCACTCTCCCAATACCGCTCCCAAATCCAACCCTCCAGCATTTTCCCCTTCTTTCCCTAGGACCCGGGTCAAGACCTCCCTCGGCAAAGCGATTACGAAGTCGACGGGCACCTCCCTCAACTCCACCTGGCCAGTCCGCACCTCGTCCTCCAGTCCCTCCAGATACTGCAAGGCTGATTGTGGCAGCGGCATTCCGATCCTCCAAGCCACCGCTAGGACGCCACGGCGGAACGTCCTGATACCATGCATGTTGCGCTCAAAGTTGTGTAAGAGGGCACAGCCGCTGGTGAACGCGGCGTGAGTGGATATGTCGTCGAGAAACGGGATGAAGGTGAAGACAGCAGACCACAGTGGGATGACGATGGCGGGAGAATACTGTGGAGTGGCGCGTTTCGTGAGGTAGGTGTGCATCAAGGTGATGTCGGTCGTAGCCAGGGCGAGAAGGTGGGCCCTCGCAGTGGTTATGGTATCGCCTACGTGAATCGTGGTCATGGAAGGCAGTGGCCGGAGAACATTGTAGGCTACCATGTCGAGGTAGACTCTATGCACGCCCGCCAAGTTAGATTCGAGTTCAAAAGGGAATGGGTGAGGAACAGGGAAGATTGGGCACGTACTTTGTTTGAATGACTATGCTGTCCTCGGTGTACACGTCATGCGGCACCGGAATTAGCCTGCCTTCCAGTTGGCTGAGCTCATAGAGAAGGTGTCTACGAGGCACTAAGTCAGGCTCTTCTCCGACCGGCATCTGCGGCTTCATGTTGTAGGACATGGCGCGGTACTGCAGGTGAGATATCTCGTTCACACTGGGAAAGGAATTCGGGGGAGGCAGAAGTGACAGGGCGTTGACCGGGTTTAAAATGGTGTCCGGTCCATATGAGGGCAGAGGGGTAAGCGGGAGGCCTTTGATGGCTGGAGCCTTGAGGTAAGTACTGCAGAGGATGCTGTTCGTGGAATATTAGCGTTAGCCTAGAAGGATGTAAGCAGCCATGGTGTTGTAGTAATACGTACCACTCAAAGTTAAAGATGGCCCAATAGGTCTTGAACAAAGCCCGGCGCTTATTGGCATCCTCGGGGTTGGAGCTGCGGGGCTTCATGAGCACCACCTTCTCCACGTCTGAGTTTTGAATGTAGTCGAGAGCGGCGAGACGGTAAAGTGACCCCGCTCGATTCGTGCTCAGATGACATGTGAAGAGGAAGAAGTAGTACAGTGATTGGAGGGTGGTGACGCGGCGCTTGTCCGCCTCGGTCTCGAAGTGCTTCTTTGCTTCGGCCGCGAAGCGTTTGGTGAGGTCTGTCCCTGTAGCTGCATTGATATGCCTGACTCTCTCGGAAAATAACTGTAGAACCAGGGATCGGGGGGATGTCAGTAACCCATGGCGCATCTCTGGCTTGGCTAACGGGAGGGGATGCAACTGACCGAACGCAACCCACAGATGGTGTTGACGAGAAAAGGCGAACAAAACTGGCTATTTGCCAAATCGCCCCGCTTCATATCCCTCAAAAAGAGCTCCGAATCCAAAAGCAGCAGACAGTGGACAAAGGGATCCTGCTCATCACGACTCAAATAATCCGAGATGAGATGTGACACTAACCCATCCCCGGCAACTGAAGTCCATGGTTTCGCAGGCAACTTGTGCCGGCTCTCCGCTAACGCTTCGTTGTCGATGCGCTTGACCTCCCCATCGATGGTCGTTATGGGTTGGCGGAGAAAACCGGCGTCAACGACGGCCTCGAGGGCAAGTAGCGGGTTGTCGCCTTGTGCCCCTACCCTCCGCAATGCCTCGAAAGCTTCCGTCTCTGGTGCCTTCGAAATGCTGGTGAAAATGTGCTTGAGCTGACCGTTTTCCCGCTGCAACTCCTCCGATGTCTGCTTCATATCGGCGAGACGCGAGACAAAACCCTCCCGCACGTCATACTTGCACGGGTCATGGCGCCGGATGCAAGACTTGCACCTTGGCCGCTCACCGGTGCACTGGGATATCGGGTTAGGATCCCGCGCTGGCGTGAGTTCAACTTTGAGATGCAGGGGCACGGGCCGCTAAAACTCACTTTTGTTTTCCGTTTCTGGCACGTACCACACGCAATGCTGTTTTGCGTGCGGGTCTTCTGATGGCCAACACGCTCTTTGCGGTCGGCCAAAGATCCGGGCTTGGGAGGCGACTTGGGTGACTTTTTGTTTCGCATCTCGGACGACGTGGAGCTGGCGCGTGAGTGGTTGGTGTCGTCGAGACCGGCGGGCGGTGAGGGGGCCGCGTAGGTTGTAGTTGTGGTGGTGGTGCTGGTGTTGGCGAGGGCGGCGACAGCGGCCTTAGCTAGGCGGGTTTGCGACGACGAAGGCATGACGCATCGAAAAATCCAGGACCCCCGATTCACGCCTGCTCCGGGCAAGGGCCAGAGCGTGGGGTTTTTAAAGTTTGGAGGGGTTTCGAGCAGTGGAGGCTCAAGGAAGGCCAGCGTTCGAACCGTTGGTCGTGCCCAAGCAAGCCTCCCGTTCAGCCATGCGAGGGTTGAGGGGGTGGTCGATCGAGGCTGGAACGTGACAAGCGCGCATCCATTGTCCCCCATTTTGCACCCATTGTTGTGACAAGCCGGTGAGCCCACCCGGCTCAGAATCCCCTGGGTTTCGGGACCATCTCCGGCCCCCTGTGGGTCTCCCGCACCTGTGATTGGCGCTGCAATCGCCAAGGTTACTTTCCGAAAGAACTCGCGAGTCAGGGCGGTGTTTGCGATGGGGCCGTTCTCTTCCCAGGTGTGGCTGTCCACCATATTTTGCACGCTTCCGATCTTTTTGCAAGTAGCAATGCTCCGGGATCTGGTCTGGAGTGCCAGAGCGCGTGAGCGCACTCAGCGGGTACCCATCCCGGTTGGTGCCTGGGGCCAGGATCGCAGTGTAGTGGATGTACAGTACATCACCTCTTGGGGCCTGTTCACGTCACCTGGGCGAGAGAGCACGAAGCACGAAGCCGAAGTCTGGACCAGCCCTGCAAGGGCGGCATCTTGAAGCTTGTCGAATGTGCTGGATCTGATGGAAGATGCCATCGTCCCAAGTGGCGCATTGAAGGTGGCGCGCAGGTTGGGTGGTGCGCGCAATGCGGCCGTTGGACCGGGCTGATTCGGTCATTTTGTCCGATAATGGTCGGCGATGGGTTTGCCCCAGAAGCGTGTTTTCCTTTTGCGAGTTGGCTGGCCCAGATCTGACGTGCGGGAGATCGGCTACCGGCGGAAATTTTGGGCCTCTTATAGCGCTGCATAGGCTTTAAGCCCTGGCGAGAGGCTTGTTCGTGTAAAAATGTCAATCGTTGAAGAAGGTCAAATATCGCGAAGGAAGTCGTTTTGTTGGTGTGGTTTCGTGTGCTGGGAAAGAAGGACGGGAGTTGGAATGACTGACCGTCGTGCGCAACACTAAAGCGTTGCCCCTGGAACTAGATCTCACGCCAGGTCCAACCCGGATGCGCCTTCCAAGAAACTCAAAGCTGTCGGCCTGGGCCCTGGAGCGACGCGAGTCGGGCATGCAGCGGGTGGTGCCTTCCTCCCGCTGGCTCATTACGGAACCTTGAAGGCCTGGAGAGTTGAGGATTACAGGGCAGGAGGGCAGGTGGCAGGGAGCGTTGCGGGACAGTGGGGTGGGGTGCCCGGGGCGATGGCCCTCGGCCCCGCAGTGATTTTTTTGGTCCCCGAGGAGGCTTGGCGGCTTGGGGGATTGATGGGGCTCCGGGCGGAATCGAGCAATCGCACCCAAGATTGGCTTGATGATTGCCAGGCGCCAAGCTGGAACAATTCCGCGCGCGGTCGGATCATCACTTCCGCCGGCTTCCCATTGACGCGGAACAGCACTCAATTGGATCCAAATGCGAAGTCGTCTTCTTAATTCCTATTGATCGCCCAATTCAGACCCATTGCGGGTGACAAACCCCCCACTTGCCGAATCATGAACTCCTGATGTGAGACCGGGGTCTGCAGAACTCCGAAAACCTTCGAATTTCAGATCTCGTGGTTGAAACACGAGCCTCATTTGGAGGCTTTCTCGATTTGGATTCACAGTCTTGGGTAGCATTGTGCTCGAGCTTGGCCAAGCCGACACCAACACACCAAGAGGAAGGCGATAACAGTCGGAAAGTACACAACCACGTCAACTAACCTATGGAGATTGGAGGGGGCGAAACTTTCAACCGCGAAAGGCACGCGACAGCACCCGGAATATTATGATGGCATTCGACGCGTGATAGTCTCGACGTGGCGCCCGAGGGCCATCTTCTCAGATTCAAAATACTCGGTAAGTCTGGAGACGGGCGCAGATACTTTTCCGAAGTCCAAGACTCCTCCGCACGAAAGCCGCAGCTCGCTACCCAAGATGAGTAGCGAGCGTACGGTGTACCGAGTTTGACCTGCCGTTGGACATTTGCCGGCGGGGCAATATGCGAGGTCATACATACAACCCCAAAACCCGAATGGGGCTTGCGGATAAGTAAACCATAATTTGGAGACCTAGGAGTGAGCTCCTAATTACTAAAAACATCCACCCGCATGTTTATCGAGATCCTTACGCTGAAACCCGCAACCTAACCACCACGTGGTGTCTTGTCTGCCTTGGTCGTTTCCTGGACCTTCTTATCGTCATTATGGAGAAAGAATTTGCTGAACTCCGAGAAGAAGTGCGCGCCTTACGAAAGGAGCTGTCCCGCGTTTCAGGCAAGGCCGTTAAATCGACGTAAGCAATTTAAATATCACAACTAACATCAGCAACGCAGACGAAGCTGAAGTGCGTAAGAGTCATCACAAATACGGGTATTACCTCGACAAATGCCTGTACAATGAAGTGAGTTCACCCCTGTATCTTTACAGTAATCCGGTCTGTATCTTACAGAACCCGAACACCACTCACCCCCTCTCCAGGTCGTAGACATGTTCTCCGACCACCCCGACGCCTACGTCGAGTTCCTCGGCTCACGCTACCGCGGCAAAGCCGGCATCAAACGTCTCTACCAAGGCCGATTCCAAAGCATGTTCGTCGCCGGCCGCAACGGGCCCGTCCACGGCTGGCTACTGGACCACATCATGATGCAAGACATCGTCGACGTCGACGACACCGGCACCCACGCCTGGTGCCGCATGCGCACGCTCATGCAAGCCGGCACGCACCAGAGCATCGAGGAGTCCTACCCGCGCGGCCACCGGCAGTGGTGGGAGGGCGGGCTGTATGAGAACGAGTATATCAAGGAAGATGGGGTGTGGAAGTTGTTCCGGTATCGGTATTTCCCGTTTTGGCATGCGGATTTTGCGAAGGGCTGGAGTCATACCAAGAAGAATTACATCCCCTGGCCTACGGTGACATATCCGGAGGATCCGTTGGGGCCGGATGAGCTATTAAAGCAGAAGATGTTGTGGCCGGATACGCGGGTGGTGCCGTTTCATTATCCGCATCCGGTAACGGGGAAGAAGACGGCGGAGGATGATTTACGGGCTCCGGTGTATGGGGCCGATGTGGAGACGAGTGACCCCGCGTTGAGGTTGGATTTGCCGGAGGGGCAGAGCCGCCCGGGGGCTAGTGAGCAGGAGTCTAGGCCGGGGGAAAAAGTGTTGCCCGAGTTGGTACAGAACAAGGCGGTGGAGTAGGGATTGTACATGGGCCTTAGAGCCGAGTGTGACAGTTATCAGGATCCGTTTACGAAGTAAGGGAGAACTCAAGTTCCGGGGATACGTTACGCTAACATCACTATTATTGTCCTGTTATTTTCTGCAATCTGAATGAATTCACCTCGTCAGGAGTTAGTATTGTCTTTGGATTCCCATCATTGTTGCGTGGCGAGTCAGCTGTTGGGGAATCCTTGTCTCGCCTGCTCTCCCTTACTTGACTGGGGTAGCTTGCGCAGGGCATTGGAATGTGGTCCGGCCCGACCCGAAATGTCGGAAATCGCAACCACCGGATGCGGGGTGCATGGGTTGCGGATAGTATGACTCGATGGTCCAGAACTATTCCATGGGGCAGTTATTAGATCATAGTTGCTACATATCTCCTGTCGCACGACAAGGAGCGGTTGTAGGTCGACTATTTTAGTTTCTCACCACTACAGGTAGGACCTCGTCGTGTGGATGGCAGATCAAGGGAGGCTCGAACGGGTGATGCCGTGCGACTGTCGCGTGGATTGGAGTTCGATGTCAGTCGAAACATTGTTTGCTCGCCACTACACTCGCAAGATACTTTGGGTAGCCGGTACGTAAGAATGGTGCGTTAGTGAATCATGATGTGACAGTAGAGCTGTCAGGGACCTTGGCGCTCTTGCGTGCATGCAGTAGGTACGGGATGCTTTTCTACGCCTTACCTTAGGTACGTACCCGCCATTCCATTGGCCTGAACGGCCTCAGAGTCGCACGGGGTGGGTGTCATCTACGTCTCTGCATGCACACTTCCCGGGTTCGCACGCTTCCAGCGGGCGTGTGCCGGGTTGGGCTTGCAAGCAGGACAGCGTCCAGTGTTGGCGGGCATATTGGTGGCTTCTGGGAAGAAGGTTGGCTTACAGTTGGTGTTACGGTGATAGACAGCAAAGGATAATAGTAAAATGTGAGAGCGGGTAGATGAGTGGCTTACAAGTTGTGGAGGGAAGTTGTTGTTGCAATGAGTAGGTACTTGATGCGATGTGATGCTGAAAGGAAATGACCGAACTAATTATCTACCATTTCGTTGCTCTCGGGGATTCACGCACAGTAACTTACCCAGCTCGGATCGGGTCCACGGGCTCACTATCTTAGTCGAGCCGGTGAACCATTCCATGGCCGTAGAGGTAGTAGATTCTGATGCTGTTCTGGGCTCAGTGGTCCGTGTTAATCAGGAACGGTAGGTCTCACAAGGCAGAAGAATGATTTCGTTGACACAGGAAGCCTAACTGAAAGGTGATGGTGTATGGTAATCGACGGTGATAGGTGTCTGAAGAAGGCCTCTGCCGAGAAGGTAATCCTGCAGCGGAATGAGCTGCAGCGGGATGGGAACATGCAGGTGGTTGGTGGTGGTAACCAACGAGCATTGGGATTCAAGCTTCTAGGACGCGTCAACTCGCCTGCATTGCTGCCCAACAAAAGTCACACGCGGTGCGGAAGAATACCTGCTTGCAGAGCGATAACCACCTGCTAAGAGATGGTTGTGCGTGTAGCAGTCAATCACCCACCTAAATATCCTAAATCATGGGTTTAAAGACCTTCCAACCTCCAGAGCTTCAGACCCGCCTTCAACCTTCGAACTGACATCAGTCGGCGTGTGAACTGACCCTGGATTCTCGGCTTGGAATTGTCCAACACAATGGCAAACGTTGCAATCGTTCTCAACAACTACTTTCGGCCAGTCCTCGTGCGGTTTAAGATCAAGGACTTTTCGATATGCGGGTCAGCCACTCGATCCGAGTTGGTAAAGCTGGGAGCGGAAGAGAGGCTGAAGGAGTCGGAGCTATCGCTCTCGTTGATGAGCAAGTTCCTCGAGAATCCGTGAGAACCGGAAGGGGGAGACCTCTTTCACTTCCGCTATGTCCGATAAGTTTTGCTGACTACCTAGTTTTGAAGGGGACCAAATGACCATTTCTGCCTGGAAGATCAATAGACGGTAGTGGATGGTAGCATGACGCTAAAAGAATATGTGGAATGCACCCTAGAGGTACGCTGGGCCACCTTCCAGGAACTTTCATGTCATCGTGACCGCCCATGACTCGGGGCTGTATAACATCCAGGTCCTAATTAATCTACCAACCTCTCCTACAGAACCTGAAAGCCGTGACATCCGGCAGCCAATCCGAGGTTATCTTTATTACCGTGTTCCTGCTGAGAAACGGGAATAGGCCAACAGCCGGCACCTTATCCGCCAGTGGATATGCGATGAGTGCCTCGGCGCAAGGAAACGCTATTCATCCAGCCGACATGACAGCGAAAGAATGGGGAGTGGTGATCAAGAACAACAGCCTAACACATGGCTTCTATATTGACTTGCCGCGTGGAGAGCTCCATCGGGCAAGACGATCCGGTACGTTCAATACGAATGGTTCACCTGCCCAGACTGCCAGCTGACCATATTGACCTCTGATAGCCTTCAAGCTTCGAGGCAAAGGTGCCGAGGCAATCCCCTGAATTTCAGCTCTTTGATGACTCCGCGGTGACCGTAGTCGAGATCAAGACTGCGGAGGAAAAGGCATACGTTGAGAACTCATTCTCCGGCCGTCAAGCTCAGGATAGCGCCGGTGGTACGGGGAATGGGTCTGCTTTGAGTCCCTCGGTCCTGAGGGTAGCATACAACGTGAGCTGCAGAAAATTTCACTATTTCAAGGGAAAGACAATAACAAGTGGCTTGGATGTAGTTTCCCCGAGTCGCTTGTTTTTAGATGCCGGTTCCCTCCAGCTCACCGAGGATTGCATGGCAATTCTCAGGACAATCGCAGAGACGGGTCCCGGGCCTGCCCAAGAAGCCAAGATTAAGCGATTTGGAGATCTGTTTGGTGGGTGGCCGTTGTCGGAGCTGGTTTGGTTTTGGGGCCGTTTTTGTGATGAAAAGTTCACTTACTTTATGTTGCTGGGACATTACTTGCCTACCGCAATCCAGCTTAGAGGCTGCCTCCACAGCACAAAGTCATGGGACTGCGTCTGGGGCGAGACCACGACGAAAAAGATGGGCAACATGAGGGCAGCTGCCGGTGCGAGCTTTTCAACCCAGGCGGTGTCCGCGTCTGCGTCGTCAGAATACAGCAGTGGTTTCAACAGGTCCAACACCTCCGAGAATTTGACATGGGAAGCCAAGGGCGGTGACACGCTGCTGTGCTCCAAGTAAGTTTAACATATCCACACACTTACATCCTGAAGCTGGGAGAGACGAATGGCCTTGGTATTAATCGAACCGTCTACCACAGTCCTCTTAAGTGGGTTCCAACGGTGCATAATCCTGACAACTGGCGAGCCGTCGAGGTCAGTATCGCCCCCCTGCCCCCTCGGTTCCATCATTGCATGTTTCCTTGCATACCTCAGGTAGGTACTAGGACCACCTCCCAAGAGAAAGCTGACCATAAAGCTGCTTTAGTCGCTACCTCCGGAGCCCGTCTCATCCCTCATTAATGAGATCGTGAAGCGTGATCAACTTCCTCACAGTTTTCCTGACCCCGGCAGACACCACCAAGTAGCCCAGTGGGCGGCTGTAGATGTACTCTAACGGCAAGTGGCAGGAGGATACAAGTAGAGGGGAAAGAGAATGACGCAGTGTCGGTATTTAGGCTATCAAAAATCAGAGTGCGCGCTTCCATGGTTGGCGTGCAAAACTTTTGTTTAGATCCGGTGTGGAGGCGGCTATGAGTATCTTACAACTCAACCTGGAACCATCTTGGCGATTCCACAAGTACTTGACGCGCAGTGACTTGACAAGGGTCTAGTGACCGTGATCCATCGGCTTGGACTGCAGACGTGGCGGAAGCGGAAGACAAGGACTTGATCGGACCGGTGTACTAGGTCTGTAGGCCGCGAAGGAACTTACTGAATAGCACGAGAAATGCGTGAAAGTTAGGTCAAAATTCCTGAAACCTGAACCCAACTCAAGCATGGTTTCCCCCTCTCTCTGGCCGAGTGTTATGACAGCTGCAGAAAACAACTCCCGATTATTTCCGCCTTTTCGCAAACGATCTCGACCCCAACCAATCCCGTTGTCAGAAACCACTCAACTGGGAAACTGCGCTGGAAGTCTGCCTTGTGCGGGGTTCTCCTTCCTTGTGTTGGTTGTGTTCCTTGATATTGTCAACTCCTGAGCTGAGGTTTGTTCCGACGACTCAGCGCCAAAGCGTGTGCCAAGGCCTGTGGGGGTTGTTGAATTCCGCCCCCAACAACCCCTGTTTCCTCCAACAAAATACCACGCCCTCATTTCCGGTTGTTCTCGCATGAATTATCGCGCGTCCAACAGCACTTAAGACCGTTGTATCCTCCGAAAAGCCACGGCCGTAAAGCCGATGGGTATCGCGGGTCCCGCGGCCTTTTTCCTGCCTTGTTTAGGTTGTTGCCAGTGAAACGCTTACCCCCAACTGCGGCAGTCGCGCGCCCACATTCCGCGGCAGGTGCAGAGGACATGCAGGAATCCCGAGGTTTTAACCGCTTTTGTTCTTCAATAGCGATCCGCGACTGTGCGATTCACCAAGCGCGCAGTATCGGATCCGGGGAGTCGCGACCGAAAGGTTTAGCGTGAAGCCATTGAGTTGGGTCGGCTTGATACCCTGGCGGATGACGTGCAGGACATCGCGTCGGGTTGATCCGACGCGGCGGACGCGCCGAACGAAGCATCGTCAACACGGACACGGAGCGGAGAGGAACTGGACTTTCGCGGCTTGTCGACGACTGTGTTGTACTTCGTTAATCATTCAAGATCATTCAGACCTTCATTTATTCACGGCGTGGTTGCTCAGCCGCGGGTTGCCCGTTTCAATTGCTTCTCGGCGATGTCGGATGCCGAACTCCGAGCTGACTTGGGACCGCAGTTTGAGTCTTTTCGTGGCATCTTCAACTCTGCATTACAACCAGCCAACAAGACCACAGAAGGGAGGGAATTACAGCAATGAGAAAATTCTCGGATGCAATATGGAGACACAGAATCCATTTGCGACAAGATTCCATGAGTTCCACAAGACTAAACTTGGTGTTGCAAACGCTGTGCACAGGTAGGATTCAATGACCATTAGCAATCACGCCATTCTCCCGATTAGCAAGTATTCGTAAGCTGTAACGGCGGAATTTAGTCACGCAACCACAATGGTTGCTCCCGCTTCTGCGGCTCAACTGCGCGGCCGTCGGGATCGTGTTGCTGATTAATGTTTCCGAGGTGAAGATCGTGAACAGTAGATAAGAAACTATAACAGCACCATCACGAGTCTGGTTAACTCGCATCTCACGATCAGTCGCTCGGGCTAAGAAGTTTAAACCGTCACCAAGCAGCTTATCACCGTCCACCATGGCCACAGACAAACCCGTCCTCATCGCAGGCGCAGGCATCGCCTCGCTCCTCCTCGCGCACTCCCTCCGCCGCTCCAACATTCCCTTCAAGATCTTCGAGCGCGACGCCTCCTTCGTCTACCGCGCCCAAGGCTACCGTCTCCGCCTCTCCGCCGAAGGCCTCGACGCCATCGAATCCGTCCTCGGCCCGGAAACCTTCCAACGCTTCTGGGACGCCTGCGGCAAAACCCTCGGCCGCGGGTTTGCCGTCCTCGATGCCATCACGGGAGAAACCATCTCCTCCCGCCCTTCCGCCGGTCCCGCCCCTCCCGCCGCACCCCCTGGCACAACCGGCCCCAGCCAAGCCCTCGTCTCCCGCGACGGTAAAGTCGTCGGCATCGCCCGCGGCACTATGCGCAAGCTCTTTGCTGAGGGCAGCGAAGAGCACATTGAATGGTCCAAAGACGTCACGGGGTACGAACGTACACCCACAGGCGTTCGCGCCATATTTGCGGACGGCACCAAGTCCATCGAAGGCAGCCTCCTCGTCGGCGGCGAGGGGATTCGTTCCAAAGTCGCGAAACAAGTCTCCGGCGGCCGCCTGAAGGTCTTCGACACCGGTGCTCGGGGCATCCATGGTCAGGCGCCTACGGGGGCGTTTAAGGGGTTGGGTGAAGGGGTGTTTATTTTGAAGGATGATACACGCCCCGAGGGGGCAATTTCGATTATTACGAATGTGAGGCCCGGGGAGATGAATGATCCGGATGTGCAGTTTGGGTGGACGATGGTTGGACGGCCGGGGGTGATTCGGCCGCCGGAGGGGGAAGATATCAATGCAGTTGTGGGCAAACCTGTTGCGGATATCGCGCAGCGGTTGACACAGAACTGGCACGCGAATTTCAAGCCGCTGTTCGACCAGATGAATGTGAACGAAGCGGCGTTCTGGCGGATTACGTGCTCGTCGCCATCGGGGGTGCCGGAGTGGCCGAACGATGCGCGGGTGACGGTGCTGGGGGATGCGGTGCATTCGATGACGCCTGCCGGGGGGAACGGCGCGAATACCGCGGTGAGGGGTGCGGCGTTGTTGGGGAGGTTGTTGGGGGAGGCTGGGGGATGGAAAGAGGGGCTTACGGAGGCGTATGAGAGGGAGATTAGGGTGCTGGGGAGTGAGGCGGTGAAGGCGAGTTATCAGACGGCGAAGGGGGAGTTTGGGATTGAGATTGATGAGGAAAGGACGCCAGTTGTGTAGGAGTTTATATGTTTAGATGTTTGGATATAGATGATCGGATGATGATATGAGTAACGATGTTGAGGTTACCATGCTCGAAACATAACTCTGTTTTCCTGTGTTCTATTAGACGAGCGTACCAATTATAGCAGCTCTAATTACCCCCTGTTGCCCTTAAACACCCCCCACGACACAGCCTGACACCACCTCCTCACATCCTGCTCCAGCCCCAGCAGCGTCTGCTCCGAGAATACGGCCATCCCGTGCCTGACCTCCGGCATACTAGGGCCCATTTCCTTCGCTACTTCACACCCAAGCCCCCCTGGCTTGGCACCAAAGCCAAAATTGGCAGGTGGATAGATACTTGATCCAGGCATCGTAGTTGGTGAAGTTGGCGTTTGTGTTGGTCCAATATTGGTTGGATATGGTAAGCGGAGCGCGGCCAACCGGGTGGTTACCAGTTCTACGAGGAGGTGGATCTGGTTGATATCTGTGAGGTTGGGTTGTGTTGAAGTGATGGGTTGTTGTTCGTGGGGAGAGAGTAGATGGGTGGGTGGTAGGCTGTTGTCGTGGAAGATATCGAAGGTTTGGAGGATGCTGGGGGCTGAGAAACGGTGCCTATGAATGGGACATGGGTGACGATGGTGTCGGGTTGCGGGCCAAGGTGTTGAGGGGGTTGTTGAAGCGGAAGAGAAAGGTGGTACTGTTACTGTGGTTGCTGAAGCTAGTGGGATTGGGTAAGTTACGGTTTGGAGGAGAGGATTTAGGGTTAGGAACGGAAGTAGGTACCGACCTTTCGGAGAGAATGAGTATGAAGAAGCAGACGATGATCGTCTTAGGTCTGGCGAAGGAAAGGTGCACTCCTTGGTGGCCAGGTTGATGTAGTATCTCATGATATGGATCGTGGCCAGTGCCAGGGGAAACGCAAGGTGGCCATCCTGAGAACAGGGGCAGTTGAGAATGGCAATGAGGGATTGTACCATCCCACGCCAATGTTCAAGGGACAAAGTCTCCGAATGATCCGCCTTAATGGTCCGTGAGGCAGCAGGCGGGTTAGAAAAAGACTCCCTAGAGACCCGGGTCAAGATATCGAACGCAACAACAAGGCATGTCCCGGGACAACTTCCGTTGCTGTAAGTGGGGGTCATGCTTCGGGTGACATTTCCGGAGTCGAAATGGTCGAATATCGCGGACACTTCTGGTCCCATCTCCGAAGACGAGTATGGTGGGAAGGCTCCATACAGATCAGGAGATACCGGGGTCTCTGTTCCCAAGCTAGCCCTCGTAGAGTCCGACTCATTTTGATTGTGTACCCCGAATGGCCCCAGATCAGTCTCCAAATGGAAACCCGTATCAGCATCGAAACCCGCAAGCGGTAATGGGTAGACCTGCGAGCCGTTCCCGGGAGAAACATCCAGGGGCAAATCTGGAGCCCACCAGTCGCCATTCGGTCCGGATACTGCTTCAGCAACGAGACTACCATGATCCGTTGCGAACAGCGGAGCAAGGTCCGATCGGGCCGCGGCCTGAAGCAGGAGACTGGCTGTTTCAGCCGCACGGGTCTGAGGGGATACCTCGGAGGAAGAAGGTCTCGGAGAGTCCCGGGATGTACGAGGACGCTTTGGGGGGGTAGCGGCGGTTGACGGCGAGGTCGTCTTTCTAGGAGAGATGAGGTTGTTCACTTGAGGTGGCCCGCGGGCGGGCTGGCATACCTCGAGACGGGCTGCTTTGAGGATCTGGGAGGCGGTTCGGCCGCTACGCCGGGACACGCTGTATGTGCAGGTTACCTCTCGGCGAGCACAGCGAGCACAGGTCGGTTTCTCTTTGCTGCATTTGACTTTGGAGTTGGCGCAGTCCGTGCAACTGTCGCGAAGCTTGCGGGCGTTGTGGAGGTTGACTGGGGTATGGGGGTGTTCGGATATTGTTGGGGCCATGGTGATGATACTGAGGTGCAAACAACGATGCAAAAAGGGTTGGGAAACGGACCCGTGTAAACAACCGACGGTATGCCATTGGTACGGGTTGTTATACTTATACGGCTAGACTGATCACTTCCTCCCACCCATTCTCTCCTCGGAATCAGAGGATTGTCCATCGGCGCATGCTCCGATTTGTTTAAGTCCTCAAGGCGTTTAGCGTTCCGTTCAAAATCAGGTTCATGGTAGCTGAATGATTGCAAAATGTCTCGTCAACGAAGGCGTCTCACTCCACTTCGTCACGTACTTAAACGAGGTTGTGGCTTGGGTCGCTGTGATGGCGTGCCGATTCTATGCATTTTTAAACCCCATATGAGTTGCCGTGGCCCCTGGACGCGGCTTTTGTTTCATTCATCATCTGCGTCGGTCGAGATCAAGCATTATCTTTGTCTCTGAAGTGATCGTCGGATCTGCAATAGCCGAACGGCTCTCAGACAGTTCAAGGTCGGCGATGTGACCACGGTGGACTTTGTCAACGAAAACTGCATTGTTTAGGAAGTCACAACCCCAATTGGGATCTCCATCTTGATATAAGAGCCCGAATAAGTGCCCGGGAATGCATTGTGTCACGCAATTTTTTTCCACTAGTCAGAAACAGATGAAAATCATGCCCATTCCGGTTAGCTATCACGGTTGAGCAACGACTAATGGGGAATTGAAACTACAGGGTGACTTTCTTCAATGTCCCAATTGTTTTGAGGATCCTCTCAAGTTGAAATGAAACGACCGCATTTCTTACACCCGCCTCTCTTAATTACACTGTGCATACTTCTTGTCAAGATCGCGATCAAAAAACGTAAAGTGGCCGACATTTTACTGAGATACCCCCACGAAAACACGCAGACTACCCGACGCGCGCTTGTCTCGATCCTCTCGGCCCAAACAAAACCCCCGGACGTGGCCCCGGTACCTTTTGTCTCGGGCTGTCCCGGCCCACCGAGATTAAGCGTTAGGGCAAAACAATGTCTGGATGCAGGCAAGAAAAAAAGCTCCGAAAGGCGGCAGGCGTTTTGTGTTCACGGTCACACATGGCAAGCCAATTTCCCCTTTCCCATGCCCTGGCCTGTAGTAAGTCCGGGACAGGATCCGGGACAAGATATCAGCTGCGAACACCATGTATCTAGCCGCGAACTGATTTCCCTTTCCAGGCAGGTGTTCCTGTACCTATCCGCTGTCCAAACACGGGTTGCCTTCCCATAGGTTTCCAGCCGCCCGCAACGTTGTACAGGGTTGATGGGGATGTGCACAATCGACTGCGAACCAAACCAACTAAAACCAGGTGCCTGGGCCAGTGGACGTGCACACGTCACGGGTTGTACGGTTGAGCCTGTCGTGTGACCCTTCACCTTGTCCCGTTCAGTCTCCCGGGTAACACAGGGAGGGATGGCGGATCACTTGGGTTCGCGGAACTCTCCGAGAGAAGTTGCGATTTTGGGAGTGTGAACATGGCCGACTTGTAAAACCAGATGTCGGGATTCGTGAGGATCGATGAGTCCTGGTTACGTGTAAGAGGACGCTTTACCATTCCATCGTTCATCGGAGCACGAGAAAACGAAACTCACGTCGTGGAACGTTGTTGAGAAGTAATATGGCTCACCCGTTACTAGCTTCTGGACTCGGACGACGGAAGGGAAATGACCTTACCCTGCTTACAATACCCCCTGAGGGTTCCTCAGCGCATCGGAATAAGACAAGATCTCAAAGGGATACTGTAGATATGTGGTTTCCTAGGCGCAATTTACTTTACGCTACAAGACACCCAGCAGAGCCGGACATGACCGTGTGGGCCCGTCTCTGAACATTGGTCCTACAGGTCATGGGGTAATTATTGTATCAACAATACATCTGAGCGTGCAAGCTTAGGAACGGCACGTCTGTAGATAGCATTTGGCATCCTTACTAGAGGGCCAGCTCACTGCGCGGACGAGGCATAGTACACCCACATCGACTCCACGAATTTCTCGACGCCCCCCCTGTGTTCTGTCCCTTCATATAGCATGGCGAGAAGTGAGAGGTTGATGGCATCGGCGTGGAGGATGACCGGGATGGTTGATATTGGTGCCAGTTCAGCATCACACCCTTTCGCTGGCTTTAACGCCAACTTGTGAGCTTCGCTGCAAGTAAACTGACAACACAGCGGGTTCTACACGGTTTTTAGCCTCTTTAAATATAAACGATGCCCAACCTTCGCTCGTTCTTGACTACATTGTAAACCTACCCAACGTCTCCCCAATTTCCATCATTATCAGCATATTCGCTTCCTCCAAGCAATCCTCATCAATCACCAAATCAAAATCTTCACGATAAACAACCATGCCTTTTGGTGTCAAATTCCCCTGGCGTCTCGAGCAACCCCGCAGCTATGGCGGGGACCCCAACCCCCCCAAGACCGCGAATCAACCGGGAACGAAAATAGAGCCCAAATATCCAACAGGAAAGCCACCCACTAATTATTCATCCAGCTGTAGCTGCAAGACTTGTGGCTGCACTCGCAGTTGTGGACTATACGGGCTTTGCATTCATTGCCAAGTAAACTGCCAGGAACGGAACTCGATTTTTTGATTCACAAGCGGAAATAAAAGGGCAAAAGAATAAAAGAAAAGAAAAGAAACTATCGAGCAAATGTTTGCCAGCCAGATTTAAGAAATAAAGTCACCTGATTATTGGACGTTTTCGACTGCGTTAATTGGTATTGAAGGATCTCGAAAAGAACATTTGCCATCACTGGGCTGTCAATATGGAAGTTTCGTGCACATCATGGAAAAAATAACAAAAACAACCTTCTCAGGCCCGGACCTTCATCACACTCCCACTGCCGTTGCCCCCTAAGCCACCAAACTAACACACCCATTAGCACTATCCTCCTGGAAGATCCCACCAAAAATAACACCCTCATCGATCCCCGCCGGCTGGAACCCGTTCTTCGTGATATCACCGACCCCGCCGACAGGTTTCTTTAGCACCCCAAAATGAAACTGCCCCTGCCCACTGACATCGTTGTCCAGGACGTCCGTGACAGCCGCGAGCGCGTCGTTGCCGGTGGAGAAGAAGACTTGCGTTGTTCTGTGTGTTCGAGCGCGCGTTAGCAACTAAATTCCCACGAACGGGAAAAAAAAGAGAAAGAAAGAAAGGAGACGGTGAACCCACAAAGCATCAAAATCCAACCTCAACCCAAAATTATGAAACACTCCCTCCTCAAACCCCGTACCAAACAACACCTTCCCCCCACCCCCACTCACATTCCCAAACACCTGCAACCTATCCGGGTCACCACCACCACCCTGCTGGCCAAGCACCGTCCCCGTCTTAAGCACAAACTGATTCGTACTGAAGTCCGCACTCTCCAAAAACGCAAGCTGATACTCATTGACATTGCAGTAATCGTACAATGGCCCCGTGGTTATTCCGGGCAGCCCTCGATAGCGGCGTCCAGCCGTAGCCATCTTTCGTGTCAACGGCGGCGCCGGCATCGAGTAGTATTCGTACAACAGCCTCGTGGCCCTCCTCGGCAGCCCTCGATAGCGGAGTCTGGCCGTTGTCATCTTTCGTGTCGACGGTGGCGCCGGCATCGAGTAGTATTCGTACAACAGCCTCGTGACCCTCCTCGGCAGCCCTCGATAGCGGCGTCTGGCCGTGCCCATCTTTCGTGTCGACGGCGGCGCCGGCATCGAGTAGTATTTGTACAAAAGCCTCACGGCCCTCCTGGGCAGCCCTAGATAGCGGCGTCTGGCCGTTGTAACGATCTTTCATGTCGACAGCGGCGCCGGCAGCGAGTAGTATTCGTACAACAGCCTCGTGGCCCTCCTCGGCAGCCCTCGATAGCGGAGTCCAACCGTCGCCATCGTTCGTGTCGACGGCGGCGCCGGCAGCGAGTAGTATTCGTACGACAGCCTCGCAGCCGTTCTCGGCAGCCCTCGATAGCGGCGTCTGGCCGTCGCCATCTTTCATATCGACAGCGGCACCGGCAGCGAGTAGTATTCGTACAACAGCCTCATGGCCCTCCTGGGCAGCCCTCGATAGCGGCGTCTGGCCGTTATCATCTTTCATGTCGACAGCGGCGCCGGCAGCGAGTAGTATTCGTATGACAGCCTCGCAGCCGTTCTCGGCAGCCCACGACAGCGGCATCTGGCCGTTGTAACCATCTTTCGTGTCGACGGTGGCGTTGGTGGTGTCGGCAGCGAGTAGTATTCGTATGACAGCCTCGCAGCCCTCCTGGGCAGCCCTCGATAGCGGCGTCTGGCCGTTGTCATCTTTCGTGTCGACAGCGGCGCCGGCATCAAGTAGTAATCGTACGATGGCCCCGTGGTTATTCCGGGCAGCCGTCGATAGCGGCGTCCAGCCGTTGCCATCTTTCGTGTCGACGGTGGCGCCGGCAGCGAGTAGTATTCGTACAACAGCCTCACAGCCGTTCCGGGCAGCCCACGACAGCGGCGTCTGGCCATGATCATCCATAACGTCAATAACCGTAGAAATTTGGTCTGTACTCCGCAGAGTGGCCGTTACCAGCCTGATGACCCCATATCTTGACATAACGTGTAGCAGGCTAGTCCCTGTTGGTGGACAGCCATGTGAATATTTATCTACTCGCTGGTAAATGCGCACCCATAACTCTATGAGATTGTTTGATGGCCAAGCAAGCAGCGCTAGAAGATCCTCTTGAGGGACGCTTCTAGCATCGCACTGCTGTGCATGCGCGACCCATGAGGTCGTAGCGTAATGCAGGAAGGCAAAGTCATCGTAGCTTGTTGAGCAACCGATCTCTTCCATCGCTAAGTAGCGTATGCAAATCTTGGAGAACCGAAAGTGTGCCCTGATCGCCGCCTCGGTCGACGTTACGTTGCCGTCCAAAGCTGAGAGGCCTTTCTCGACGAAGAAGTCCTTGACAGACTGGTGGATGAACTGGACAACCTGCGTATGGCTGACTTCGGCAAGACCGCGGCTGAGCGTCTGAACTTGCCTTTTCATCCGATTAATGTCGGGTATGTAATCTTCTGCGCTCCGGCATGCTTCTAGTGACCGGTGTGGACAATCGGCCTCGACAACCATAGCCCATCGCAACTCGTCTATTGACAAGGGCCGCGTGGCAAAGCAAATCCATTGAATCAATTTTTGGGACGCCGGTTCCATAATCTGAATAAGTTGTCGGTAGAGTTCATCGAGGTCGGGAGGGATAGAATGGATTGCCCTTTCGATCGTCTTTACTCCGGCTCCCTCACGCTCAAGGTCCAGAACTTGCTCCACAACGAGACGTGCCCACATAAAAATGCCAGAGGCACGTTCCGTAATCAGGGCCGGAATCCTAGATAATGTTGGCGAACAGAACGCGGCAAGCTGGCCATCCACAAACGTCGAAATATCCCTTTGGTTTTCATCCTCGGTACGTATTTCGAACATGCTTGTATCCCGATCCAGGATTGGGTAGTTGCGACAAGAGAAGCAGATACAACACTGTCTGAGGTTTGTTGATTGGGATAGAAGACTCTGTAGCAAAGACTTGAAGATTTGGACAAGTTTGACTGCATTTTTCTTGCCACATTCATCTAAGGCGTCGATAAACACCCAGACTGGACGAGTTATGAGGATTTTCGAAAGAGACGACTTAAAGAAGGACCACAATTCCTCTTCATGCCAGTTCCACTTTTCACCCGGCTCGCCGATCTGTTTGCGCTTTGTTCCAAACTCGTCGATGAGATCCTGCAGTGCGCCGGGGGCTTTTCGAAGGATTTGATGAAGGAGAGACCGCCAGAGGCCAAGAGGCGTCTTTTGGAGCTCATCACCGCGACCGTGGAAGAAGAACGAGAGAATAAGGGCGTCGTCTCTAGTCTTATGCTTATAAAGAGCGTGTTTTAGCAGTGTCGATTTTCCAGAGCCGGGCTTTCCCTTAATCCAGAGCAGGCCTCGGTCGCAAGCGGCCCAGCTCTGGTACGTCTCGTGTTGAAGCAGCCATTCGCATGTACCCTCGACGGCACTGCTGATGTCATGGGAGCGGTTCTGCATTTGTGGAAAGGCTAGCGACTTGAGGCAATCTTGTGCGGTTTCGGATAGTACTTGGTCTTCAGAGCAGATTTAGCCTAGTGTATTCTCAGAAGTAGACTAGTTCTCCTTACCGAATTGCGATACCCATCGGACTAGCTCTCCCAGCACCCTTTTGAACCCATTCTCCTCTGCAGAGGCAAACTTGACCATGTCCCTGTGATTGGCGTGAATGGTAACGGGATTGTAGCCCTCAATGGTGGCGGATTCCTTAGACACGACTTTCCCAACCCCTGGTAAAGGTAGTTCCTCAAAGAAACATGTAACATCCGGAGGTTGATTGGCTTTTTGCCGTTCCCGTATCATTGACCAGAAGTTGACTTGAATGAGCTCGAGAGCCTGGTTATTTGTCTGCAAGATCTCCAGCAGCGACCTGTTAACAGATTTTACCAGACCAAGGGCCGAAGCCGGAATCTTAGCCCAGTCAGCCATCCAGGCTCCTCTGTGGGGGGTGCCCATAAATACGATGCCTATGGTGCAATCGAATATGCCCCGAAGGTGGATCTCTGGGTTGTTCCGTGAGAGGAGAATGGCCTGTTTGCAGACAAGGCCGCCCAGGCTATGGACGACGAATATGATGGGGCGAGATGGCGCATTGCAGCAGGCCCTGTCAGTCGTCAAGTCGTTCAGAAGGTTCGTAGCATGGTCGATCAGCCGATTCGACGACGCAACTCCTTTTCGAACTATGTATGCGTCGTAACCGTATGTAAGTATGCGAGCTTTTTCGAGCTTTGGCGGGAGAAGGGTCTTTGGCCAGGGTGTGGACTGCCCCTCGGCGGTCCATGTACTCTCCCGGTCCCCTGTCAGACCATGGACAAAGCAGATGTCGACGATTGCGTCGGCGCAGTCGTGCAGAACCTTCACTCCATCCGGGAAGGAGGGAATCGGTGTGTTTTCGGACGGACCGGTGTCTGTGTTGGTATGTGCTTGAGGATTGGGTGGAGTTGAAGGGCGACTTGTTTCTTGGAAGGGACTGTGCGGAGTCTTGCGCTTGTTCAGCAGTGATAGGATTCCCTCCATGGTCTCTATTGCACTGTCGAACCGATTAGGAAGTCGACGGATGGCCGATGGTTAATTACGCTGGTATTTAATCGCGCGATAGATTGAGAAGTTGTGAGAGAGGAAAGCGGGGTAGAGGCGAGCTGAATGTCGCCAGCCATTTTTTCGGGCTGAAGCGTCCTAGCCGACAACACATCCATAGCCAATCGTTTTAGGCGGCACATACTTTGCGCGCTTTTTCATCGCAACATGTCGGCCAGCCGTGCGATTGTTCACAAGATGACAGTTTTTCAGTTTTCCCTTACGGAAGGGAGTCGCGGCATTTCCGCCGAAGAGCCGCTGGGCCCGTCACTGATCCGAGTGTGCACAAGGACCTCTGGATGCCACCAAGCTGGAGTTCTGGCACAAGCTAAATTAGCAGCGACTGGCTCGTCACGTGGCCGCAAAGAATGCTGAACACGTTCGACAGACCAAGGCCCCGCGCACCCGCTTGTCCACTTCGTCGCAATTCGCAATCGATCCGGTGTCTTTCCGCCACACGCGTCCCGGTACTACTGGCAGGAACCGTCATCCGTTGATGATACTACAAGGTAAACCCACTCCAACCGCCATGCGAATGCGAACGATAGGTCACAGTATGTCACAGAGCATTAGGGTCCTTGCGTCCTACCGATTGCCGAGCGAACACTCTCTGAGCAAACAGCCATGACATATCCGAACTCTTACGTGTGTCGACTTCGTTGTCTGGCCGTCGTCCGAGCCCCCCGATTCGCTCGCCGATTACACGACCGACACTCTGACTGACCGTCTATCGTCTGAGAGCCCCTCCGTCAACAAACGCCGATGTTAATGGTGTCGCCTTGGCTAGCCAGAGGACGGCACGACGCGATTATGGACAACTGACATTTGTACAGCTATCTGACTGGCACGAAGACTTGGTATATGACGAACATCCACCTACTTACATCTACTATTCCATTGAATGGAAGTTGATAATTAACAATAGAATGGCCGCGAAAGACACCGAACAGGACCTTGTTCTTATGCCTTACGCTTTTTGGGATACATTTCTGTAACCTAAGCTCGAAAAGCTCCTTGATAAAAAGCTCCCGCCGAATAAATTATATAAGGTTGAAGAAACCAATGTTGTAGCATCTGTCATAGTGTCAAGGGCTCAGGCCTAGGGCCATGCTCCCGTAAGGTCTTGGCCATGAGCAGTAGTGTTGGATCGTGGCCGATGGCCTTGGGTTGGCGTGGCGGGGCTGTTCCTCTTCCAAGACATTCACAGGCCGGGGCTGTCCTGGCTCCGGGCCCACACCTGTCCCGGACCCGGCTCGGAGGTGGAGCCCGAGGTGCCCGACCTCCGAGCGCGCACATCAGGGGGAGGAGGGACATCAGGATATAAGGAGCCCTGGGCAAGGCACAACCCCAAGTATTTCTCTTTCTGCAAGCTTTCTCAATTAATATAATAAACGCCAACTGCCAGGCTCAGAATCGCTTTCTCGGCCTCCCCGCAATAACGACAGCTTCTTGTCTTCGTTGTTGTTCAAAGGGGGAGGTTTCTTGTCCTCAGAGCGACCAGTTCTGGACCCTTATGAACGGATAAGGAAGATTTATGCGCAAAATAAGGGATTCTCTACCGCACAGAGTTTCAGGACCGTCTGTCGGGCGGCAGGCACGATCCGAGCCGAGGAGCAAACGCCCCGATACATCGCCATATTTTCGGATGACAGCTCAGCTCACAGATGTCAAAAAATGATGATCTCTAGTTGTTTCTTACATGGAATAGCGGTTGTATCAAGGCCTTTTGGTGCAGTGTGGTGGAGTGTGGAGTCTCGAAGCCAAAAAATTGAAATGAGCCACACCCGATTTGAACGGATAACCTTTCGATCGCACAGTAGCTGGAGTCGAACGCGCTACCGTTGCGCCAGCAGCCCATCCTGCTGAATTGATACAGAGGTCCGCAATTGCTGGTCATGTTGAAGGGAATGCTAGGAAGCTGCGAAACGATCTAATTACATTGACCACTTCAACTGAGTTCTATCACAGTTATTTCTGCTACTATTTCAATTTCTGGTTCTCTATTTCAAAAGTTAAAACATATCGCTCGTCTTAGCTACTTCCATCCGACTGAAAGACTCTAATAGGCAAATGCTGGGAGAACAGAGAACCCGTGGAGAAATCGAGAAATGAGATTGATTTGGGCCAGTCACGACCAAACCTCTTGAACAAGAAAAATAGTAAAGGAAAGAAATGCAAAGGCAATATTCTGATGCCGTTGTTCATCTATGAAATTCCTCGAAGCAAATAAACATACTAGAAACCCCCCCGCCATTGCGCCAAACGCCCACCAAGCCCCAATCCCAATGCCGTCATTACTAGAACCTCCGATACGCCTGGCACCCAATCGCCGCCGAACCTTCAACCTGGACCGTTGACCTTGTCAGAATGTACGTCTTTTTCTTCTTCTCCAGATCCCCCACAAAAGGCAACCCGTTGCCTTTCTTCCCCTTCCTGTAGTACATCCTGGGGATGTCCACGTTGACCGTCGCACTGATGTCCTGCGCCAACCCCTCAAGCGGTTCCATCATCGCCGACAGCGTCGTCGAAAACGCCAGCATAGCGCTCGGGTAGAAGTTGATGTTCAGCGTCTGCAGGTTGGTCATGCGCCGGAAAAGCGCCACATGGTCACCTTCGCCATCCTCGATGCTGTCCGGGGTGCGGAAGAAATTGCCGTTAATGAGCTCCTGGCAGTGTTCGTTGTCATCGGGGTGAATGTGAGCAACGAAGGTGACCTGGCGAATGCAGAGCGCGGCTTCAGGGTTGATCCAGTCCAGAAACGCGCCCAGCTCGCGGAAGCTGGCAAAATGGAAGCGCGTTTGGCTGTATAGGAAGTGGGCGACTTCTTGGTATCTGAAAATAATACGATATTAGACATCTTTGGCCCCCGTTTCATCGCACATCCAGCGACGCATACCCAAATTTGCAAGTCGTCATCAAGGACACAAAGTCTCCGAGACTGCGATCTGTGCTTGGGCTGTCCTTGCTTGCTGCGCTGGCGCGTTCGCAATCGTGGTGGCCGCACGACCGTGTTTCTGATCCCGAACATCTCATGTGCTGCAGGTATTGCAGATGAAGCTGATTCGGGACGCCGCGGCGCGCAACAGACGGGCAAAATATATGTTGGTCCTTTCCCGCATCCTCGAGCATAATACCATAAATATGGCGGCGAATATCCAGCGGCAGGGTAAAAAACCGCGGGAGACCGGCGGCGCAGTCTGGATCGATCTGGATCTTTTGCCGCTCTCCGTTGTTGTTTCGTGACAGTTCGACCGGCCATACGATGGGCGTTGGAGCGGCTGATTGCGGGATCCGCTGGGCCAGCGGCTTTTGTCGCTTGCGACTTCGGAGATGGTATCTGGGTTTCTGGGTACCAGGAGATGGTGTTGTTGGCGTCGTGGGAGGTAGCGCTCTTGTAAATGGCGGCGGGGTCGTCATCGTTGCGTCGGAATCGAAGTCGAGATGACCGCCAGCCATCGGCCCTCCCGGCGCTTGATCATCAACGGCCCGCAGGCCTTTGCAAACGGTGATATTCTTCATGGCAGCGATGAGAGTGGTTGCCATCTCGAAAGAGGAATCAGGTTCGATGTGGTCGGTCTTAGGCCGAGCGACCTTCTTTATTTGTAGTTGGAGCGTTTTCCAAGTCAAGGCACGTGGTGCGGTGCCACGTTGAAAGTCATGTGTTGTTCCTGCCTAAGATACCGGGGCTTGGCACTGATTGACGGTTCGGGCAGCTATTGAGCCACTGACTCAGAAAGTGAGTGTTCAAGATGAAACCACCGAAACCCCGGAAAGCTTACTACTTTTTAAACAGGCAGAGGAATGTGAATCTCTGTTTACCGGGGTAATTGCCAATTTTATAACGAAAATTAAATTGGGGGTTGAGCTTTCAGCGCATTGATGTGAGTGATTGTCTGATGGCGCCATCTAGCGCTTAGACCCAACAGGGTCTCAACCGAGGAAGGCTGCCTAAGTCCCCGTAGCATAAGAACTTGAGAGAGTATGTGTAGGACTTGAATTTCACAGTTCTCCTTCATCACCCGTCTTGAATCACAAGGCGAGATTAACAGGGCAGTTCTGGCGCCAGCTGGCGTGAGCTTTTTCCTTGTGTCGTCTTTCTGATCCACCACCTTGCTTTATTGAGAATGCCAGATCTCAGAAAACAAAAAGGTCATGCCGGTAATTTCTACATCCTTGACGCCATCCTCCTATCACGCCCGATGAAGCATGAGGATGAGCATATTTCCAAGCTCTTTCACGCCACGGAACATTCACGTTGGTCATTCTCCTGATGTTCCATTCACAATGGGGCTGGGGATGTCTGAAGCGCGGGTTGAACAAGGGACCACCAGTGGGGAAGGCATTTTGAGTCACGTGTTAGTCACAGGGCACACGCCTCCACTCGTCCTGATCAGCTCACACGTGTGTTGCACGCGCCACCTCGCGTCTGCGAAACTCCGTGAATTTACCGGAGCTTCTCCGAAACTCGCCAGCGCAGCTCGCTGTCAGATCAACCGGAGTGAAGCCGTCAGGTCTGGGCGCGTCGATTGAGGCGCGCCAAATTAAAGCGAGACAATGTCCAGCTACCCACCGCCACCGTCGACCGGCGATGGTGCAGTCGTCAGCGACGACACATCCCAACAGCAAAGCACCGAGAGCGACAACCGGCAGAACCATCCGCACATTCACAGCCATTTTAGTGCAGAGGCTGCCGCGGCTGCTATCGCTACAGCGCACCATGGCCTCCAGGCGTTGCAAGCTGCGGTCGCCGTGCCGACCACCACTACGTCAACAGGTACAATGGCATCGCAGCAACATGCCGCCATGGCCGATGCATCTTTTCTCGGCGGCGCAAATGCGGCCCAGGGGTCGCCTCCAGGCGGGGCTCAGAACTCTAAAGCGACGCGACTGCGCCGGGCTTGTGACATGTGCAGCCAGCGCAAAGTGAAGGTTTGTGATCTCACTCAGTCAATACAACGCCAATTGCGACCGCAATGTAGGCAAGACTAACGAGCGGGTCAATTTTGTTCGATGTAGTGCGACGAGACTCAGCCGTGCCGACCATGCACCGAACTCGAGGTCGAATGCACCTTCAACCGCACAATGAAGCGACGCGGCCCTCCGAACAAGCATGCAGAAGCCGCCAAGGCCGCCAAACAGCAACGACTTGAGCCAAACATCAATCTGGGGCCGCACAATGCCGCCGAGACTTTGATCTCCATATCCGGCGGCCAGGAATCACAGCATATCCTCGACGCCGAGTCCATTGCGCCGTGGCCGATCCTGACGCTCCTCATTGACGACTTCTTCACTTATATCCACCCGCTCGCTCCGTTTCCCCACGAGACAACGTTTCGCATGTCGTTCACAGCTAGGGAAGACCGAACGAACCGTGGATTTCTGGCACTCCTGGCCAGCATGATCGGAGCGCTAGTGGCGTCGTTCCCTCGGACGGCCCGGCTGCACCTGAAGACACAGCAGCACGGAATGCACATGTACCCCAAGGCGTTGACACTTATTGATCGGTGCAGGACTGTGGCTCTCGAGGCACGTGGCGCGTGCTTTTACAACAAAGATGAGGTCACGGTTTACGATGCGGCGACCAGTTACTTCATTGGCCTCGGTGCGTCGTACACGATGCAGTGGAAGATCTGCCGGCGGTTCATGGCCGAATCCATGGCCTTTATCCGGGAGCTCGGGTACCACAAGCCCCGGGATATGGGATCATCCATGTTTGGCGTGACTTATCGTGGCCCTGCCTTCAACCATGTCGAGGACCAGCTTGGCAAGCGCATCTTCTGGTGCCTGCTTGTGTCCCTGCGGTGAGTTTCCGTTTTGTTGTCCTGACACGGCCAGGTTGGAAACTGACCCTTACTCTGCAGCTCTATGTCCCAGCTCGGCATCAGCCACAGCGACATTGTGCTTCCCCCGCCGACACCGACCGAGCCGTACCCGGATTTTCCGGTGGAAGTGGATGATCAGTACATACTGACGCACCAGATCTTGGGCCAGCCTGATCACTCCTTGTCCCTGCTCACCGGCTTCAATCAGGCCGTCAAGATCTACATGACCATGAATAGTCTTGTGGGAATCGAGATGACATACGGAATTTCCAAGCTTCCGTTTCACGACCAGAAATCCATGCTCGACGAGTCGCTGCAATCCGCGAAGCAGACGCTCGAGGGCTTGCCACCGCAGCTGGCCATTGACCTTGACCGCTCGGGTGCTGGACCCAGCCATGGCTTGTCCAATCTTCTCCCGACCGCACCACAAGCCAATGTGTTCGAGGACAACGGCAATGGCCTCCAGTACGGCTCCATGGGGTATTCCCCCCTCCAGCAGCACCAACAGCAAGCTACGCCGGACTTCCGCCACATCCCTAGTGTCCAACCCGAGCGTCGCCGTCTACTCCAATACGAGATCCAAAAGGCGAACATCTACGCGTCCCAAATCTCCACCCGCTCCTACTACGTCGAGCGGTACCTTAACCTCCGCGACGCCCACCGCGACCACGCCCGTGCCCAAGCCGCGCAAGTATCCTTCTCGGCCACTCAGCAACAGCATCAACCCGGCGCCGACTCGAACAATGGCACCGACCAGGGCGACAGCAGCACCAACAAATCCGTCGCCGCAGCCGCCCTCCACGCCGCAGCCGAGCAAACCGACCCCATCGACGCCAACATGACCACGGAGCGCGAACTCATCGTCCAACACCTCCTCACGGTCCTATCCTCCATCTCCCAACGCAGCATGGAACCCAACGGCGCGTCCTTCATCAACAAGATCCGCCAGGTCGCCAGCACTCTCGTGCACGACGGTTCGGCGCCGGAGCGTAAGGGGCCCGTCGCCGTTAATGCGCAGGAATTGCTGAGCAAGTTTGTGGAGGTGCTGCTGAGGCTGGAGAGGATCCCGCCGGGGGATCATCATGGGAATGGTGGCGTGGGGAATTTGGTGGGTGCGGGGCAGGATGAAGAGCAGGAGTTGAGGTCGTGGGCGGATTTGAGGGAGAATCAGTTTCGGTTTTTGCAGGGGGGTGGGTTTATGGGGTTACCTTGATTTCGTTCGCTTTTACTGGGGCCATGTGCCAGGTGAGGAAAGGTGTTGCTATGTAATCTGGGGGGATCTTCTGCTTTTTCGATTCTACGCTATGCTGGTCGGTCGGTCGGTCCGGTTTGCTTTGCTTTGCTTTTACTGAACGGGACAAGGAAAAGGAAAAAAAAAACACGCTTCACAGGAACGGAAAAATAACACGGAATATGGCCGGCGTTTGTCGGGACGGCCGGGGGAAAGGGTTCGCCCCGAGGTGCCGTCATTTGTTTGTTTGTTTCGGGGGGCGTCCTCCTTTTGCGCACACAAATACCCAAGCGAGCTGTGGGGTGTTTGGTTCTTGCTTGAGCTTGGCGTGGTTTGCTTGGGTTCGGGTTCCCGGGGTGAGGGCGTTCTGGTCTGCTTCGAGGGAAATGAAGCCGGCGGCGGTGTTCTGGTATCCAAAATTGCGTTTGCTTGGTTTGCTTGGGGATGTTAGGTGGGTAGCTTAGTTTAGCTCTACACTACGAGGTAGATTTGCAAGAGGTATAGATTTGCAACATGTCGATTTGGTTCGGTGGTGAGTGGCTTTGTTGAAGAGTAAACAAAAAACCCCAAGAAAATAAGAGAAAACCCCAGAAAAAAACACAAAAAAGGGGGCAGAATGATTGCGAAAGACCGTAAAATCGCGGTCCTTCGCGGCCCGAACCGCCCCGACTGCCGGTTCGTCGTCCGCACTGCCTGCACCATGAACAATGTTTGTTTCCTCTTTCACCCCAGTACGCGTTTTTCGCCAACAGCACCTCTGCTGTCCCGTTCGCTGACCCCAGACAGTCCTTTGTTTGCTCCGTTCTGCTTGCGGCTCGACTGCCGATACGGTACCTGCGTTCTTGTCCGTGTATGTCCCCAATCTTGGTACCAACTTTGTTTCTGATCTTTCCCGTGTACTCATCTCTCCTGATCATCTGTTGTTGCGTCAGCGGCAGATCTATTTTTGAAGCGAGTACACTTACACTAAGTCCGCGACGGCGCACGGCTTCCCCGGTTTCCCCATGCCGGTGTTTGCAAACTAATTCCCGGTTGTTGTGGCTCCGAACTCAGTGCCGGCCCGGGGCAAATTAGTTATGCAGCTGTCTCTTCGTTTGTTGGTTGATCCTTTTCATTTCATGCCATACCCCAGATTTGAGCGACGCGCTTGCGGCTGGGCTCTGCGATGGGGGGGTTTCTTCGCTTATTTGCGTGAGGTGTCTTTTTTCTTATAGATTATTAAGGTGATTAGATGGGAACTAGCCTGCCTTTCTGGTCTGGTGGTGATCTCTTGGTTAGGTCGGGGCTGGGATACCACAGTCACCCGGTTGTGGTTCTTTCTTGCCCGCAGGACAGGGCAGGTTTCCTGGACACGGTGAAGCTTTTGGGGGATCGGCTTGCCATGCCGCATTTGCGGCCACACTGTGAACGACGCAGTTATGAGCCGAAGGCCGGGGGACCAACTTCGGCAGTGTTTGTTCTTGTCATTTCGCTAAACCCTCGAGGGTTGGGTCGTTGATATCAGCGAAACGGCCGTGTATTTTGGAGAGGAAGATCAAGGGTACGAGTTCAGGCGTTGGTATGTTCGCCAGAGTATTATAAAGGCAGTGACAGTTTGACCTTGGCCTGGTCTTAAATTGATTTTTTTGCGGTATGCTGTGGCCTTTACGGTAATCACTCTCCCTCAAATAAACCCTCGCACTTATCTCTCCCTTACGACCGACGCACAGCAAGCACCCCACCACAATGCAGCTTCCCACTCTCCTCTCGCTTACCCTTGGGCTTCTGCCCGCGATGGCCTCCGCTGGGGGCGGTTTTAAGCACAGCTGTGCGGCAAACGTGAGTAGCTGCCATGCCCCGTACCCCGACGAGACCGTTGATGGAGGTGGCCCAGTGCTAATCCGACGGGACGTTCACAGTGGATGGTCGCCGGGAGGTTCTTGATGACCGACTGCAAGACGGGAAACGGGGAGGAGATGATTCGCACCGCGCTAGATCTCGACAACTGCATAGGCAATGAACAGTCCGACATGAAACCAATGAATAAGTGAGTTCTCGAGCTATCGGTGTTTATGCGTTTAGCTATTACGACGATGCATGGGCTAACTCAGCGACGCGGTGTTTCAGCGGCGCATATTCCATGTCTTGTTACTCCTGTTGGCGCGGGAATGTTTGGCAGAAGGACTCACTTGGGTGGACCTATTTTAGCTGTTGGTGCGAAACCTCCGGGAAGGGAGGTTATGTAGGGGGGTCCTCGGTCGATTTGAGTACGTGATGATTTTCTTACTTGTTCTGGCATCACGAAGGTACTGTGCTCGACTTACTGATACTAACAATCTTCATAGACGATTTCGTGGAGAACGATCATGGATATTTGTCGTGCTTTGGCCACAAGGCCACGAAAATCTGACCTTCTGGATGCGTTCGGGGCAGATGTCCAAATGGAAAAAGGTTGAGAATAATTACGTGGCGGAATGCGCAGTGGTGGGAAGTACCTAGGGAGGTCGTGTGAAATTTGTAATTAGTTGTTTTCTGAAATTCAGGGTGAGTGACGCATTAAAAAGTAAACAAAAACCCCAAGAAGAAGCCAGAAAAAGAAAAAAAACCGAGATCGTAAAATCGCAGTCCTTCGCGAAGCGAACCGCCCCCACAGTTAGCTTCTCATTCACCCATATTTGCCTGCACTGTCAACACTGTTTGCCATCTCACCCCGGTAGGCGGTTGGTAGTGTATGTTCCGTTTTCGGGGAGACGACCGGCCCGTCACTGACCCTAAGCACCACTTCGATGATTGCTTGCCTCTGCTTCGGTGCTTCCGGTTCGCTTGTTTCCCTCATGCTTTCGGCTTAGTCACTGGTGGAGGTGCATGCGTCTTTGTCCGTGTGGACGTCCTTTGTCTCATTAGGCAGGTACCTTGGTCTTTTCTTCGGATCCGTAGACTTTGCTCAACCGCGGCCAAGCTTCCCAGTGACCGGCCAGTGTTCATTAGATCGGCTTTCTGTTCAAATGTCAATTACTTGTTAATTATATGTGTCGTCCATGTGCTTACTTACTCGCGTTATGAGATTGTATCCCATTCCTGACTCTCTTCCCGACTTGCTCTGGAAGTGGCATTGTACAAGCTATTTTTACCCCGAATCTCTTTGACGGCCCGAACCAACGGCTCCCCCAGTTAATTACTCGGGCATGCACAGTATCTACTGCGTTGGTTCTTCCAAACCCAGCCCCGGCTGCGTGGCTGCCACCAAACCCAACGGGAGCAAGACGCGGTTTCGGATATGCAAGTCTCTCTTCCTTGTGGTTTGCTCTCTCTCTCTCTCGCTCTCTTTTGTTTATTAGTCCCCGGAGTTGGAGTTACGTGATTTTGGCTGGGCTGGACCTCTTCTCATCATAACTACTCGTTGAAGGCCAAGAGAGGGGAATGAGTCTGGCTTTCTCTGGAGTGGTTGGTGATGTCCTTGTGGCTGTAATCGACCGATTCAGTACCGATTCAGTAAAAGCCGCGTCTTGCTGGCCACGTCCACGTCGATGCAGATGTTGTCTTGGTTGCTCGTCGTGTCGAATCAGCGGTCAAACTGTGGACGATGCAGTTGCAGGCTGAGGACCAGGGGCCGAATTTGGCTGGGGAGGATGGTGTTTGTTGTTGGGATTCCGTTGGCCGGAGCAGGCCGTCGCGAGCGGTGAAAAACGGGGGGTTTTGAAGATGGGAGCAAGGGCACTATCTCGGGCTGTGGTTTGTTTTCCAGAGTTATAAAGGCAATCACGGCCTGGCTATGGTCTGGTGTTGGAGCGACTTCTCTGCGGTGTGCTTTGCGTCTTGTAGTGATCGCCCTCGCATTCATTCCCCCCTTGCGCCCGAATTTCCTTGCCCCTGAGTCCACCGACGCACAGCATCAAACGCCGCAACAGCAAATTCCCTACCACAATGCAGCTTCCCATTCTCGTGTCCGTCATTGGGCTTTTGCCCGCGATGGTCACCGCTAGGGGCGGTTTCAAGAGCACCTGCGGGCGAAACGTGAGTACCTACCTCATTACACTGCTCCATAACCGAATGCAATGTCTACAGGTAGCCCAGCAATAACCAAGACGGGGTACCCGCAGTGGTACATTTTCGCCGACCGGATGATGTGGGCCGAGTGTTTGACAGCACCAGGGGGCGCGTTAATACGTAGCCAGCTTGATCTCGACCACTGCATGGAGAATGTAGATGGGTATTTGCGGGGGAAAGACAAGTACGTTCTCGGATAATTGTTGTTGATCCAGGGTAACCATTACGGGGATGGATGGGCTAACTCGGCAACGCGGCGTCTCAGCGGCGCATATATCATGACTTGCCACAGGTGTGGGCGCGGCAGATCCAACGGCCAGGACGCATGGGGATGGTCCTATGCACGCTGCAATTGTTGGAGTCCCAGGGACAGTGCAAGGTACGGAGTCGAAGTGGATTTAAGTACGTGATTACTTTCTCAGCCGTTATGGCATCACTCGTATGTTGTGCGTTACCGACACTAACAAGTTGATAGACAGCTTCATCGAAAATGACCACGGATACTTGTCGTGCTACGGCCACAGGGCAGACCGCGCGGCATAATCTGAAGGGATCCGGCTGCGTTGTGCATCTATGATTGTGGTTAGGCTCTGTGATGGGTGATGTTTTCGAGCTTCTCGGTTGGGCTAGATCGATTCGTGCATATCATGATTACCTAGGTAGTTGTTTAGGGCGAAGAAAGGGAAATGGGGCCCTATTTCTCTAGTGTGTTGGTGATGTCCTTGTGGCCGTGACCAACCGGCCAAGTGAAAGCTGGGTCTCGCTAGCCGTGTAGATGCAGATGTTGTCTTGGGTGGGTGGGGGCTAGGGTATTACCGTCACCTACTTGTCACCTGCAGGACAAATTTCCCTCAGACTGTGCGTGATGCAGTTGCAAGGTGAGGACCACGGGCCGTATTTGGCTGGGCAGGATCGTGATTGTTTGTTGTCATTTTGTTGGGCGTGGTCGGGCCGTTGATAGCAGCGAAAACTGTGCCTATTCGAGGGCAGCTCAGAGCACGGGGTGTGTTTTGGGGCTTGGTATGTTTGTCGGAGTATTATAAAAGCAGTCGCAATCCAACCTTTGCCTGGTGTTGGACCGACTTTTTTGCGGTATGCTTTCAACTGTGCATTGCCATCCCTCGAAGCAACTCTCACATTTATTCCCCCCTTGCGCCCGACTGTCCTTGCGCCCGAGTCAACCGACGCACCGCATCAACCGACGCACAGTAGCAAACTTCCCAAACTTCCCAACATGCAGCTTCCCATTCTAGTCTCTATTTTCCTTGGGCTCCTGCCCGCGATGGCTGCCGCTGGGGGTGGCTTCAAGAGCACCTGTGCGCCCAACGTGAGTAACTACCATGCCCCATTCTACCGGTGGCCCAGTGCTAAACAAGACGGGATGCCCGCAGTACACCACGGTTAGCAACGGCCAGCACTTGATTGGCGAGTGCCTCACCGGAACAGGGAAGTCGTATCGCACCATACTGGATCTCGACCATTGCATGGGCAATCAGGGCGGTTTCCTGGTGTCGAAGAACGAGTAGGTTCTCTATGAATTGTTCAAGCATCTGGGGACTATTACGGGGATGGATAAAGAGGCTAACTCGGCCATGCGGCGTTTTAGCGGTGCATTCTCCATAAGTTGCCGCGAATGTAAGCGTGGCAAGGCCAACGGTGCCAACGAATTGTGGATGAGCATGTTCAACTGTTACTGTGAAAATGGGAAGGGAGGCTCATTCTTCCTTTCCGAGATTGATTTGAGTATGTGATGATGTTCTTCCCCGTCGTGTGTTTAATGGCCGATCCTAACAATCTGGACAGACAACTTCATTGAGAACGACCATGGATACTTGTCCTGCTTTGGCCACAGGGCTGGACTCATTAACCAATGATAGTACGGGAAGCGGCTAGGTTATGCGTCGAAGTGGAAAAATGCATGGCCACATGGCAGGATGGGAATGCGTGGTGTGGAATGCGCAGTGGTGGAAAGTAGGGAGGCTGCGCTAAGTTTGTAGTTGTGTTCAAATTCAGCTGGATTCTTTGTTGCAAAATTGTGTGTCGCGTTTATGATTGCTACTTCATGAAACTGCGGCTGAGCAAGGGAGCGAGCGGAACAAAGCTGCAAACCGGTAGCCCTCAACTTCTCTGCGAAACGTGCTGACCTATTCGGACCCGAATTGGGACTGCGCCTCCAAGCAGCCCTTCTACGCAAGGGACGTCCGGGACAAAGGTTTATTTTGGCTGTGACTGAGAGCTGCATTAGTTCTGGGCTTTGTTCGTGTATAAGATGACTGATGCTGCCGACTTCAAAGCATCTACGACTTTCCACGGACAGCGTTCCGCATCAACTCATCCAGCTCTTAGCAATCAGTTGCCTCCAAAACATCGTCACTATGAAGTCCTGCTCGACTTGGATGTTTCTTACCTTCCTGCTCCCAAGCGTCGTTGTGGCCTGGGGCGGCTTCTACCAAACCTGCAAAGAGAACGTAAGCCAACGACACCAATCAAGCTCTAATAGACAACACGGTATGCTGACCTGCGCCTCCAGTGGAACATCGTGAATGACAGGTTCATGACCGCCCAGTGCACTACCCGATCGGGAGGCGTGATATGGAGCTCACTCGACCTCAACCTCTGCCTGCAAAACGACCACGGCGACATGATTCCCACCGCGGGGTACGTACCCAGTAGTAGTAATATCTACTAACGTCCATTTCACACAATCAACCGTGTACTGAAGCTAACTGGTGCACTCGATAGTGGCAACAAGGAAAAGTCATTCATTCCCTGGGGGTGTGGCTTCTGCGACCAGGGCCAGGGTATCATCCCCAAGACGCGGCCGCCGACGAGTTACCTGGAGTGTGTGTGCCGCAAGCCGCCAATGGACGGGACAGCGTGGAACTGGACGCGTATTGATTTGAGTATGTTGACAAGACTATTTCTTTCTTGGCGTACCCCGGTTAAAACGTAAAGCTAACGGATGAAACAGACGAATTTATTGTGAATGAGTCGGGAATCCTGAGCTGTTTTGGCATCGCAGGCAACCAGATCATTGGCCAAGGGGGTGCTGAGACCCATTCTACCGACGGCGGGCGGGAATTCAACAAGACGCTACCATCGGGTGCTGAAGATATTTTGAACAAGACGCACTTCGGCCAGCCACACTGAATGCAGTCGTGACTGTTGGGCAAGCGGCTGAGGTAAAGGGAATGGTGAACGGGGCAACCGGCTGAGATAATTAAACCCAGCGGGGATTATCTTCTCATGTATAGTACAGCATTAGGGCTTTAGGCCATCGTAAGGAGCGGGCCACTTAAGTTATTCTAAACACAAAGGGAAGAAAAGTAGCACAGGGCTCTTCTTCCTCCACCACTTAACAGTTTAACACTCCCCCACCTTAACCTTATCCATAGCCCCCGACCTCAAGAACGGCGCATCAAAAGCCAACACCTCCCCCGTCTTCGCATCCTTAGTAAACACAAACCGATCCGCCGGCTCATTCCCATAATACAACCAATCCGTCAACGTCCACGTCAAGCAATCATTATTACTCAACCCCTTCCCGGGCAACTCCGACACCGACTCCCGATCCAACACATACCACAACCTCCAATCCTCCTCCACCACCTCCCTTCCATCCCCCAGCGTCTTCTTCCGCTCCATCTCCGTCGGATAAATCCGGAACTTATCCGTCAACTCCATCGACGGCAGGAAAGGCGACAGCGTCACATCCCACAATTGTCGATACCCGGAAATAATATCCGACCCGTTCCGCCAGAGTCCAGTCAACAACAATGACGTTCCATCAAGCTCCGTCGTCGCGTTAACCACCACCCCACCCGTCTCCTCACTCGACACCCCACGAAACGAACCCGTATACTGCTGCTCCGCTTGCTCCCGCGCGGCCTGTTCCAGCGCAGGCACCAGCACAGTCAGCGCAGCATCATACACATCCCCCAACGCATCTTGATCCCCAGCCGTCAACAGCACCAGCCCCACACCATACTCATCCAACAAAGCGATACGCGCATGGTATCCGTAGGCAGCACCGTCCTTGGCGTAGATACTGACTGTGTGCCCGCCCGTTTCGGCGACGGGGTCGTAGTGAGGAAACAGCAGGCTCGGATGCGGGCGGAAGATCTCCCAGGGCAAACCGACCGCGCCGCTGTGGGATCCCGAAAAGGTCCGTGGTTGCAGCCAGGCGAGGATATCAGTGGGATCCTCGGCGAGGTGGGGGGAGCGGGTAAGGATAGCGTGGAGGAAAGCCGACAAGTCCGCAAGCGTAGACACCAAACCGCCGCCGGGGGCGTTGATGCCGTAAGGTGAGCCCCAGGTGGATTCGACGGGGGGGATGACGGCAAGCTTATCATCACCCGGGCTGGGGAAGGTGGAGGGCATGTTGAGCGGGGTGGAGAGGTAGTCTTGCAGTTGGACGGTGTAGTTTTTTCCCGTGGCGGCTTCGAGGGCGAGCGCGAGGAAGGTGTAGGCGATGTTGGAGTAGACGGGGCGGAGCTCGGGAGCGGATTGCGGGTGGGCGGTCAGCATGCCGGTTAGCATTTGGTCGGCGGTGCATTCGGTGTTGAGGCCGATGACGCCGCAGGGGGGGTAGGAGGTGTCGTTGATGTGGGGGAAGCCGAGGGCTTCGAAGTAGGTTTTGATGTAGTGGTATTCCTAAACTGTTAGCGGGTTTCTTCTTGTTAAGAAAGCGTGGAGTAACATACAGAGAAGCCATCTGTGAAAAATATTGTCAGTGTTGGTCATTTTGTTGGAGTTTAGTTGGGGGGTCTTACAATTAGCGGGAATGCCAGACAGCTGCCCGCCAAGCGCCCGGAGCGTAATGCTATTCCAGTCGATGATAGACTCCGACGCGTTCAGCTTCGTCAGGTACTTAGTAACCGGCGTATCCGGGTCCACGCCACTGCGCAGTAGGATAGCATCGGTAATAACCTTGGACACCGACCCAACAAGGTACTGCGAGTGGCGATCCAGATGCTTGGTGCCGTTGACGTTGGCCGAGCCGAGATGGTGGTACTCCCACAGCGGCTTGGTGGGTTTGTCCTGGCCGGTATGGACCAGGCCCATGGACAGCGAGACGTTCTTAGTCTCCCAGCCGACACGGACTTTACCCTTGAAGACGCCGTCGAGGGAGGCCGTGAAGTTGGCGAGTGCGTCTTTGAAGACTTTGGACTTGGTTAAGTCGCGGGGGGCCGGGACGATTCGGCCTTCGGGACGGCATTCGAAGGCGTACACGGCTGGAAGCGCCAGGAGGAGAGAGGCGAACTTGACCATGTTGACGGTTGTCTTGCTAGTTCACAAGAGAGTGTCGTTGTCGTGACGGACAAGTCGGACTCAGACTCGCCAAGGTTAGGAGACGCCATATTTATAACTTTTGCATCTCCTCCCAGCCCTACACGTGTATCCCGCTATTATTCGCATTTTGCCTTCATGATGAAGATCCCAAAATATTGTCGTCAGGTTTAGCAAATTACACAACTCCAGGGTTGTGCCAAGAAAGCCGATGAATACGACAGCCATCACGATTGGTCAGGATGAGCCCCACCACAGACTCTCGGCGGGATCTCCAGAAGTCGGGCTGACCGCGACCAGGCCGTTGGGAACGATCAGCGGGTTGACGTCTGTGCATGGAAAGGGAACGCGAAATACGGTGTCAGTGTACCCATCGTGGTCGTGGATGAGACACAGCCATGGGATGCTGGGATCAGGTTGTTGATGAATGCGAGATACGAAGTTCGGGTTAGGGTTAGCCCTCGGATTTGACGGGCTTAAGGGTTAGGGTTGTTAAATTTCAGACACAAAGACACCGATGCTCCCTTCACTCTGGGTTAAGCAACTTGAGATCTCAACTGCATCTATGTCTAGGCCAACCATGTATCATACTATGCCACAAAAACACTCCGCCGTTCACACCAAGTCGCCGGCCGAAGACATGCTCCGAAAACCGAAACTCCGCCGTTCCGCCGGCCCCACATTCTGATGGCATTGCCGGAATGCCCCACCCTCCAATTCCCCTCAATCTGCTCAGCCCTATTTCCTTTTCTGAGCGTGCCTGGCCGATCTTCAAGTGCATACTTTGGTACAGCTCTCCCGAATCGACTTACACGTTTTACAACAGCAGAGAAGCATGGCCGCCACGGAAAAGAACCCCCAGGAACTCGAAAAGGCGTCGAGCCTGGCCCACGTGCCCCGCGGCGATGAGTACGAGAAGATGATCTCAGGCATGCTGTAAGCACCTCTCCCACTCACCTCGATTTTTCATCACCCTTCACACGTTCTCATCTCATAATGGTATAGATACAACGCCATGGACCCAGACTTAGCCTCCTCCCGCTTCGAAGCCCGCCGCACCTGCCACGCCTACAACTCCTACTTCCCCAGCGACGCCTCCGCGACCTTCGCAACCCTCGCCGCCTACCGCCTCTCCCAGCTCCGCTCCTTCATCGGCGCCGTCGGCGACGACGCCTTCATCGAGCCGCCCTTCCGCGTCGACTACGGCTGCAACATCCGCTTCGGCTCCTGTTTCTACGCCAATTTCGGCCTCATCATCCTCGACTGCGCGCTGGTGACCATTGGCGATCGCGTCATGTTCGGGCCGAATGTGTCACTGTTGTCGGCGACGCATGAGACGGATGTGAGGAGTCGGAGGGCGGATATTGAGTATGCGAGGCCGATTACTATTGGGGATGATTGTTGGATTGGTGGGCATGTGGTGGTGTTGCCGGGCGTGACGATTGGGAAGGGGTGCACGATTGGGGCGGGCGCGGTGGTTACGAAGGATGTGCCGGCTTGGAGTGTGGCGTTGGGGACGCCGGCGAGGGTGGTTAGGACGGTGGAGCCTTTGGAGGATGTTCCGGAGAGGAAGGCATAGATTTAGACGGTACGTTAATAGGTGCTTCGCTATTGGACATAAAATGCATGGTAGGCGTTGAGATATTTTGGCTGTCTTTCCGAGGCATGAATTACGGGTGATACCTGTGTCCAGAGGACTACCTACTACAGAAAACCCCCGTACAAAATTCAGAATGTTTCAATTTGCTTCCGTGTGTAAATAGGAGAAGCCGGCCGTTGACCACTGTACATACCCGATTAGGCAACTCCGGCCGGAGCACCCCGGCCCTGGGACACGGCCCGAGATGGCAATTCATCGGGATTTCTTCGCTTCACTCCGGTGGTTCCTTCTGCGCTTCATTAAGACCGCAACACACTTTAAAGCAGCCAACGGTTTACAACGCCTGTTTGTCCCCGTTTGCCGTTGTCACCGCAACATGCTGAACTAAAGATTCTTCAACCAGTCAACGTCCGGAACTTACCATACGACCGACCATGGCCACACAAACCGAAACAGAGCTCGTCGAGCTCGCGTTACCGCCAAGTCCAGCAGCACACAACACAAAAAATACACCGGACTTACCATACTCACCAAACACAGAGAACAACACCCTTCGACCCGAACTGAATGAACCCCCGAAACGCAACCGCGCAACCCTCCTCAAACTCCTCAGCGCCAGCTTCTCCTTCTTCGTCGCCGGCGTCAACGACGGCAGCATCGGCGCGCTCATCCCCTATTTCATGCGCCAATACGGCATCAGCACGACAGTTGTTTCCTCTGTGTAATCCACTCCCCGTATCCGCCCCAATTCCCCCAATCGTAGAGACTGATTAATGATAAAAAACAGCTTCGCAGCAAACTTCCTAGGCTGGCTCACAACCGCCCTAACAAACACCCACCTCTCCCAGCACCTCCCCCTAGGCTCTCTCCTCACCCTCGGCGCCGCCGCCCAAGTCCTCGGCCACGCTCTCCGCGCCTGGGGCCCCCCACCCCTGGGTCTGCTACTGTTCAGTTTCTGGCTGATTACAGTCGGCCAGGCGTTTCAGGATACGCATGCGAATACTTTTGTTGCGGCGGGCGCAGGGGGGAGTTGGGGGGGGACGCATAGGTGGTTGGGGTTTGTGCATGCTATGTATATGGCGGGATGTCTTGTGGGGCCGTTTGTTGCTACGGCTGTTGCGAGTGCTGGGATGGAGGGGGAGTCGAGGTGGTATTTTTTCTATCTTTTTCCGTTGGGGTTGGGGTTGGGGAATTTGGGGTGGGTGGTGGGGGCTTTTTGGGATAGTGTGGGCTTGATTAGGAAGAAGGCGGGAGGAACTGGTGCTGGGGGTGAGGGGGGAGAAGGGGAAGGGAGAAATGATACGGCTGCGGAGTTGATCAAGACCACCCTGACCACGCCGAGCGTGTGGTTGTTGAGTCTGTTTTTCTTCTTCTTTCTTGGCGCGGCGATTACGGTCGGCGGGTGGTTGGTGGAGTTCTTGGTGGTGGTTCGCGGAGGGGAGTTGGCGGATATGGGGTATGTGCCGGCGGGCTTTAATGGGGGCTGTCTGTTGGGACGGTTGTTGCTCGCTGAGCCGACGAAGCGGTTGGGCGAGCGGCGGATGGTGTTGGTGTATGCGGTGTTGTGTGTGGGGTTGCAGTTGTTGTTTTGGTTGTGAGTGTTCTTGTCTGCTTGATCATCATGGGATGTCAACATCATGGATGCTTGCTAACGGGATAGGGTGCCGAACATCATCGCGGCCTCGGTGGCGGTTAGCTTTCTTGGCTTCTTCTCCGGGCCTTTCTTCGCGACGGTAAGTAGTGCCTTTCTCTGTATCCGGATTTTAACTAACAAAATCAGGGCATCTCGGTCGGATCCAAACTGTTCCCCTCGCACATTCACTCGACAGCACTCGCGCTGGTGTTTGTCATCGGGCAGATTGGCGGTTCCGCCTTCCCGATCGTCACCGGCGTGCTGGCGACGCGTGTGGGTGTGTCGGTGTTGCAGCCGATTCTAGTCGGTTTGTACGTGGCCACGGCGGTCTCGTGGTTGCTCATTCCGAGGCCGAAGACGGCCAACGCCGCGTTGCATGAGGAGTAACTTGTGATGGAAACCTGTATTAGTCTAGAGAATCCGGACGAGTTGTTGTCGACAACGATTCGGTCTAGCTTTGCCCACGAGATTCCAAACAAGACTACCTCGGGATGAATTAACAACCCCCGAGCCCGTCCCTTCGATCGTGGAAAACCTCCTGACCCCACCTCTCCAACTCCACATCCGGATCCTCCCTCCGAGCCCTTCTCGGGCGATCGACACGCCAACCCTGGAGTTTTCCAAATTCCCACCAACAGCCTCCAGCCTCTCCGCCAAGACGTCGCATCGCCAGGTATCCTGACGCAACAGATCTCTTCTCTGCATCGCTCTGCATCGCTCTGCATAAGACGCGTCGGAACCTAATCGAAACAAGATGTGCATGCGGTGTTTACCCCGGATTTTCATGTTTCAGCTTTTTTCTCGTCGGTCAGTGCGAGTACCTCTAGAGGAGATGGTAGCACGGTGATGAGGATCATCGTCAAGGGACACGTTCATATGGAAAATCTTCGGCCGGGTTTAGGGTCTGGGCGTTGGATCAGGGGACGAGGCTCATTCGTGGGAAAAGGGAGGAAGAAGGAAGGAGAGATATTCCGTTGGGTTTACCACGTGTTGGGTGCCGGTGTTGCAGTTGAAGCGAGGGTGGCGTTGTGGAGATGTGGATTCCTCCGGGTTTAGAGTTCGGGATGTGGTTTATTATAAGAGGTCCTTCTTCTCCAGGTTCCCTCAACCTCCGTCATCACCTCATTCACAACCTCACCACTTCACAACGAGACCAGAACTCCCTCACCATGCACACCGCCCTCGCCGCACTCCTCTCAGCCGCCCTCGTGGCCGGCCAAACCAACACCGAGCTGCAATCCAGCTTCCCCACAGCCAGCAGCACCACCGCGCTGGCGGCGGTGCAAACGATCGCCGCGGGCGAGAGCTTTGACGGCTCGATGCTCGAGTGGGACCGCAACCCGTCGACGTGCAGCGAGCAGGCCGAGGGAGGCGACTCGGATGCTGTTTTCATCTTGGAGGAGGGCGCCACGCTGAGCAATGTGGTTATTGGACCGAATAATGGAGAGGGCGTGCATTGTTTGGGGGCTTGTACGCTGAATAATGTGTATGTTTCCTCGTCTCTCTCCTCTGCTTCATTTTTGCATCTTTTTTGTAACTCGACATGGTACTGACACATATGCAATCCAGCTGGTGGACCAACGTCTGCGAAGACGCAGCAACCTTCAAACAATCCTCGGGCACATCCTACGTCAACGGCGGCGGCGCACGCGGAGCCGACGACAAAGTCCTGCAGCACAACGGAGGCGGCACGGTCGCCGTCAAGAATTTCCTGGTCAGTGACGTCGGCAAGGTCTACCGGTCGTGCGGCAACTGCGACGAGATGCACGAGCGGCACTCGACGTTTACCAACATCAAGGTTGTGGATGGCGCCAAGGTGGTCGCGGGGATTAACAGCAACTATGGGGATACTACGACTATTACCGACTCGTGCTTGTTGGATGGGGCGGAGTGCTGGTTGTATGAGGGGAATGATACGGGGGATGAGCCGACTAAGGTTGGAGATGGGCCGGATGGGAAGTACTGTATTACTTCGGGGATTAAGACGTCGGGGTGCTAGGTTGTAAACTGTGATTGTGGTTGTGGGAGGTTTTGAATGGATTTTATGTTATGCTTCTTTGGGTAGGTATTTAAGTCTGAGGATGATACGACATCCCCTGAAACCAGAAATGACAAATACAGTCGTAAACCGCCAATATTACCTCGTCTCCAACTTGATATCCACGACCCATTTCCCCCCATTCCCCTTTATACTGTCCGCACGCAACCTCCTTCCCATTCTCTCTTGCCACTATGGCCGGACTACACTTAAACCCGTGCGATTAAATCCTGCATCACCGCCAAGTCAAATGTATCTCCCGACAACCATTGTCCTCCAAACAATAATCCCCGACCGACTCAAGACTCCGAGACTCATATTCGCCCAGGACATCATCCCAAGACAGGGTTAGTTCAGCCTCAACCATTCCGCACAGCGGACCCCTAATCCCGCGCCTCCTTTGGCCGCCCCAGTCCTCAGTTGTGAGGTCAGATCCGCCTCTGTACATGATCCGATTATGAGCTCGCCGGCCAACCCTCATCGTTGATTCATAACCTGAAACGTAATCCGTGGAATCCATTGAAGAAGTCTTTGTTTTGTTGTTTTGCCCGCCACGTGCTGCAACCAGACTGCACACGAGAGAAGAGAAGAACGAAATGCATTGCTTCTTCCCGTGCCGACGCCCGACACATCCCACAGCCGTATATAGAGGGAGTGGTGGTTTTCTGGTTAGAAATGATATTCTGCCCACTTCCCGCGATGTTCGCTCGAGATTTTGCATCGTGCGCCTAGATGTCGACTTGTGCGGAGAGTCAACCCCCCATCGTCGTCCCCAACGTAAACGTCGTCCGCAACTCGTGTACTACCCCCACCACAAACAAGACCGACGTTATCAGTCGGTTGGAAAGGTCGCCAAGTTGTCTCTGACAAATGGGACCCTGTACGTCGACTGGCTGGGACTTGTTTCTTTCCCCGTCCACCCTGGGGGGAGTGAGCAAGATGATGATGAAGGCAGCCAGACCACACCAGCCGCGAACGGGAAATTGAGTGTAATGCTGTTTGTCGGTGTGGGTATCCCATCTCATTCTCCCCCTCAAACCCCCCCCCCCCCCCTCTTATCCTCCACGTCAACTCCAACAGTCCTCGTCTCCTTATGCGATTATCGGGATTTCCAATTTTATGATGGATGCTCTCCTCCGTTCATTAAACATACGTCTCTCCAGTGCCGCAGAAATGGTGCCGAAACCTTGCATCAACCAGTGGTCCCGAACTTGTGACCGTAGCTTCCGTTGAGCCACTGGCGTCCCGCATCCTGTCTGCGCACCCAGCCGCTCGCGTTGGAAACAGTCCTCCGCGGTCTGTCTGTCGATCTCCGACAGGAGCGGGGACATCTGATGGCGCTGTCGAACTTGGAGAGACGCACATACTCCCCAGACAAGCGTCAAATCATGCGCTGCGGTCGGAAAGTATGGAACTGGAATCCAGTGGTTCGAAGCGGCCATTGAAAAAGATGGTGGACCAGACGCCAGGTTGGCTCCCTCCTCTTGGGCCCGACCCGGGCAGCTGGAGCGAGGGGCGGCCAAAGATGGTATCTAGGTAGGATCGCGGTCGATGTCGGCCTCCTCATTGTCCTAAAACTCGGGCCGCAGGAGTCGTTGAGCCCCCTGTATCGAGGGGTACCGATGAAAAGGCTGTCCACGGCTGTCATGGAGATACGTAAGTCCTTCTTCTGAAGCGGCACTCGAGATCATGCGTCCCATCTGCCCCGAACCCAAGTACCTGGCCATGCCTCGGTTCCACAGCCACGGATCCGAGGGTACATATCGTCTGTCCCTGGTCCCCGGCAATACCGGAGTCTGCGATCCGACTCAGCCGAGTCGAAACCACGAACCGGCACTGCGCCTGAGCCAATAGGGGTCTTGAATAACCACAGCGGGAGCCCAACAAAGATGTTGGGATGATTGATATCCGTGAGTTGCGCTGTTCGATGAGCTCCGTTGTGTGATTGTGTGGGGTCGTTCGCGTTGCAAATTCGTGGCACCCTGCCCCGTGCTTGGAAACAACGGTAATATGTCTGGGCGTCCCCTTCCAAGCTTCCGAAAGGCTGATGGTCCGGGGGGCCGAGGCATGAATGGCGGCCGCCACGCCGCCACGGCATACCGCAGAGAGTCTTTTCGTCATGTCAGCATCGGTTACACCCCGAGGGTTGTGGGGGTTGGAAAGATGCATACCTTTTCGCGTCATCTTCACATCTCTCCACAGAGATGCCGGAAAACTCCTCTTTGACCTTTTCCGTCAGATATGGACTGCCGCTGGAGCCATGGAAAAGGAGCGTGAATCGTGGAGAGTGGTAAGATTCCGTGTCTCTCCGTTTGATTCTGGGAGCACGGGTAGACCGTCCCCAGGCAACCGGAATCTTCGAAGGTAGTTCCTGTCTTCAGAGGATCTGAAGTGAGGGGAAGGATACCAGAGTCCTGCAAAAACAGTGTGTTAGATGAGTACTTCGGAGGTGGGAATGCACAGAACAAAAGCAAACGCCCAGCACACGGACTCAACGGTTGTTGCTTACCTGTGTCCATGTCCTCTTGTTTGTATCCCCTATCTGTCCTGTGGTAAGGACAACACTTCATAAACGGGACACCCACCCCACACAACCGGAAGCCCTTGCCCCCGAGATACAAGCCGAATAACACCTTGCGTCCTGCGGCACTGAAATAAACCTCTACAGAACCTCCCACGCCTTGAAGCGTCAATTTGCGCTTGGCTTGCAAACAACTCCCGCATGAATTTTCCCCGCTGATTCGCAACCTCCCCCACCGGGCGCCTCTGTTTCCCCGAAATCACCCTACCCATCCACACTCCGTTATCTCGCTGCCATCTCCGAGAGTGATCCTCGCTCGCTCTCCCGCCGCGCATGAATACACCACAACGCCGAATCTCTCACGGTGCTGGAACTTCTCCTGTTCCGCCTCACCCCCGGCAGATCGATTTCTCGCCGCCATGCACTCTCCTCCCGCCACGCAGAACGTCGCCTAAGGTGGCCTGCTTTCGGCCTGGGAGTGTTTCTGTTGATGGCTCGGGTGGTATACCGGGGTTTTCCCATTTGATGGCTTCTTATTGGGGTCGTCGTCTCTTTTTCATCAATCTTGGCCCTTGAGAGCTTGACACGTTCGTCTCCGACCGATTGTTGCATACATAATCAGCACCACGGCCGGAATCCCTACTCCCCAGTGGTCGGGGAACAGCCGCTTTGTGACCAAACCCGGCTTGTTGGTGACGAACATCTTTCGTTGTACCCAGCCGATATGCCTTCCTTCTTCGGGCACCCCTGCCTCCGATACAGTCGAACAGAGGGCTTGCGCGGCGGGATCATGATTTACCCACCCGAAGGATCGGATATATGCTGATGTGGTTGTATCGTATGAGCATGTCCAAGAACACCTGATCGCCCTCCTGGCTGCCCTCCTGGCTGCCCTCTTGACGGTCCCCCTGACCGTCCTGCTGACCGTCCCCCTGACCGACCGACCGCCGTTCGCTAGCCCTAGTAGAACGCTCTGTCCGCCGAGGCTCCAGCAATGATCCACACAAACCGATCCCCATCAACCTTCAACCACCCTCCAAGCCCCCATCACAAGGGGCGACCGGTGCCACCTAAACCCGAAAATGCAACCAGAATATCCAGGAGCAGGGAGAGAGGGAGACAATCCGCCATTTACGGTCCCGGCTCCCGTTTTATCGCCTCCGCCTCGGTTCGGTTGTATCTTGCTCATCTTGGCTCAAGGTGGTGTCCGGTACGGTTGTGTGCTATCTGTTGTTTGCTTCAAATGTTCCCACCAAGCGGGAATAAAGCCTCCGTGTTTCTTATCTGACCTCCCCTGGTATTTGGTGATGCCATGGTAGCCCCGTGCTACCTCCTCTCTCTGTCTTGGCAGAACGGCGATAAACACGGCTAATGATGGGTCTCTTTATTCAACGGGGCAGACCACCGGTGGGTGCGGGCAAGAAATCGCCAGCGTTGGAAGAGTAGTGCGGATACACTCACTAGATACACTCGGTATCTGTCGGGTTCAAAGAGGGGATCTTTGTCGACGATCCCGAGTGATGGCGCAACGCAAGGTTGGATACCTAATTACCCCCCTTGCAACAAACAGCCCACACAGCGCAGCCCGGCCACCTAAGAAAGAAAAGGATGAAAGGTGAAAGAAAGAAACGGATGAAGGGGAAAGCCAAAGGGAGGATCGGGGGGGGCGTTAAATGGAACGCCAATGACGGAGGGTGGATAAGATGTCGTGAACCCTTGATGGCGAGACTTCCTCGGTCTGGTCACACTTCAAGACCCAGCCAGGGGAAACATCCCGGGGTGTTCCTGCGTGAGGGCAAGGAATCCTTAGGCGTAACATGGTGCTGATACACTAGATACAATGGGCATCTGCCGTGTTCCAAGCGAGGGTCGTCGATGACTCTGGATTGGGTGGTTGCCAATCGGGTTTGTGAACTGCATTCCACAGCGCAGGAGGCGAGGATGGACGGCGAAAGGAGGTAGGTGAGGTAGCGGGGTATTGTATAAGGCCGAAGATGTAGGCTGGGGGCGGGTCCCGAACAGCCAAGTTGATGATTAAAAGGAAAAGGGGCAGGATCTCGATATGAAGTGTAGCCCACGGCAGGATGTGTGGATGAACCGGACCCCGCGGCAGCACCCATGCAAACTGCCAACTACGTGGTAACACCACCAGATCCGGTGTTTGCGTACCCAGCCGTCCGTCCGCCAATGGGCAAGTCAAACGCAAGCGGAACCCGCGTGTGATAGCGGATGCACATGTTGAATCGCCGAAAAAGTCGTCCCCCTCTGCATCGTCCCCCTCCGCAGGGGAGGAAATAATAAACATGTCCCGTTGTAGCGTGTCTGTGTTGTGTGGACACAAACAGGGGTGTGCGCGAAGCCAACCCCGAGATCAGAGCCACGCCCAAAGACAGGGCAAGCCGGCCGGCTAGCTGACCCAGTCCAGATTCCATGCAGGGCCGTCTTGGTCGGACACGTGGCGACGGAAGATACGGGCCGTCGACGATGGCCCGGGCCGAGAAGCAAGGGATGTGATAGGCAGTACATCCGGTTACAATTCAACCATGTAAAGTCACGGCGGGTCTCTCCGCCTTCGCCGTCATAGGCTACCCCAGTTCCAATGGAAGACTGAAGATCTTGAATGATCGGCCGATGATGCTCATCGAAGGTAAGGGCAAAGTGGCGGGCCCATCTGTTAATTACCCCGCCCAAAAAAAAGGGCCGGACTCTAGGAATGGACCAGATAGTCGATGCAGATTGGCAATGACTTATTGGCTGTAGCGAAGTCAGGATTGTCGGAAATCCCGACCATGACCTAGCCTTGATGCTGGCTTTGCGCTGGTGTAACAGATCGTGTGTGGTAAAAGCTGCTTGGCAAACTGTCGGCGTGTGATGAAGTTGAGGACGTCCGGCCCAGACCTGGGAGAGTGTAGGGCTTCCAAGCCGACTCCCGAAACAAGTATGCGCCAGCTGTCGCAGGGGAGCTTTGCCAGGATCGACATGGTGGATGATGTATATATAAAAGTCGAAAGGATTCACGGTGGACGGTGTTCTTAGCGAGTGTAGGTCGGAGGGGATGTGCAATTAAAGCAAACGCTTTCATTGTTCGGGGCGTAGTTCCGGTGGGAGAGGGGACAACGATGTGTTCGGGAAATGGATCTGTGAATCCAAATGCCGCGAGACTTTCTGGCCGCCAACCCCCATTACTCTAGATGATGGTATTCCGAGGAGGCATTTGCCCCCGAAAGCTGCCTGCGCCGAGAAAGCAGAGCAATTCCAGGAGGGAACAGGTGAAGGAAGAGTGATATATATATCGAGCCCGGCTCAGTGGGTTTGTGGTAAGACCGGCCTGCCTGGCGGGAAAGAGTTGCGATTATGTCGCTTTGCCTTTCGTACCGGAGAGTGTGTCGTCCACAGTCACCTGCGCGGAATTCTTGTTGTGGTTGTTCAACGGTGAGTCGGTGATAGAGCGAGTGCTAATAAAAGGGGGGGAGAATAACCCCCGCCTTTGGTGGGTGATCGATCGGCCGGCAACGGAATAGTGAAGGAGGGCGAGCCACCGCAATCGGTTTTGTAAATTTGAGGACTGCGAACAGGTGCTGCGGGCCGGCCGTGTATCGGCGTTGTGTCGTCCGGTATGTAGCACTTCCAGATATTGTCGTATCAGGGCGGATGTCCCAGAGTCTCGCTGGATGCGAGCCAATCCCCCAGTGTCATCACAAAACCGCACCAGGCTCTCTTTCACTGCCGCAGTTCCCCGAAATCCCTTGGAAGCGGTATCCACATCACCTTTGGTGGTGACAAGACCAAAGCTGACGGAGTGTTGCATCTCTTGGTGGCCTAGGTTGTGTGCCTTGGTAACGATGGCGCGCTTAAGAGGGGTGGTATCGCCTAATCCGTCGCGGGATTCGGTGATTGGAGAGTGGAGGTCGGCACTGGCGTGGATGAGCTGCATTGGGAGCATTGTCCCATAGGCAAGTGGGGATGAGAAGGCCAGGGATAGTGGGGTTTGACCCGTGGTGGGATTCGAGCAGGTAGGTGTAAAACCATGACGAGATGTGGTAGTCTCGCACTGCCAGCTAACAGGCAAGTTCGTCGTTGGTAGATCTCGGACGGGCATCATGATGAACAATGCCATCGGGGCCGTATGTCCGTTCTCGGAGGGCCGGGATGTCGGATAGTTGCTGAATGCGGGCTTGGTCTGACTCGTGGACCTTCTGGACCGAGTAGTGATGCACTGAATGGGACGGGAACAGCCGATGGAGTGAGAGCTTGCTGTTCCATCGAACACGTCACGTCGAGACACCGCAGTCCCAAGGATGTTGCGCAGCAGAGAAGATAGGGACACAACGCCCCCGACGCCATAGGTCCAAGCCTGAAGCGAATCAACCCAAGCCGGGACCGCTACTTCGAGATGAAACCATAAGACCGCCAATCAAGGGCTAGTCATCATAAGTGAGGACCAAACACGAGGGCTTCATAACCCTCTAACGATCCGCCGGGGCACATGCCTCAGGATAGTCGCGCCGCCGGGTTCGATATTCTTCCGAGCCTTGGCTGTACTCTGCAAGGTACACCTTCCCAGCGGGCAAGCAACGGCCCAGGCTGGTTGAGGGCCGACCAGACCGCGCCGGTCCCAAACGCCACGCCGCTTCTTCGACTGGAGAATCTTCACTGCATCAGATTCGCGCAGAATCGATGGGTATCAACCTCAGAACATCACTTCGGTAGTCCACGACTCCACGGCAAAGGCAGTCCTGGCCAAATGAAGCTGGCAGGGAGATCATCGCCCCATGGAGTAAAAGCGAGGATCCTATGACGAACGGAGCTGAACAGCCCGAGTCGTGCGGACTGGCGATGTTGGATCTTGGGATTGCTGTGATCCGCCGCGGGGATTGGTGCATGAAAGTGTGATTGTGTGTGCATATATATATCGACGGAAGGACACGGCCGATTTGTTCCAAGGTCTACTGCTGTCACATACACCCCCAACAGCGGGACAACAATGATTCGGAACATTCGGCCCGCCAGCGCCTGTTGCTGTTACAAAAGAAGGGGTTGTGGTTCCGGATCATCAATTACCAGAGGAGACGTGGAGGCGTAGATGAACTCCTTGCCGTATTTCGCCGCCTTTCTCTCCATTTGGGGAGGAGGAGGCACATACGGAATGATGACTTCATTGAAGGCAAGAACGTCGGAAGTGACACCGTTGGCACTGAACTTTATCTTGACATCGAAGAAACGCCTGTCTTTACCCCACGGCTTCGAGCGGGTGAATTCAAGTGTCGCCATTTCGAACTGCCAACCGACCCATTTCCATGCTCTGGCGTAATTGGAGGAGGCGTGGAGCAGCTCGCACGAGGGCATTTCCTGCCCCAGGATCTCGAGGGCCGAGACAGCATCGCCGGAAAGGTTCTCTGCCCAGCCCGGTGTCACAAGCCATCCGACGTGTTGTGAACCTTTACACCATTCTTCGGCGCTCCCCAACGGGACACGTTCCTATCGCATCTGGTATCCACCGCATGAGCGGCTGCAGGACGCTGGTGGAGGACGTGGCGCCAGCGAAGGGGGACAATATCGTAGAGTTCCCGGGCAATGCCCCAGATCCTTCGTAGATCCGTCAGATCTGGGCTGTTGTTGACTACCTTAGCGCCTTGTTGACGAGACGGCAAAGCCATCCATGACGAGGCTGTGCGAGTCTGGTAAACGCCCCGGACGGAAGACGTAGGCCGAGCTGCTCCTTAGCCGTCCCAAAGGAGGGGGGGCCTGGCTCACAGGCTAGCCGTGACCGAACCGAACCGAACCGGTGGTCTAGGGGGGAGCAGACGACCGGTTGTTGCCCAAGATGGCATTCTTCGTCGCGGTGGGACCTGCGGAAAGGTGTCTGTTGATGAGTAGGTATATCGACGGTGACTGGGTCCTTGTGTCATGGAGCGATCGGGGTCACACCTACCCCCGACCAGGGCGACAATAATCATCGGGTACATTCTCCCGATTGACACTCCCGCCGGAAGAAGCAGTCCCAATGCCAATTCTTGAATCTCCGATGCCCGCTTCGGACGACGTCAAGTGATTATCTCAGCTCTCTCCAAGCCTTCCGCGCACCCGGCAGAAAGACGCCCCGGATGGGGGTTGACGAGAACATGGAGAACCAAATGAGGTACCAGAGGAGTGACTGAAATGTACACTGTCACCAGGAGCATACTTCTGATGGCATGGGATCCCTCACCGCTGGGCAAAATATGAGGCATGGTCGAGTTCCGTAGAAGGGTAGCTAGTATTCGACGTTGGGCCCGGGTCCTCCGAAACCCGCGAGGGAGACGACGCATGGTTTCAACAACAACTCGAACAGACCGATGCGACAGAGAACCGGCGGGGTGTTGTCCATCACCGTTCGCCGACGGCAGGGCATTGGCGGATGATGGTGATCCGCTCGGCGCGGTAGCCTGGGTGGAGCCTATCTCGGTCAAACCCCAGCTTGAAGAGCGCGGCGGAGCTGTTCGTGTAGTAAAGCTGTGTGTTGTGTTGTGATAGCCCCCAAGCGGGGGAGTACTGTGAGTAAGGAATCCAGCAAGGCAGAAGCCGGCCACCAGCTAGCGTGTGGAGGTGATATCGTGCGTCAACTAACTGGATTCGTGACCCATAGCTGGGAGTCATGCTTTTGCTCGACTCGAGGATCACCGGCGGACCCCGAGGCAAACGACGAAATGGCGGTACTGCTCCAATGATGTCTTGGTAAAACGTCCACGAACCACGGGGGCACGGCCCGGCGTAGTTGTAGAGTAATCTCCTGGGGGTTTGTGTGAAGTTGTTCATATATACCTGTTGCGAGTAAGCTCTGCGTCCTTGCGTGGTCTACTTGATAGGCGTGTCACTTACCACACCTCTCTCTTCTTCCCGAAGGAGATCCACCCCCTCAGCTCTCCATCTCAACCCTGGTGACTGAACGGCACAAACTTGGAGTTCCAATCTTTTGGGACTCGAGGGTTTTTCGGAAAATGTTCCGACGTGGGTGTGGTGTAAGCGGTTCCGGCATTAAGAGGCGAGTGCGTGAATGAGAAACGGACGGGCCGGCCCCAGATGTTTCTGAATAGACTCTGGAACAACCGTGGTTAGTGTTTGCCACTCAGACCAGACCTGCAACATCACGTACATAATATAATGATTGATCGCGGTTGTAAGTGACCGGTCTACCAAGGGTCGGAAGAGACGACCAAATTCAAATGCACATATACTGAATTGCGAGGGTCTCAGGCAAAATGTTGGCAAGAGTGAATTATAATGTTGTCAAAAGTTGGCCGGAGAATGGAAGACAAGCTTAGGGGGTGAGGCCGCGCCTGCGCCGGTGGTCCAAGGTCTTCCCAACAGCTTCCCTAACACAGCTCGCGAATCGACTGTCTTTAAGTCCTAGGGGGTTTATCAGGCGTTTGTTTTGTGCAAGGCATAATTTGCATACCAACCTCTCAAGTCTCAACGGCAAGCTGCTGATGCTCCTACCCGACTATGGGGTGACAAGCGGTCTGGAATCGGAAGGGGGAGTGTCCGGAGTGGCCTGGCCGACAAGGCAACAGCAGTTTACGTCCGTTTGCTAAAAAGGACGTTTGGTCAACCTATTCTGGAAGTTCGATGTCGTTGGCATGATTGAACACAGCATCAACCAATAATTACACAGCAAAGCACCGAAGAGTTGTAAGTTGCCAAACTTAACTGTCAGTCAAAGTTCCATATCATTCTAGAGTGCCAGAAAAGAAGAGGAGCATTTATGATATTTTCCTATCCTTAAAACTTTGTACGAATTTGTGATGCTCATTGCACGTTTACCCTTCGGTTTGTGTCCAGCGAACTCGGCGCGACGGTCTGCCAACAGCTGTAGCTTAAACTTGGCCGCCGACAACAGGCCGGAACGGGCCGAGAGTTCAGCTCCCTTTCCACCCATTTTTCGGATCTCGACATCCATGGCATGGGCTACCGCAGCATCGAAACACTTTGACGCAGAGTCAACGCCGGCATCCGTGCTGTCACGCGGCGAGCCGAAAAGAGAAATAAATGGACAGAGTCAGGCATGGCAGGTCAGGTTGTGAGTCGGAGAGACCCCGTTATCAGTTAGGGCGATTTCCCAAAAGCTTAACTCGCGAAATCGATTCTTCCCAAACGCTTGCATGGTCATTTTGAGATTCTACCATCCGTGAGCCCAATCCTACAAACATTGCTCCAAAGGAGACTGGAATCGAGCCCAGTCTTCCAGCAAGCAATCAAGCATGCCGCTACCCAGCTCCACCCACCCTTTCCTTGAGGTTTACTTAACGTTAGGCTCCACCGCAGCACTCCAAACCATTTTCTGCACATCCCATCGGCCCCCAAGCAAAGCAAAACACGACAACCGGAGCTGCCTTACGAATAACCGAGCAAAAGAACGAAATCACGAAGCAAGCCACACACCGACCTACGGAGCTTCCCGGTTGGGGGCCAAAACCCACCATCCAATCAAAAGCGTCGCGGGAACAGCACAAGCACAAGGCCCGATGGCGTGCGGGGCCGCTGGGCCGGGCTTTCGGAGCAACCCAGCTGCGTATCGGTCCAAATCTGCAAGCGTATCGGCCAGTCGGGGCGTTCGAGGGGCCGCGCCCTAAGAGTGATGATGTCGTTGGGAGTTTTTTTGGAGGGCACTCTGTCTCGGGAGGTTCGGCGGTTGGGTAGATGAATTACCAAGCTGGGGATATTTAAGTCCTCCCTGCTGTCCGTGCAAACGGAGAAGTCGGTTTTCGCATTTTGCTCAACCATACCCAGGCTAACTGAGCGGCAACCACCCTTTCCCCCCTCTGATTGATACACTGCGAGTAAATCCAAAATGCCCACGATCGCCCAGATCCGCGCCTCCAACGCGCAAATCAGCACCGCCCTCCCCCCCGGGCTCGTCGCCGTCTTCGCAGGCGCCACCAACGGCATCGGCGAGTCGGCGCTGCTGCAATTCGCCAAGAACACCGTGAAGCCGCGCATTTACTTTTTCGGGCGTTCCCAAGAGGCCGGCGAGCGGGTGCTTGCCAGCTTGCAAAAGATTAACCCGGACGGAGAGTATATTTTCAAGGCGGTGGATTTGAGTCTGTTGAGTGCGGTGGATGAGGTGTCGAGGGAGATTAGGGAGAAGGAGAAGGTGGTGAATTTGCTGTTTTTGAGTACCGGGACGCTGGTTACGGGGAAGGGTAATTACATCTTTTCCTGCGTTCCTTACACACCCCAAGCTGAAAATTACCACCCCCCATATGAAAGTTACCACCAGCAACACCACTAACCTCGACATCAATATCATGATAGAAACCTCCGAAAACCTCCACCTCCCCTTCGCCACAGCATTCTTCTCCCGCCTCCGCCTAACCACCAACCTCCTCCCCCTCCTCCGCGCCCCTTCCACCTCCCCCAACACCCTCCGCCGCGTCGTAACCGTCCTAGCCGGCACCAAAGAAGGCCCCCTCCTCTCCCTCCCACCCAAACCCGAATCCAAATCCACCGCCCACGACCTCCAACTCCGCGCCCCCACCGCCCCGTCCCTCCTCACCCCCCGCGGACGCGGCCACACCGTCACCTTGACGACTCTCGCGCTGGAAGCGATTGCTAAGGAGGCGCCGGAGGTCGGGTTCGTGCATGATTTCCCTGGGGCGGTGAGGAGTAATTTGGGAAGGGATTTAGATGGGTGGGGGTGGAAGGTGGCGCTTGGGTTAGTGCATGGGGTTGTGTATCCTGTGCTGGGACTGGTGGGGGGGTTGGTGCCGGTCGAGGAGGCGGGGGAGAGGCAGGTTTATTTTGGGACTAGTGGACGGTTTCCGGGTGCTTCTTCTTCTTCTGGTAAGAGTGCTGCTACTGCTACCGCGGGGGGAGGTCAAGGGGGCGGGGATAATAAGGGAGGTGATGGGGTGCCGGGGGGGGAGGGGGGGGGTGTGGCGGTGGGCACGGATGGGAAGGTGGGTAGTGGGGTGTATTCGGTGACAGAGGCCGGGGAGAGTGCGGGGGAGAAGGTGGTGGAGTTGTTGGGGGGGTATCGGAGGGATGGGACGGCGGAGGCGGTGTGGAAGTGGGTGGAAAAGGAGTTTGTGAGGATTACGGGGGGGGTCTCTATTTAGTTTCTCTATCTAGTATAACTATCCAGTTATGGTTCTCGGGTTGGGTTCAGGGGTTGGATTTCCGGGTTAGGGTTAACTCAGGGGTTATAGCGGTTTCTTTTTTTTTCCTGTTTCAGGAACTTCTTTCTATGTTGTTCTCAGTCTATCAGTTTATACATCACTTCTTCAACAACTGCTGCAACCGCTGACTCGCCAACCGCGGCAACCCCCTATACCTCTTCTCATCATACGTCTCCTCCAGCGCAGCCACCAACCTCTTCGCCTTCGCCATAACCAACCTCTTATTACTCCCCGCCCCCCCAGCAGCCACTCCCTTCAACAACTCATCCGCCTCCCTCGCCAACTTCCCCCTCTTCTCCCTAACCGCAACCTCATCCCCCTTCTCCGCCTCACACAACACACACGTACACTCAAACCCCCACATCGTCAGCAACGCCTCCTGTCTCTCCGCATAATCCCCCGATTCATCATAGCTGTGCACGATTTCCTCGCCCTTGGCGATGGGTTTTGTTGCTCGAATCACCATCAAATCACCCACAAACTCCCTCTGTGTATTCGGCACACACGAATGATTAATCAGCGCCGCATACGGCCAAAACCCGGCACTTCCACCGGCGTCACTCCCGTCCTTGCCCGCGACGCCAAACGCGTTCCGCGCTATGATGTCATGCACCCGGAAGACATCTACGACCGGTCCGTCGTCGGTCGCGAAACACCCCTTGCCTTCGGCCCCGTCCCAATCCCCGAATGACTCGGTCATCAAACGGGCGACTAAACTTGCGTTGTTGAAGGCTCGGTCGACGACGGCTCGCTCTAACCCCACGGGTGCGACGCGCATGCGCTCGTCGCGGATGTCGCATGTCATGGCTTTTAATGCTGCGGTTTCGTTGGTGCCCCACGCAACGGCGAAGGCCTTTTCGACAACTACCACTTCCCCCTTTGTTATTGCCCTCGCAGCGAATAACCCCCGACCCTTACCGGGTGCACTATCACGCACCTCAGTCGGTCCTTTCCAGGTAGCGGCGTCAGCGGCCGGATTCGGCATACGAGTAAACGACGCCCGGATCTTGGCGAAGTCGTAGGTGCCGTTTTGGGACTCGTTCACCCGGGCGGTGGACCGGGCGATGTTGGTGGCTGCACCGCGGTCGGTGGGCATGAGGGTTTTTTGGTGTTGGAAGTAGCGCAGGGCTGTGGGGTAGTTGGTGAGGTGGTAGGCGGCTGTGGCGGCGCGGAAGTAGGATTTGGCGTCTAGTTCTGTGGTGCGGGAGTCGGTGTTCTTTGTGTTTTGTTCTGTGTCGGGGTTGGTATCGGAGTCCGGGTCCGGGAAAGGGTTGATCAACGCGGCTAGGGCGTCGGAGAGCGCGGCGTCGTAGTGCTGCAGCAAGAGGTTGACGTGGGACCGGTTGCGGTGGATGTCTCGGGCGAGATCAGGGGTCGGGAGGGTACTTGCGAGGGTGATACCCGCGGTGTAATGACCGAGAGCAGCGAGTAACTCATTTTTGCCGAGGGCATTGTTCCCCTTTGTTTTTTGCGCCACGGCCTTCTTCTCCGTCTCCTCCGAAGTTGCCGGTACCGCCGGGGGCTTATCCTTCGGCACAACAACAAGATCAGACGGGTGATCGATCCGTAACGTCGGTTCCCCCTCCTCGGTGAGCGTGAAATACGGCTCCTTCACCACAAACTCCTTCGCCGACTCCAACACATCCTGCCCATCCCTTAACGTATGCAGCACCACCTCGATCCGCTCCGTCTCCTCCGCCTCGTCCTGCACCATCGCCCACGACCGCACCACACCCGTCACCACGGGACTGGCCCGTTTCACAACCAGTTTAAACCCCCGATGGTGCGTCTCCGTGCGCAGATCCGCCAGGCCCATCGGTTGCAGCTCGTGCGCGGGGACGATACATGGAGGATAAGGCTGGCCGACGGCTAAGGCTGGGATGCTGCTGTTGTCGGGTGCTTGGGTCTGGCCCATAGACATGGCGCCCATGTCGGCCATCAGCGCGGCCCCGGTGGCTTGGCTGATGGCGTCTTTGGCGATTCGCGGTGTGCGTGCATTGCCGATGAGGGTGGCGCGTTTTGAAGCGCTGTTGAGGACGGTGGTTTTGATGCGCGCCGCTTCTTGCTCGGTTAGGTAGACCGCGTTGGACATGGCGGCGACGGATGGTGTGAGGGTGACCAGCGCAGAGTGAATTTGGTGGGGTGAATCTGAAAATTATTTACAGAGGAAGCAGGTGCGATCGCTCAAAATTAAAGTTTTCTGCCCCGCCCCCACTTCTCCACCCCTCATGCAAGCTCTCACTCACTCACAAGTCTGAGGATACAACCCTCATTCTCAGTTCCGTCATACTCATATGGAACTGGAGTTGGTTGAGCACCGGTTTTGTTTCTGCGTTGAGCAATTGCCCGTTCATTGGAAATTGGTCCACTGCCTGAAATCGGAATTCCGTGGACTAACAACACTATTCTGAGCATTGAGAATTAATGAGCACATGGTTCCTACTGTTTTACTTGTTTGTATCAGGCTAGATCCTAACGGCATTAGTATTCCCACTCATTATCGTCGATGACCGTCCCTCATCCAAAATGTATGAATCGGGAATTACAATTTTCTTTTGACAATAAGGGCGCTTTAGACCCCGTGTAAACACTCTTAATGGTCAAGATAATTATTAGGAACGACCAATTGAAACATGCATGGTATATGACTGTCTTTTTACTATGGATATCTCACATTAACCCCGAATCTTTCCCGACCTCAAAAAACTAATTTAATACAGGACAGAGCTCGTCGGTTTAACGGCACAGAGATAATTAACAACGTTGACAGCTTCCGAATCCGACCCCTTCCCATCAATTAACAGAGTACACAGTGTTACGGATACGGTTGCCAACATGTCCAACAGCTTGCCCGATATATTGATTATGGGCACAACGTCACGGCCCCTCACCCCCTACACTCATCAATCAAATTCACCTAATTTGGTATTGGACCTGGCTCGCATACACGTGTCGTGTACACTAATCCAGGGCGGCGATCACCGTTGGGCATTCTGGGGTCTCACTTTGAGCGACTGGATACACTTTTGTCTCAGATGCGTGTAAACGCAGGGGTAATGACACTAGTGATGCGCCGCGGAAATAATCTGGGGCGGGTTTTTTGTCGGTCTTCAACGCACCGTTAGGCTTACGCTAGTGACGACATGTGGTCGGTTCATATGAAGTGAAGTGTAATTAACTGCTTAGTGGGTTTATTAATGACCGTGGAACTCCCGTTAATTATGTGTTCCTGTCATCGGCCGTTGGGACAATACCAATCTGCATTAATTACTGGTTCCCAATCGAGTCCTGGGAATTGGGAATAATTAAGAGTTTTCCTAATTACACGCATTCGAACTTGTTCGACCTGGTTGTGTAGGGGTTCCCAAGCGGGTTTTGGCCGTTACGGGGAAATGTCGCTGCAGTCTTCAGGAACAATTCTTTGGGGTATTTTGATAAGATAAGCGATATTCTCTCAACTCCCCTTGATCTCGAGCCCACAGAGCTGACCTCTGAAGATCATAAATTGCGTATTGATTGTCTCATGGGCGAGCTCGACTGTAAATTTTGCATTTAAGCTTTTTTTAGCAAAGGATTCTTGCGATAATGCTGGGCCTTGGCAGAGTATCTCGGAAATTAATTGCCTTTTGGGAACTGAAGTTAACTGGTTCCAGAGACAGCTGTCTTCATATCTGGTCAGCAATGGGGACAAAATCTCCGTATTCTTCACACATTCCCAAGATCAGGAACCAGGACAGGGGTAACCCGTGAAACCGAGAAACCGAGGAATCTCATCCTTCCCAATTCCCGCCCAGAAAATACCACACCAAAGTTCCATCTTGGCTATCACAAGCTGAACACCAAAACTCTTGGCATCCTCCGGGCCGAAAAACCCAGCTCGATGCGGGGAAGATGTGTGCCAACCACGCGACCGGGAATGGACCATCCTGTTGGAGCGGTGATCGACGGCACACGGGAGGATGAATGACCCGCCAAATTGGTTGTCACTTGTGTGTGGTGCCATCCGCAGAGGATGTCGCTTTAGGAACAAGTTTGTTTTCGATTGGTTCTCGCCGTTCTCGCAAGGTGAGTCTGAAAGGGGGAGATAGGAAAAACTGAAACATATAAAGCAGACATGCGACTTGAATCTCAGATCTCTCTCCAGTGATCTCGGCTTGGTTTGGGTTGCGTGTCGCTGGTATCTCCCCCGCAACCAAAGCTCAACACCACCAGCACAATGCATCGCCAAATCCCCCTCTCTCTCGCCCTGCTGGCCACGACCCCCTCAACAACCGCCCACTCCCCCCTCCCCCCGCGCCAATCCGACCAACAACCCCCAACCCCCTTCAACTGGTCCTCCATCACCCCGACCCCCGACCTCCAATACCACTCTTGCTACGAAACCTTTCTCTGTGCTCGTCTCGCCGTGCCGTTGGATTGGTCCTTGCATAATAATGATACAGACACGAAAACAACAGCAGAAGAAAGGAAGGCGGCGATAGCTATCTTAACACTCCCCGCTACCGTCCCGGTCACGGACCCGTCCTACGCCGGTCCGTTGCTTGTTAATCCCGGTGGACCAGGCGCGCCAGGGACGGATTTTGTGTTGCAAGTTGGGGCGCAGTTGCAGGCGATCGCTGACACCTCCTCCTCGTCCAACTCTGCTGCTAAGACAGACGGGCATGGGAAAAGGGAAACAGAAGAACGACATTTCGACATAGTCGGTTTTGACCCCCGCGGCGTAGGCGTCACCACCCCCAGCGGATCCTGTTACACACACCAATACGACCGCGCAGTAGACGCCATCAGCGTGCGTGGTCTACCAGGCGTAGGCGGGGAAAATGGGGAAATAGGCGTGCAGATGCGATTTGAGATGGGACGCGGGCTGGGCGAGCTCTGCCACGCTATTGACAGCGCTGAAGCCAACGACCCCGAAAACGAAGGCGGGAAGGCGTTTAGGTATTTGTCGACTGCGGCTGTGGCGAGGGATATGTTGGAGATTGTGGAAAGGAGTTGGGAGGTGGTGAAGGCTGCTGGGGGGGATGGGAAGGGGTGGGTGAGTGAGGGTCAGGGTGGGGAGGAGGAGGCGAGGTTGCAGTATTTGGGGCTGTCGTATGGGTCGTTGTTGGGGAATGTGTTTGCGAGTTTGTGGCCGGGGAGGGTGGGCAGGATGGTGGTGGATGGGATTATGGATGCGGAGGATTATTTGTCTGCTGTGAGTTCCTTCTCTTTCTGGTTCCTCTGTTTTCTGTCCAAAAAAGAAAAAAAAAATAGGATGGCAAAGGGGTAATGCTGACTCTAACAGGCCTGGTCCAAATCCACCGCCGACGCCGAAACCTCCGTCACCCACTTCTACACCACCTGCTTCACCGCCGGCCCCCTCTGCCCCCTCTACCAGTCCACCGACACCTCCCCCTCCACCATCCAATCCCGCATCAACACCCTCCTCACAACCCTCCAATCCCACCCCACCGCCGCCCTCCACAACAACCGCGTCTACCCCATAACCTCCTACCACCTCTCCGAAAAGATCCGCACCAGCCTCTACGCGCCCTTAGCCACTTACCCCATCCTCGCCCAGGCGCTAGCCGACGCGCTCCAGGGAAACTTCACCGCCATCCTCTCCGACCCCAACGTGATGGGTTTCGATCTCGACGCCGAAGTCTGCGCTGAGATACCTGATGCCGACCCCCCCGTGGCATATACCTTCTACAACGAAGTAGCCATCGGCATCATCTGCGGCGACTCTCAACCCTCCGCCGGCGTGCGTGACCTACCCTGGGCGCAGAACGTGACCCAACGTCTCCTGCAACAAGCACCCACCGTAGGCGAAGGCTGGGCGAAACTCCCTCTGTCCTGTGCTGAGTGGCCGTTCACGCCGGCTTATACCTTCACTGGCCCGTTCGGCAGCGGCGGGGACGACGATGACGGCAAACCAGCAACTGGGGCCCCGCTGTTGATTCTGACTAGTCAGACGGATCCGGCGACGCCGGTGGGGAATGCGTATGATTTGGCGAAGGTGCATGAGGGGGCGGCGGTGGTGGAGGTTAGTGGGGTGGGTCATACGGTGTTGTTGTCGACGGCGAGTGAGTGTGCGAATAAGTTGATTAGGGGGTACTTGGCGACGGGGGAGGTGCCGGAGAGTGGGACGGTGTGTGAGGCGGATTGTGTGCCGGGGTTTGAGGGGGTGCCTTGTGATGGGGTGTTGGGAGGGTGAGTCTCGATGAGGATGAGGGGTGGATTTGGTGGTACTAATCGTGCTGGGCTTTCGAGTATTTCGAGGATACTGTGTTACGTGTTTCGGTCGGTCTGAGATGGCCGATGCCATAGGTTAATGTTTACCAATGTGGAATTTACTTAGACCAATACAATAATTTTGACGTGAATTTCCTTATTACCTCCTTCTTCCTGGTTGTGTCCAGCATCGATGAGTTGTGTCAAGTTGTCAACTACCGCAGTGGGGCCCTGTTGGGGGGAGGAATCATTCCTTGAAAAGTTTTGATGATTATATCAACAATCATTCCCGTGGCAGTAAGCATTCCGGAATCCAGGAATCATTCCTGGACCCGCTAACCCACTAAAACTACCCACTAAACTACCTTCTAAACTACTAATTAAACTACCCCCTGAACTGCTTATTGAACTACCCCTTACACTGCCTATCCTAGGAGCTCTATCAATACTTTGTTTTCTTAAATATCATATAGAAAGAAAGAATGGTCATGGTGGGGAGTTGAACATAGGGTCACGAAAAAGGAGGAGAACATTATACAATTGAGCTACGGAAAGAGTATCTAATCGAGGAAGGAGGCTGTTTTCTATCGTTATCAATGTGTGGTTTGAGAACTTCGAAAGGAAGTTGCGAGGCGGGAGCTTGGCTTGGCCTTGCGCGCGGGCATCGCTTGGTCGTCGAAAGGGACGGGATGCTCCGCCAGTGTTTCGTAGGATCGCTGACGGGAAGATCGGAGCTCCAGGAGCTGTCGGAGCTGGTAGCAAGAATGCAGACACTGCGTCCTTGGACGGTGGCTGGCGAAAGACCAGTAACTAAAGGAAATAATGATGAGGCGGTTTTGGGGGGGGGGGGGGGCATTTGACACAGGTTTACCTGCATCAGCGGCCAAGACCAATTGGGTCTGCTCATTGCCACTGATTGGGTCCGTAATTTCCCTAAGCGGGTTACGCTTCCTAAGGACGAAATGATTGATGACACCTCTAGTAAATAAGGTATCGGGGTATCCATCATTTCCGAGAATCAGGTCTAAGAGAAGGAGGAGATAATAGAAAGAAGCCCGATAGATAAATATAACAACCTAAGAATTAGGAAGTTATCATTTTCTTTTTTATTTCTTCTCTCCCTGTCCCCCCTTTATTACAGGTATCTCCTCTGTTGTCTTTTCCCACTCATCTCTCTAACTTTTCTCTCTTCTAATTTCTTTCTCTTTCGTTTCCCCCTCTCCTTTCTCCCTTTCTCAATTGAAGCCGATGCTGTCGACGCCCTCTTTAGTTGCATGAGATCAAGATCGTATCTACGAAGCGTCTTGCCGATGCTCGCGGCTAGCGGGCCTTGGAAGTTGAGGCGTGTCAGCGCCGTCAAGTAAAAGGCTGAATTGCTTGACCTCAAGTTTAAGAGTAAATGCAGCGGTTTGGAACTGCCGCATCAGTTATAAGTTGTGTGTGCTGGGGCTTTTCCTGGATGTGTTTCTCAGAAAGCACTGCATGATTCCGTCGAATCACGGACCAGCGTCAAATGCCACGGCGAAGAAACTTCGGGTACATAGCACGTGGGTTAGGCGTTCTCACACAGCCCCAGCACAGCCCAGGCCCCTGGTCAACAACATCAACTTTCTCCTGCGCCTCTCATCCCCAGTTTCTCTCCACACCGACGCACACTTCCTCGTCTCACTAGCTGTCGACGACGAAGGAATGGATCCAATTTCGTTGACCGCGAGCATCATCGCCGTGACTCAGGGCGCCGACCGTATTGCTCAACTTTGCCGTTACTACATCGGAGCCGTTGACGACTACCCGAGGGATCTCAGGACAATCCTCATCGAGACGTCAACCCTGAAGGCACTTTTTGAGAATCTCGGGTTCTTGATCGAGTCCGATGGCGACTCGTCCCCCATGCTCAAGAGTCTCGATGGCGGAGAGGGCCCGATCGCAGGATGCCAGAGAACAATCTCTGAGTTAGAGTTTCTGTTTCCAACATCCTCGGCGAACACGACACAGAAGACTAAGCGGAAGCGCGTCAAGACGACGCTGGCCCAGCTGGCTTGGCCGTTTCGACAAGAAAAGGCCCGCACACTCCTCGGACAACTCGTGCAGCACAAAACAACAATCAACACCGCCATCTCCTCCGACGCATTGTAAGCCTCGTTGGCTTGTTCCTTTGCAGACGGTTATGGGCTGAGGCTAACGACTGTTCCAGACGCGATATCAAAGAGATAAGGCGTGACCTCAGGGCTGTGTGCCGCATGTTGAGTGGTAATTGCTTCCCAAGTTGGAATCTCGCCGATATTCTCGTTGACCTGTATTCTACTCACTAGCCTCGGAAACGTCGGACGTCTGCACCTGGCTTGAGCACACCAACCCCTCAAATATCCACAACAAGGCGGTCGCCGACTACGAACAAGGGACAGGGGATTGGATTACCCGGACCCCGGAGTGGAGTAACTGGATGAAGTCGACAGACAGGTGTCTCTGGGTTCATGGCATCCCGGGGGCAGGAAAGACGGTTCTGGCTTCTTTTGCGATTCGACAAGTCATCCGCGACCTGAAGGAGTCCGGCGACGCCAACTCGACCTGTGCTTACTATTATTGCCACCATGCGCACAACCAGGATGAAGCGGTACCAGCTCTGCGGTGGATCGTCAGTCAGCTCTGCCGCGTTGCCCGAAGAGTTCCACAGCCCTTGTACGAAGCATACCACCTGCGCCGACTGCCGAACATCGAGGAGCTTCTTCAGCATCTGGAGTCAATTCTTGGCCATTTTGCCAGAGTGTCCATCGTCATAGACGCTCTAGATGAGAGTCAATCGCGGGAGACGCTGCTACGCCTCATCCGTGACATCCTCGGCGACCCGCGATTTGTCAAGATTCGACTTCTCGCCACCAGCCGTCAATACTCCGATATCGAACGTGAAATGCTGAGCATCGCAACGCCGCTATCCATGTCGAATTCATTCGTCGAGGAGGACATAAGAAGAGTCATTGCCGCCGGCCTCAAGTCTAACCCCATCTTTCAGCAATGGCCCGCGGCCTTCCGTACTGAAGTCGAGGCCGCGCTTTCGTCAGGAGCCAAGGGGATGTTCCGCTGGGCTGTCTGTCAACTGGACATTCTCCGTCGTCTGAAGCATCAGAACAGAGTTCGAGAGGCAATCAAGAATCTGCCGGAGACCCTGGACGAGACGTACGAGAGGATATTCTCATGCATCGCCCCAGAGGATGTCGATCTTGTCCGACACTGCCTATGGTGGACCATGTTCCACAATGCAGTATGGGATTTGGAGGTGCTACTCCCGACTCAGGTATTGATCGACACATACTACCTGATGACTGGAAAAGAGCTGGCAGACGATGAACCGCTCGTTCCCAACCTTGAGATTTTGAAAGATAGCTGCGGCTGCTTGCTCTCCTTTCAAGCTACGGATGAGAACGGTGACTTCAAAGTCAGTCTCGCCCACTACACGGTGCGAGAATATCTCGAGTCTAGCCGCTCAAGTACCGGGCAGTCTCGCTTGTTCACCAGAAGCGGCAAGGCGCCACACATCGAAGCAGCTACGGCATTGTTCAACCAATTGCTCGAGGTTGAAGCCGAGGTGGACGTTGGAGCAATGGAGACGTGTTTGGAGAATTATGACCACAGTGGCGTGATAACCGCCAACACGTCGACTTATCGACTCTTCACCGGTCTTAGGATCGCATGGCGGGGGGAGATCGAAGTTCGACCGTCTCTCATATTCGACCTTCTGGACCCGCACAAACCGCATTTCCGTCACCTCATCAGTGTAGTGGGAAAGCTTTGGATAGGAGGGATCATACCACGAAGTCATCTTCTTCCGGATTTCTCATCAATGGTGTTGACGCCATCTGACAATCCTCCAGAGGCGGCCCTAATGGCTCATTTGTTATGGTTAAATCGCCTTGATTTGGCTCGTGAACTCCTGCGAGGACCCGAATCAGCGCGGATTTGGGAAGCACAACTGTTAGGAAGGGTTGAGATCACCGTCTGGGATGAAACAGACACGTATATCGGAGGGTTCAGGTATTTCTCCGGGAACATCGTGGAGCTCTTTGCTACCGTTGGTAGAAACACTGCTAGCTTCCTTAGAGACGAGGCACTGGAAGCCCTGAGGCTTCTCCTTGACCATGGCCTGGACCGTTTCGACCCCACCAGCATTCTGGTCCACTTTATCGGAACACATGGACACTGGGAAGACGAAGCCTGCTCTCGGGACTGTCCGTTGCAGAGACTGCTTAGCATGGGGGCCGATCCCAATGCTCCAGGTTATCCGTGTACGCCCCTCCAGATCGCCGTTTTGGGTCGTGACCTAGATGGTATTCAGGCGCTGCTCCAGGCAGGCGCCGACCTTAATGCCACTGGGAGCACCGAAGTAAAGGATTGGGAGGAGGATGGCGTGCTTGGCCTTTTCTGTGGCTTGCGAGGTGTCAAACCTATTGACATTTTAAGAGCTCGGAAATTTTTGTCAATGGAGAATTTTGACAGGAAAGTTGAGGATGACGAGGTATTCAGTCTCCTATCAATAAGGGGCTGACATAGGTAGTGGGCTGCGATCATGAAATTTCACTTCTGTATTTTGTATGGCTGACTGATAAACCTTGCATCATCAAGATCATTTGTGCCTAACCAGCCATGCCTCGTGCCTAACCAGCCATGCCTCGTGCCCAACCTGCCAGACCTCTGCAACCAGCCATGCCTCCCATCTATCGCAAGCACTCTACTATTGCTGAGCGGGCTTAAGCACTTACTTTGCATGCCATGGGAGCCAAACCAGCTGAAATTGAGGAGCTAACGGGTATCAAAAGGATACCTTTAAAGCCCTATTACGCAAAGCAAAGGGACGAGGTTACTACCCAGGCGGCCCTGTCAAGGATGAGCATGTCGAAGATGCACCACGGTCTGGAGGACCGAAGCCGAGCAGAGTTTATCTTGCCTTTGGAGGCTCCTGTTTTTCATCTTCATTTCTCTTTCTTTTCGTAGCTTAGAATTAACTTCATTTCACTGCACTAGTGCCTCCCCCCCTATGAATTGCGCCATGACAGGAGTTCTATAACTGGTTAGAATATCTGGGTCTTGTAAATTATATAGGGGTATAGAGAGCGAAGGGGGGGGGGGGGGGGTAGGGGGGTAGAGGAAAGGGGGGCTTAATAGGTAGGCATAGATTCTGATCCTATAGGTGAAAGGAGGTACTTTAGAAAGATACAGTAAAGGGATATATGGATAGATAAGGTAAGATATTACTAATACGGAGAAACCAAGCAGGTATTAGAGTAGTTCTAAAGGGGAGAGGAAGCTCGAGGCCGAGGCTAGAATCGAGCTAAATTTATAATAGACAGAATGTACTATAAAGGCCGAGAATGTCTTTATTCGCAAACGTAACGGTACGCAGCTAAGGGATACCAAAGATGGTAAGGACGAGGCTGAGGTATCTAGCCTGGCGAAATGGGGATTGGAGCACGGGCAACATTGCATTAGCGGGCAGCAGATGAAAGGGCAAGGGAAGAGCGAAGCAAATGAGGAAGTCCGGGGGCCGAGCAAAGGCGATAATAAGAGGGAGAGAAACTGGAGGGTACAAGAAAGGGACGTTAGAGAGGAGGGCCGCTATTTATACGGCGGGCGTGGCTGAGCTGTGCGAGGACGCGAATCTCACAGAGCGCCATACCTGATTAGGAAGGCCACTGTTTCCGGATGGAGCGACAGCATGTTCTCGATTCCACATTAAGTGTAGAACTTGCTGTTCTGGCCGCCGAATTTGGCAGGTCGGGGCCGCCATTTTCGGCTGCCTCAACAGTGCGGGTTGCTTGTCAAAGCAAGCTCCAGTCAACTTCATCTGCGGATCTATGACCCCACCTTGCCCCACCCTCCAATGAGCGTTTCAGTCTTGGGCGATTGGTTAAGCCCTCCTGCGATCCGGGAATTCGTTCTCTTCAACCTTACATCCATTTTCGGCTCCCCTAACATAGCAGCATAGCGGCGTAACCAGATATAATATGGCTTACCTTACGCTGCCCATCATTCCTGGCTTGTCGACTGTCGTCGATGGCCCTCGACACTCAATACCAAGTGCCGTATGTAAAAGTACCTACCGCTCGAACTGTTCAAGTACGTTGAATATAGCCTTAACGCCGATACTTCGTTCCCGAGCTTATTGCCCTAAGTGCGTTGTGATGGCTACCGACCTAACGCCGACTATCGGTACCGAGGCTAGCGGTATCTAGCTCAGAAGCCTTAGTAGCCTTAGTGCGGCTGGCAAAGGACGAGCTGGCGCGCTTCGTGGCCTGGCGTAAGGTCGTTGCCTTCTATGGCCAGGACCTTGCCTAGCTGTCTATCTAGGAGGCGCTCGATTTTGGCGGGCATTTCGGCTAGTATGTTCCAACTCTCCCTTGGTGATGTTCTTTCGGCATGCTAATAGCGTAATAGCTAGCCTGTCTACCTGACCTCTGGTGTGCCACCTGGCTATCCCGGTCTACCGTGGTGTGCGCGACAATAGTGTAGATAAAATTCTTCACGAACTGGATGTGACGAATCGTTCTCAACCACACTCTGAAAGGATTCACTAAAGGTATGTCGCAAGGGTTGTGATTTGGTGAAGCCAAAATGTTCACAACAAGATAATGATCTGGTTTCAATGTTCACAATGCTGAGCAAGTTGCAATGAACAAGTTGTATTGTTTACTGGAGAACTCTCAGAGCTCTCCAGCGTGAGTGACTATATACTGCTAAGGTATTTGGGGATCATTCTTCCTCCAGTGATCCTGATGCTGGATCACTGGGATCACGGTGAACCCCGATCACTGGGCTCATGGTGATCCTTCTTGTTTCCCGGATCGCGACTCCCGTTGTGATCCTTTTCTGATTGGTTCTGTAATGATTGGCCCACAGCGTATCCTGCGCTGTGACTTGTGGGTCCTGCTGGCCGCTTATGCGACCAGTCCGTGACACGGGGCCACCTCTTTACATCGATAAAAGCTATTCCTATGTCATGCCTCGCTGCGACTAGAGACGTTTAGGAGAAGACTGGAGATATGAGCAAGTGAGAAACAAGGGCAGGAATCCCACAACAACCGCACCGGCCCTGGCTGAGGGTTCTATATTCTTGAGACCGATACTACTATACTAAAAGCGATTCCGAGTTGAAGAAAGATCTCGAAAGTCCTAGACCTTAGCTCAGGAAGTTATAAACTAGACGGTCTTCCTATACCCTTCTCGTGGCACACTATAGAAAGAAAAGTAAGAGAGGAAGAGCGGAGATTCAGAAGAATATACCAGACCATCCAAACGCGAAAGAGCATGACTGCGGCTTGCTACGAAATTGGATTGCTGTCTGAGAACGCGAAGATCAAGACGCGGCCCGAAGAACAGCCAATTGACACAACCGTTCCAGATATAGCTGAAGATGATGGCCGGTACTCGGGCGGCAGCCACAGCAGGTTTTCTCCTTGATACGTAATCCAAGTGCCTTTGTTGCTCAAGCCATATCCAACAGCAATTGGTGATGAGTGATCAATCGAAGCAGGGATGAAGACCGGAGAGATTGCGACGGTTCGCAAGTTGAATACACCAAGGTCGGAATATAAAAGGTCAGAGTTGGATTCATGGAATTGGAAGTCACGAAGCTTGCGATCAATCTCGAGCGTTAACACGCACTGGCCAGTCGCCGGATCCCAGATCTTGACTGTGTCGTCGTGTGACGCCGAAGCCAGCCGGGTCGCATCGTGCGACCAGGCCACAGAGTAGACACAATCGGTATGGCCCTTGAGCGTCAACATGCACTGGCCAATCGCTAGATCCCAGATCTTGACTGTATTGTCGTAAGACGTCGAAGCTAGCCGGAGCCGGGTCGCATCGTGCAACCAGGCTACAGAAGTGACCTCGTCACTATGGCCCTTGAGCGTTAACACACACTGGCCGGTCACCGAATCCCAGATCTTGACTGTTTGGTCGAGAGACGCCGAAGCCAGGTGAGTCATATTGTGCGACCAGGCTACTGAATTGACCTCGCTGCTATGGCCCTTGAACGTCGATAGGCACTGGCCAGTCGCCGGATCCCAGATCTTGACTGTGTCGTCGTGTGACGCCGAAGCCAGCTGGGTCGCATTGTACGACCAGGCTATAGAGCTGATACAATCGGTATGGCCCTCGAGTGTCGACACGCACTGGCTAGTCACCGGATCCCAGATCTTAACTATCCCGTTGTCTAACGCCAACGCTAGCTGGGTTGTATCGTACGACCAGGCCACTAAGTGGACATAGCCATTATGGCCCTCAAGTGTCGATATATACTGGCCGGTCGCCGGATCCCAGATCTTGACTGTCTTGTCTTCTGATGCCGACGCTAGCCAGGTTGCATCGTGAGACCAGGCGACTGAGTGGACCAACTTGCTATGGCCCTCGAGCGTCGACATGTACTGGCCGGCCGTCGGATCCCAGATCTTGACTGTCTTGTCTTCTGACGCTGAAGCCAGCCGGGTCGCATCCTGCGACCAGGCTATAGAGAAGATATAGCTGCTATGGCCCTCGAGTGTCGATATACACTGGCCGGTTGCCGGATCCCAGATCTTGACTGTCTTGTCGAATGATGCCGAAGCCAGCTGGGTCGCATTGTACGACCAAGCTACAGATTGGACAGAGCCGCTATGGCCCTCGAGCGTCGACAGGCACTTGCCAGTCTCCGGATACCAGATCTTGACTGTGTCGTCGTGTGCCGCCAAAGCCAGCCGGGTCGCATCGTTCGACCAGGATATGGAGCCGACATAGCTGCTATGGCCCTCGAGGGTCGATATACACTGGCCGGTTGCCGGATCCCAGATCTTGATTGTCTTGTCGTAGGACGCCGAAGCCAGCCGAAGCCGGGTTGCATCGTGCGACCAGGCCACGGACAGGACTAAGTCGCGATGGCCCTCGAGCGTCCATACACACTGGCCGGTCTCCGGATCCCAGATCTTGACTGTTTTGTCCCATGACGCCGACGCCAGCTGGGTCACATCGTACGACCAGGCCACGGACAGGACAAAGCCGCAATGGCCCTCGAGGGTCGATATACACTGGCCGGTTGCCGGATCCCAGATCTTGACTGTCTTGTCGTGGGACGCCGAAGCCAGCCGAAGCCGGGTTGCATCGTGCGACCAGGCCACTGAGCGGACATAGCCGCTATGGCCCTCGAGTGTCGATACACACTGGCCGGTCGCCGGATCCCAGATCTTGACTGTCTTGTCTTCTGACGCCGACGCTAGCCAGGTCGCATTGTGCGACCAGGCCACTGAGCTAACAGACTCGCTATGGCCCTCGAGCGTTTGTAGGCATGCGCTCCAATTGTCTGCCATGGTCGGTTTTTGGATGATCCATTTAGGCTCCTCATTTTTGAACTGACTCCTCGTCATGCTGCTGGCCGGGCTGAATACAAGTGCGGAAGCGTACACCTGAAGAGGGCTGTTCTCAATTGCCCACTTGTGGTAGACGATAAACCGACATGCATCTCGGACTCGCTCGGCGAGAAGTGACGTCTCTTTTCCTGCCTAACGAAATGTTAAGATGGCTCCCAAATTGCACCGGCGGAAGCTAACCTCAAACAGTTTCTCAAGCTCTAACATCGAAGCCGTTCCTTCTGGTATGCCTCTCAGAAGGCTAAGAGCTTCAAGCCAATAGAGATACTTCTCGCGCAGAAAGGTATCGATTGATCCGCCATCCTGGAGGTCCTTGTTCGCGTTCTTCTTGGGATCACAATCACGTAGATGGTTAATCCAGTATATACACGAGTACCGTGCTGCGGCTAGTGGATCTGGATCGGGTGGTCTTACTTTGTTGATAGAAAATCCAGGAGCGCCAAGGTTGTAGATATCGCGTCGCAATGTTTCCCGCACAACCCCAAGCGATCGCGAGAAGATAAAACGGTGTATGTCTTCTATCCCGGAAGGGAAGAGCTCATTATGTGCCTGTTTGAGCAAAAAGTCCTTGGCCGACTGATGGACGAAAGATATAGTGCGTTCGCGAAGTGTTAGGAAAGAGCCGCAAAGCCCTACAATCTCTGCAAGAGCTTCGTAATTCCCAGAGACACTGTCAAGCGTATCGACAAGGGCCGGCAGTTCGTCCAATGTGATAGGTCGGTATACAACCGAGATAACAGCCAGTATTCTTTGAAGAAGCTTAGCACGTCTCGAGTTATAGATCTGGCCCATCATCCGTCTGTATAGTGCGTCGAGTCTAGGCGGAAATGTTGTTAACACTTCCTCAGCTTCCCAATCGGAGATGTTGGCGAGCTCTTGGCAGACTAAGGCCACCCAGAGAAAGGTGTTGTGTGCATTTGCAGATAAGTAGCGCTCGATAGTAGCCCGCGTCTCATTGCCGTATTTGTTTCGCGTTGCTAACCAATCCACCTTGAACTGAACGTATGTGGTGACAGCTGCGGAGACGGACTCTTCATTCAGCTCAAGACGTAGGCCGACTTTCTGCGTCGCGGTGTCAAGATCCTTCTCGATGCTCGGCCAGTTGCGACTGGATACCAACCACTTGATACTCGGGTATTTTGACGACTTCTGTGCGACAAGGTCAAGAAGCAGGCCCTGGTTTCCAGTACACTCGTCAAGCGCATCAATAATTAGGTATGCTCTCCCTAATCGCGGGTCTTCAAGAATGTTGCTTAAGATCTTTGACAATGCCACCCATGAATTCGGGCCTTCGAAGCGCTCTTTTCCAAACCCATCGTAGCTTTTCCGTAGGTGCGAAATGAGTGCTGGCTGCTGGGTCACAAGCATGTAAATCAACCCACGCAGGACCGCTGTAGCGGTGTTGATGCGAGCGTGCGTGGCCTGACAGAAGAAGAACGAGATGTTGGCCGTGAGTGCAGTGGCCTTCAGCTCATCAATGATTCCGCAGAGCAACATCGTTTTGCCTTTGCCAGGATCACCTTTAATCCAGAGCAAATGGGCGTGTCTGTCGTTCCGCCATCGAAGGAAATCGACATGGCTGAGGACCCAGTGGTACGACTCTCTGAGAAGGCCACCCTTATCCAGCTCGATGCGGACCTTGTCCTCACGGGGATCGGTCACTTGCAAATCTTCCAAGCACTTGTTATCTCTCTCGCTGAACGATAGAGGATCGGGGCCACGGTCTGACGCATATCGGGATCAGCATAATTGAAGAAGATTGAAAGGACGGTTTGCAGGCTGGAATGCCAAGACTAACTTTCCCGAGCTAACTCTAGGCCGCGCTTGACTTCCGCAGCGATACTCTTTAAAACTAGCTGGCACACAGGACTGTCGTTGGAGTCAAACTTGCAAATAGAGCTGTGGTCAGCGTCCACGGCCACTTGCTTCTCAATCGACCCTGGGAGATTCAGCGTTCCTGAATCCTTATCGACAATCTGACAAAATCAGCAAGCCTCTCACTCTTAGAGTCTCGAACAAACGTACAACGTCCGTTTTGTGGTACCGCCTCCCCTCGTAGAAGTTAACGACAAGAGTTCTCTCAAAAATGTGGCGGGCTTGTTCAAATCGTTTTGTCGCCTCATTTGAGTTCCGCTCGAGTGCGTTCGTAAGGTCATTGGGACCCGTTCTCAGGGCCTTAGTGAATAACTTGGCTGCGACGTGGCCGACACTGGCGTAGTTCCCGCCTCGATGCGGTGTGGCAAAGAAGACGAGGAGGCATGTTGCTTCGAATATTGACTTGTATGATTCATCCAACTTAGCTTCGACGAGTGCCTATACGACCGTGATTAGGGGAAGCCCGTCAGTTAGCTGAACACTCTACTGACTTGTTTGACAACCAGACCGCCAAGGCTATGGCAGATGAATACTATTGGCCTCTGCGGCACATCCTACAGTTTATTAGGACAAGAAATATGCCGAAAGAAAGCAAACAGGACAGCTTACGCCTCGTTCAAGGCTAAGCCATTGTAATAGGTTCCTTGCGTGGTCGTCGAGTCGAATGGCCGATGCGCCAAAAGCCGGGCTAGAGTTATACGCAAAGAGCATCACCCGAGCCGGCTTCGGAAGATAGTCCGGGACAAAGTCCTTGAGCCAGAGCTTGTCGCCTTTCGTCCACGTTTTCTGCGCGTGATTGGGAACACCCTCGAAGTTTAGACCATGGATCGCAACAACGCTAGTAGAATGGTCTGTCAGCGGGGTAGAAGGTCGGGGACGAAAAGACGTACTCGACCTCCGCGACATTGGGGGGCTCGTCATCGCGAATGCTGTCAAAGATCACATAAAGCCCAGGCTCGAGCGTTCGGAGTGTATTGTTCGCTCGGTCCTGGTGCGAACCGGATCTGGCCGAGTGCTCTCCAGTGCTCACCGCTCGATCATCTGCCGCTGCCCGCAGCAGTTCCGGATTCCCACCTCCTGTATTGTCCAGAGAGGTATAGAATACGACGTCCGGAGGTGCGGGCGGTGCTGCCAGAGGAAGTGGGGTTGCAGCATCTGCTGTTGGTCGTAGGGCGGGAGGAGCTGCCGTGGTCGATGGGGTAGCAGGCTCGGGACTGAGGACAGCGTTTGCTAAGTCTTGTCAGCAAGAAGAAGGAAAGCTCGTCGCTGCTCAGTACCTTGTAATGAATCCGCTGAAGAGGCAACCGCACCGTGCTGGGCAGAGCCATCATGAGTCTTGGACTTCGCCGAATTCCGGCCGCCAACTCGGAGCCATTTCCACCGCTGCTTGGCAGATGAATCGCCCGCCATAACCTCCGCGAGAATTTGTTAGGGCGGGCGGACGTTGTTCACTGCTGCCCGAATGACTGTGTGGTGGGGTTTGCGTTGCATTTCGGTGCGTTCGTTGCGGAGTTGAACGCGAAATGCGCGTGGCTGACCCTCCCGCCAATAGAAAATCATTGAGCAATCCAAGTTGGAGCCAAGGCGGCAGCCCACATCAGACCGCTTCCGCTGGTCCACAACAGCTTTGACTTGCCCATCGGGGGATGGGAGATCGTAAAGCAGTCATAGAGCAGATACGGGAAGATTTGGCTGCTGTCGTGGGGAATTTTGACCCACGTGCAAGGACCACGAGGTGGCTAGGCTCACTTCCAGCCATCGTTCTACGGTTACGTGGCAGCTCCACGAGCTCGGCCATTCTGGCTTGTGACCAAGTCCTGAATGCAAACATAATTACCTACTGGCAACTGTAATTCTATCATGGCACCGAATCTTGCGCCCTTACAACTGATCAGATTGAGACATCTGCTATTGCAGTTAGTCATCAGCTATAACATCCAGTGACTGCTAGAAAGAAGAATGCATGAATTTAGACAATATATCAATTTAAAGAGATAGGCAAAGAAGAGTTGGCGCGCAAGCCAGGTACCGCATCAGCAAGGTACAAGCGGGGTTCCATGGCGAGGACTCACAGCGCTAAAAAATGGCCTGTGGACCATGCGTTGAGAATTCAGCACCAATGTCTGGAGCGGCAGGCGATTTCGCAAATTACAAAAAGAACGGAGCCTGGGAGAATCCCCCAGCGACTCTTGGTTCTTGACCCCTCTTTGTTCGTGTCCGTTCAAGGATGTGCACACAAATATACCGGATTGGGACCCCGGCAACGGTGAAACAACTCGGTCCGTTCTGACGCCAAGATCGGGTCGGTTACATTTTAATTATGGCTTCACATCCGGAGGACTCTAGGAGGGACTCCAGGAGACTGGAAATTGGACAGGAATGCCGAATATGCCGTCAACCCGGTATTTGGACGACTATGCTCCAGGCTCGATTGTTTCTTGGCACTATCGGAATAGACTCAAGGTAAGGAGAGTGGACGCTGACTGGGGGATTCTCAGGGTCGAAGTCCACCAATCGAAGGATGTTGCTTGAAGCTCGTGAAATGTATATAAAGACGGAACCCTTCCGGTAAACGTCTTCTCCACCACAGACCAAGCAGTTCTACTTCCTTCAGGATTCACACCAAGAAAATGAAGTCCATCCTCCCCCTCCTAGCGGCCTCCGCCAACGCACACTACATCTTCAACATCCTCATCGTCAACGACCAACAAATCGGCGGCGAATACGACTACGTGCGCCGCAACTCCAACTCCTACAACCCCTCCTTCCCCTCCGACATCATCGACTCCCCCGACCTGCGCTGCAACCACGGCGCGCACGCCAACGACGGCACCCAAACCTACGAAGTCGCCGCGGGTGACAAAATCGCCCTCAAAATCTTCTTCAACGAGTTCGTCGAACACCCCGGCCCGGGTCTCGTCTACCTCTCCAAAGCCCCCGACGGTACATCCGTCAGTGCCTATGAGGGAGACGGGGATTGGTTCAAGGTTTATGAAACCGGTCTCTGCGGGAGCAACCCGAGTGTGGACGACAACTGGTGCACCTGGCAGAAGGATAGGATCGAGTTTACCATTCCGGCGTCGACGCCGCCGGGGGAGTATTTGGCAAGGGTGGAGCATATCGGGTTGCATGAGGGACATGTTGGGAAGGCGCAGTTTTATATTGAGTGTGCGCAGTTGAAGATTACGGGGGCAGGTGGGGGGACGCCGGGGCCGTTGGTCAAGATTCCGGGTATTTATTCGGCGCAGGATCCGGGGATTGCGTATAATAAGTGGACGTCGAACCCGGCGCCGTATGTCATGCCGGGGCCGGCTGTGTGGGATGGGAACTAGTTTCTTGCATGCGCCCCAGGATCTCTTTGCCCCAGGATCTCTTTTTTGGGGGTAGATTTGGTTTCTCTGGTCAGTAGCATCGGCGGCTTTACGGCTGTCCATGAGCTGTGTACAGTACAATCTGAAAATTGACAAATATTCGCCTCCGAGCTTCTTTGTGAGATGCGCGCCGCCGAATCCGGAGACTACAATGAGCCTCCCGCTGTCCACGTTCGTGGGGGTTGCCAGTTTTGGATGAAAGAGAACAATTTGACAGACAAGAATGGTGTAAAATCGGCCCCATAATAATGGCGTGCTCAGGCACAGACCACATCCCGGCACGTGCCCCATTTCAGCGTTTTCTCGCTACAGAATATTCGTAATCGATAAGATTTCATACTGATTAGTTATGAGATTTCTGAATTTATAAACCCGCTCACTAGCGGTTTACGCCCAACCACATCCACCGTTGTGACAGCAAGACCACATTCACAATGGCCAGCCGACTCCTTCTGCGTCCAACCGCCGCCTCCAGCCAGGTACTCGGGCTCAAACAGGCCCGGGGATTCGCCTCAGTCTCCCCCGTCTCCCCAGCACGCAACCACAAAGTGGTCGTCGTCGGCGGCGGGTCAGCCGGCCTCGCCATCTCCCACCAGCTCCTCCGCACCAACAAATTCACCCAAGACGACATCGCCATCGTCGACCCCGCCGAGTTCCACCACTACCAACCCGGCTGGACCCTCGTTGGCGGCGGTCTCAAAGACAAAACCTCTCTCCGTCGCCCTTTGGCCTCCCTCCTCGATCCCAAACTCAAACTGTACGCTGAGCCGCTGGCTACGTTCACTCCGGAGGATAATTCCGTCACCCTTGGAAGCGGCGCAAAGTTAACCTACGACCAGTTGGTGGTCGCACCCGGGATCAAGGTTGATTTGGCTAGTGTGAAAGGCCTCCCCGAAGCCGCCTCCAACCCCTCCGCCAACGTCTCCACCATCTACAACTTCGACACCGTCTCCAAAACCTTCCCCACCATCCAGCGCCTCACCAGCGGTCAAGCCATCTTCACCCAGCCCGCAGGCGTCATCAAATGTGCCGGCGCGCCGCAAAAGATCATGTGGCTCGCCCTCGACCACTGGAAGCGCGCGGGGTTGTACCAGCCTAACGCCTCCGAATCACCGATTAAGATTGCGTTTGCGACGGGGTTGCCCGTGATGTTTGGCGTGCCGAAGTACAGTGCCGCGTTGGAAGCGTTGAGGGTGGAGCGCGGGGTGGAGGGGTTGTTTACGCATGATTTGGTTGAGATTGACGGGAACACAGCAATCTTCGCGCGTCCGGACGGGCAGGAGAAGGTGCGGAGGAAGTTTGATTTCTTGCATGTTACGCCGAAGATGGGGGCGCACAGGTTTGTGGCGGGGAGTCCGTTGGCGAATGCCGCGGGGTATGTGGATGTGGATGATGCTACGTTGAGGCATAAGAAGTTTGGGAACGTTTGGTCGGCCGGGGACGCGAGTAGTTTGCCGACTAGTAAGACGGCTGCTGCTATTACTGCGCAGGCGCCGGTGCTGGTTAAAAACTTGGTGCAGGCGCTGGAAAGTAAGGGGGCGGAGGCGGAGCCGGGGTATGATGGGTACACGTCGTGTCCGTTGCTGACGGAGTATGGGAAGGTGATGCTGGCGGAGTTTAAGTATGGGGGCGTGCCGAAGGAGACGTTTGGGGGGAAAGTTGGTGCGTTGGACCAGGCGACGCCGAGGAGGGCGTTTTGGTGGTTGAAGAAGGACTTTTTCCCGTGGGTGTATTATTCGGCCATGGTTAAGGGGACGTGGGGGGGGCCTAAGGGGTGGTTGTAGATGTAACCTGAAATATATTGTTGACATGTATCATTGGGAATGTCCGAGGTTTTGCGAATTAACTCGATGGACTATTGGTGAAGGACGTGGTCCGACTGTGGGAATGACCTGGCACGGATCGTCAGTCTATTGAGGACTGAGAGATTGAAGAAGCGATGAAGCAACGGTTCACTTCGTTTACGAGGGTCATCTGCCCAAGTGGTCAGAGGATCGATTTGATGCCACGGTCACCTGTAGGATTACCACGTGGATATAATTCGTGGCAATGTAGGTAAAAACGTATGATATCTCGACTGTACCTTCTTCTTTTGGCCGATGGTGCCCCCCTTTTCTAAACCGTAGCTGTACGTACTACCAACCTTTTCACTATCTCACAACCATCAATCTCAGAGCCATAAATCTTCACTGCACACTTACTGGGTAGGCCCGCGGCTGTCACACAAACCGGGATATTTTACTCGACGCTAACCCGAGCATTCAAGACCGACAAGCTAAGACAATGTCAAGCACACAAAGAGTAATGAAAACAGTGACACCGAGCTTTGTTGACCAAACATGGCTGCTTCTGCTGTTTGTCGGTGCCGCAAGCAGACACTACAAAGGGGCCCGGAGCCAGCTCAAATAGTCCATGGAGGTCATGTAACACCCTTTGTTTGCGCTTGATATTTTCTCGCCTAATTCCCAGGTAACAGTCTCAACCACGGCCAGACCATCAGCGGTCAAACCACAGTCTAGAGAAGAACACAGAGGAGCGATCAGGTTGGCGAAATGGACACACATATCCCGGCTACGCCGGCGGCCTTCCGGCAGCTGCACGTCAAGCTGCCGACCGAAGACCCCACGGTCTGGCTCGGCCCGCCGATTCCAGGCGCGAGGAACAAGAACAACCGCAGTATTTTCTCCGAGAGCCAGCGTTGGCTGGCCGACCACCCCAGCGGCTTCCTCATGATGCGCAACATGCAGCCCGAGGTGCCGCTGGGCTTTGGCATGCTCCTCGAAAGCCTCGACACGGGCAAGATTATCTTCCACAAGCGCATTCGTCGTAGGACACCATTATTCAAGCCCCCCTACCCGTCGATCCCCGAGCCCTTCACATGGCATGAGCGCTACGGCAAGGGAGAGCTCCCCCCGGAAATTCGCGTCTCGACGCTCACCGACGATCCCCGCGTGGATCTGGTCCTCCCTAAGGAGCCTTACTTTCCGCGTCTCTACGCCGCAGCTTGGCCCACGGCTGCACAACCCCCGCCAGACCCAAATTCCCGCTCTAGCTCTGACTCTGGCTCTGAAGACACCGCCCAGACCCCACCGGCCTCGACCCAGCCCGCCGAAGAGGTCCACTCGCTGTACTACAAGTACTACAACGGTTCTTCCTTGGCCAACCTCGTGGAAATGTACAGCGACCGGACTGGCGGCCCCATCCCCGAATCTTTCATCTGGCACGTTGTCGAGCAACTCACCCGCGCTCTCTTGTTTCTTTACGCGGGATTGACCCGTGCCGACCTCGATTCCTTCACCGAGCCCGCGGACGAAACGCCAGAACACTACGACCTCATTCTCAATCGCATGCTACAACGAGCGCCGTGGATACACCAAGATATCTCAGACGTTAACATCCTTCTCGATTCCCCCTTGAACGCCGACGGCCTCCTAGAGCCCATGGGCCGGTTCTTCCCCGACGTCATCCTGTCGGGTCTTCAAAACGCCACGCCTATGCCCACCAGGCCAACCAACCTCGACGACGTAGAAGGAGCAATCTTCGACGACCTAACCACCTTTTACGAAGTTATCAAACGTCTTGTGAAAGCCTGGCGCCACCCGGACACCGGTGAACACCACCAATACGACGACGACCCCCTCGAGTTACTGGAAGTGTACACCGATGAGTATCGCGATGTGGAGAGTAACCGATTACGCAGCGTACCCTACCTCCTCGATCGCGTCCTGCCCACCGCCCGCCAACACGTCGATCGCTACCGCACTTTGTACCAAACCCGCCTCGCCAATCACCCCATTACCCGGCCACGGTCCCCCAGCCCATCCAGAGACCCTGACCTTTACTCTGACAACGAACGGTCACCCAGCCCTGGCGGGGTGGTAGATCCTATTGCGGCGGGGGACGTATCCTGGACGATGCCGGATCCGACGTTTGAACGGATACCTTGGGCGCTGCCGGGGTATAAGAGGGATGAGAAGGTACTGGTGGCAGAGCTGAGGAAGAAGATGGCGTGGTTTGTGGGGACCTGGGTGCCTGTTTGGGTGTCGTATGATCGGGTTGCTTTGGCGGGGGATGGTGAGGGGGATGATTCTGACGATGGGGGTAATGAGGGTAATGAGAATGAAGGGCCAGTTGTGATTCAGATTGACTCTAGTGAGGAGGAGAGTGATGAGGACAGTGATGGAGTTGAGGGAGGCGAGAACCAAAACGACACCCAAGGCGGGAACAATGACGGCGAAGAGCAAGAAAATGACCAGGGAGACGACCAATACAAAGGCCAGAACAAAGACGATGAAGACTCTTTAGTAGAGGTAAGCGAGGATGAGATTGGTTCTGACGAAGACGCGAAAGATGTGCTAAGTAGACTCCCGTGGAATCCCAACCGGACGCGGCCACCAACCGATGACGGCCATGGTTCCCCTGTAGACCCTACGGGGGATAATGATCAGGACCCTGCCAGTCAACCTCGACCCGTCAAAAGTCAGCCGGATGATGGCCCAGAGCGTCCGAGCCGAAGCCCAACAGTGCCAGAGAGGCCTCGGCAAGATACATCCAGTTTGACTTCCCTGGGTAATACACCGTCATCGCCGGGCTATCCGGAAAGCAACCGGGGAAATAATGCCACCAACCAACCAAAGAACCAGCCCTCTGAACCCAGAGGGCGGCCTGCCAAGAAGGGACCCAAAGAGGCCACCCAACACATCCGTCAGTCCGACAGAATCAGAAACAAAAACGCCAACACCGCCAAAGTCACCAAACCCAGAGACAAAACCCCCCCCGGACCGCGCCCACAGCCTGCCCCTGCCCCTGCGCCTTCCCAGGCCAACGCCAACGGAGGAGAAGTGCCATTCGCGTACAACGCAACCCGCCGCGTCCTCGGCATCACCAATAAGCTTGGTGTGTTCTTTAAGAAAGGACTCGAGCCAGGCACGGCACGGTTGCCGGAGTTACAGAGGGTGCTCTGGTTGGTCGGAGAGTTGGTGGAACTCGGGCTGGAGCAAGCGAATGATCGGTATGATGATGAGAGGATTAGCACGATTATTAGGGATGGGACTATTGTGGTTCCCGGGGGGCGGAGGAGTAATGAGGTGGTGCAGGGCCAACAGGAAATAGTTGTGGCGCAACCGGAAGAGGTTGAGGAAGAGGAGGAGGAGGAGGAAGGAGAGGAGGGACCAGAGAATTCAGGGATCTCAACGTTGACACCTCCATCGCAGGTGGAAGCAAACTTAAGGGCATTGTGTGGAGGAGGGGAAGAGGAAGAAGCGGAAGACGAAGTGGAGGTGGAAGTGGACGAGGAGGAAATAGAAGCTGCGGGTACTCCTGCGAAGAAGGGGAGAGGGAAGAAGCCGGCGAAGAGTACAGCGAAAACGGAGGCTAGTACGCGGGGACGGAGACAGGGTGGGGCTAGGGGGAAGAAGTGAGTGTATAATAGAGTGTTTAGTTGGAGGATTGATTACCATGAACTTGCGATCATGCTATGGAAACATGTTACCCATTTGCGTGAGGAACTTACTGATTGCCAGTCTTGGTTTTTACGCTTGTCCTCTCTCTTAGTTTTACTTCCATGAGGAGATTATCGAACTGATATAACCTTAAACCATGGTGGACATGAATATTTGAACCATCACTTGTTGGAGTACTAGTCACAAGACTACGGCCAAGATGAAGGATAAACTGTCGCAGACGCCAATCGTTATGAAGGACCTAACTACCAGCTGTCCTAACTTTTCAATGTTTCTGTCACTCTACATGTCAAACACGACGTCCAAGAAACATGAGCGAGGTTCGTTTAATACACCCTTGTGGAAGGGACGCGTAGGTTTTGTTCTTCTGATGGATTTGCCTAATGCTAACTTGGACTAAATCTGGTCTCTTGTTCTCGTTGTTTTGCTGCAGCTCTTACGACAATGTTGCAGTTACATTCAAGGTAATTAATGAATGGGTAATTACTTTTAGGAAGCCTGAGGGCCGTGATGAAAGTGAAAGTTTCACAGACGAATCAATTAATACAGCGGGATATACAGCCATTTATCTAGATCACCAAATGTTCAGTTACGCTATCCGACGTCAAGAAGGATGTTTCAGTCTATCCCTTGAGGTTCATCATTCGCTATTTAATTGCGTTTAGCATAGGGAGTCGCTTCGTTGAGCCATTGTGGGCTGTTAGCTTGCATTTGTGTTAGATTTTATTATTCTTTCTGAGATGAATACAAGACATTTTAGACAACCAATTACTCCTTTCCACTTCGTGTGATTCCCGGGTCCTTTATGCTTCGTTTGATTCAATGCTGGGGCCCCCGGTACTGTTCATGATTGAGAAAAACGGCCAAGTTAACGTCCATACTTTAAACATAAATCAATTGCTCCACCTGGATATACTGTGATCTATCCCAACCTTCTATTGTTTCTTCCTAGTTGCCTACCACAAGTACCCAGAGATCTGATGAGATTCATAACCCTCACAAATCCTAATCCTGAATCTTCAGCACCGTCTTGCCAAAATTCTTGCCCTCAAAAATCGACACCAACGCCTCGGCCGCGTTGTCAATGCCCTCGATGACGTGCAGTTTGGCCTTGAAACTGCCGTCGGCCAGCCACTGCTGCATCTTCTCCTGGTGGTCGTCAAAGTACTTGTCCCAGAACCCGGGGTCGCTGACGATGAAGCCGCGGATGGTCAGGCGCTTGCTGATGATGTGGGTGAGGTTGGAGACGCCGTAGCGCTCGGCGGCTGTGGCGTTGTATTGGGAGATCTTTTGGGTACTTTGTCAGTCGACCCCCCAAAAAAGAAAAAGCAAGAAAAAAGTGAGAAAAGTAAAGAAGGGAAAACTCACCATCCCCGAAACAACAACCCTCCCAAAATCCCTCAACGCCCCCAACGCCGCCTCCAAATGCTCTCCCCCGACATTCTCATAATAAATATCAATTCCCCCCGGCGCCAACCTCTTCAACGCAGTCTTCGGCTTCTCCCTCTTATAATTAAACCCCCCATCAAACCCCAGTTCCTCCACAATATACCGCAGTTTCTCCTCACTCCCCACACTCCCAATCACTTTCAGCCCTTCCCTCTTTGCAATCTGCCCTACTACCTGGCCCACGGCCCCTGCGGCACTGCTGATGAAGATGGTTTCGCCGGGTTTTGGTTGGCCGATTTCGTGGAGGGAGGCCCAGCCTGTTAGGCCGGGCATGCCGAGGGGGCCGAGGAAGAGGCCCAGGTCGGGGAGGGAGTGGTGGTTGGTGATTTTGCTTAGGACTACGCTGGGGAGTTCCTCTGCTGTGATGGTTGCGTATTCGGCTGTTGGGAGAAAGGCGTACAACAGATCGCCGGGCCGGTAATGATGCGTTGTCTTAGCCGTAGCCGTAGCCTCAGCAGCCCCCGCAGCACCCCTCGAAGCCCCCCTAAACCTCCCCCTGACCCCCCTAACCCTCGTCGTCCCCTCCGCAACCAGAGCAGGAGCAGCCGTATCCGACTTCACCACCCTGGCCACAGCATAATTCGTAATAGCCCCCCCCAACTCAAAAGCCGGCTGATAACTCTTAATATGCGCCGGGCGCATACGGCTACGCTGGTAGGGATCGATGGAGCTGTACAGAATAGCGACGGTCAGGCCGCCCGGCGGGGGTGGAGCGGAGAGGTCGAAGGGGAGGGGTTGGACGGAGAGGTGTTGGTTGGGGATTGGGCGTGCGGGGGGGATGGCGTGGAAGAGGAGGGTTTTGTTTTGGATGGGGGTGCTGGTGCTGGTTTCTGGGGTTGGTTTGGTGCAAGTGGTGTCGGTGTGGGAGGTCGAGGGGGTGGAGGTGGAGGTTGTCGGGGGGTTCTTGGGGGAGGACATTTTGGGGGATTTTCTTTTGCGGTGAAGGAGGAAATGGATTAGTTTCGAGAGGATTGAGGAGGGCATGGTTAAAGGTGGGTATTTAGGGTTCAAGTTATTTAAAGTTATGGTCGATGCAGACACAGGTGAGACAAAAACAGGCGAGACAAAAAAAACGTGGAGTTTTCCTGGGATTATTTTAATCCTCGCATTTCAAACACCAACTTCACTTACATATACACTACCCTCTGGAGTTCGGAGAAAGTCAGTCCAAAAGCCTCTCGGCATTCCTCCGCATTCGAACCTCGCAATGGCCCGATGCGATGTGTAATGCGACGCAAACCTGCAGAATTGGCAGAATTGGGACACACACCCATGACGTTGGCGGCGCGGCGTCGGGTGTGGGTGGGCTTCGAGGCTCCGCAACGGCGCGGCACTTTTCGTGGTGCTACAGGGGTCCCTGGCAAGTTCGGTGAGAATTTCAAAAGGTGTGGGACGTTGGTTTGGCTTCTTTGGGGAGAGTTGGGGGGCCGTTTGGGTGGGGGCGAATTCGGTCTTGGCTAGTGTGGAGGGTGTTAAATTTCTTCCGGGGCTTATAAATGGGTTGAACGATGGCGATAATTGCTGGAGACTGAGTATCACCGATCGATATGCTCAGTTGCTTGAATCGTGATAAAGCGCGGCATATCTTAACTGTCTGGAAGTGGCCTCAAGATCAATCGCGAGGAATTTCATCCGAGCTGACCGCCTCACTTCACTGCTCCGATTGGAACCTTAGAATATCCTGCCAAGGGACTACAGAATCAAGATTAAAGCTTGTGATACAGTGATACAATACAGCTTGTGAGACAGGCATACGAAAGAGTATAAATTGACCAATGCCCGCTCTCTAGCCAAAGGCATGGGCGTGATGGTGTAACCCCTTGACCCGAAACACAGCTGAAAATTCAGCCCGCACGTTGTGGTACGACCGGTCAGCCGCGCGAGTCGGACGCAAAGGGGCCTGAGTAACAAGGCCAAGTCGGCGGTTAAAATCCATTTGCAGTACGGCGGTTAGCTAAAAACCACTTATCTTGAAGCCTCATTGTGACCGGAGATTCGGGTGATTTTTCCCAAGTAAACACTTGGCGATTGTGATAGAGGATAAGATACGGACCTCCGTGAAACGTCTCGGGCCAATACTTCACCGGCAAGCCATGTCCCGGCTACCAACATCTCAACGATTGAAACCGATGAGGGTTATCTGAGGTCTCGGCCTTCGGTGTTAGGAGCTTGACGTCAAGTTTATCCGAATCCGCCCATGAGGCTACAATGACAAACCAACCGATAAAATTGAATCGCCAGGCTAGCAGTCTGATTCAAGAACCGCGGCTCTTGTTTATTCATCATACCAGCGTTCGGATTTAATCCTTCATGGTAGCGGGAAATGGAAAATACGAGTGCTGATTAAGGCTTTAACCCTGGGAAGTCTGGCCACCGACCGATCTGACTCGGGGAAGTCGATTTTCCAAGCAATTGGAACCCACTTGCTCAGCGCCTTCGAACGTTGTCCCGCTAAGCAAATCAGTCAAGCTTAAGCAAACCGCACCAGGCTTTCTCACAGCACAGAATAGGATCAAAAAGCATTTGGCAGACAGCACATCGGTAAAAGCCTCAGGCCCAGCCAAGTGTAGTGATTCTCCGGCCTTCCAATACATCTCACCTGTAGAATAACATTGTGCTTCGTTTTGGCCTGAACGCTACAAAGTAAAAGTGACTCGCATCTACCCAGATACCGATAGAATGCGTCAGAAAAAGATTAAAGTCCAGCACGCCCGGGAGGATTCCGGTGCTACGCGGCCCACGATCAGGCCGACATAAACAAAATACACCCAAATTCTGACCGCACCCCCCTTCCCAGCCACGTAAGTATAATGCACCCAGACTCCGCCCGCCCCCCCAACCGACCTAAACACGACGCAAACCACGACGCAAATCCCATGTAACCAACCACATGCATCCCACGCACGCACAGACAGACATAATCACTTTCCCGGGGGGTCAGGTTCGGGGACGTGAGCGTGAGTCAACTACGCACCACATTACGCGCGGCCGAGGAGGATGAAAGGGCGCAGAATGACGTGAGGTGGTGCGTTCTCACCGTTCTCCAAGGAAGAAGGGGAAGATTGGATTGTAGCTCGCTGGGGAGCAGAGGTTGATCTCGGCTTGGGGCGTGGGGCCATGCTGTATTGTAAAAGGCAGTCATCAGCTGTGGTAGTAAGTGGGTATCTACCCTTTTTTTGCTGTGGCAATCTAGAAAGAGTGAGGGTGAAGGGCATAGGGCGAAGGGTATAGGGTACATGTAAAGGCGCGGCTAGCGACGGGTTCCTTTCCGGGGCATGTTCCCCTTGGTTCGGAGGATCGCAAGGGATATTGGTTCGGCCCCAAACGGGGCCGAGGCACGGTCGATATAATGGCGATTAGAATATACAGCGCTTCAAACAGCGTCCTTGGGCCTCGCACAATTAATTGACAGTGCCGTCAGTTTCCTTCGGTGTGCATGCAACGTCAGAATTCGATGTCATTCCGTAGCGTGTCTGAAATGCAACAGATGACAGTGCGTACGTCGTCGAGAACTCACTCGAAGCCAAATGCAACCAAATTGAGCAAAACACGCCCTGCGCCCCCCTGTTAATACATCTTTGGACATGGACGTCGTCGAAAAGACGTTGCAAAGACGTTGGAGGACGTTGGGTGACATAATTCGGGATCGGCGGGTCCACCAATCAGCATGCAGGATGCAGCCGGTTTAGGAAATCGCACTGACACCGTTTGACTGCAGGAACGCTGAAGTGAGACACACGTGGGGATGGGTCCGCTAGTGGCCGTTGAACGGTTTTAGTCTGATTGGGTTTGGTGTTTTTTCAAGGTTTATTGAGGAGATGGAATGGGTGTGAGTAGATATTATTCGTGGTCTAAAGAGAGACTGAAGTACGGGAAGGATTGTGTAATTACTTGGGTTAGGCGAGACACGGCCCAAGGCATCTTCTGCTCAACATCGTCCAAAATTCCGATCCGTTAGGACATTGCAACAGTCTTCTAGAAGCCATTACAACAGCATTCTTCAAGACCTGACAACAGTCTGAGGGTCCACCGGATTAACCCCAGATTCAACTGTGGTTATGTCCCTGGCTCTCGAACCCTTATGCTCACAGACGCTCGGGGAACTCGCTTGCTTGCATGCAGCCGCGTCGACACCCTCGAACCTTAGCACCCAATTCTAGAAACTCGTTGATTCTTCTCGCGTGTGTGACTCCTCCTCTTCCATGTCTGACCGTAAGGTTGTCAAAGCGTAGTCCTCCTCATTCCCGACCGTATAAATAGGTGGTGCTCCCCCCGAACTTGACCGGTCCTGGATTTCGCTCACCCACGTATGCTCAGAAGTCTCTTCAGATATACATTCTCAAGAACACACTTCATCGTCCACTCTTGTCTAGTCGTCTGACTTGCACTTATCAATTACTTCAAACATCAAACATACAAACACACATCCACATAAGACTATAGTCTGCCGTCTTGGCTAGAGAGGTCGTCTTCACACAAGAGCAATCCAAGAAACGATCAGAGTTATCCTCTGTTCACGTAAGTCTATCTTTTCCCTTTCTCTATTCTCATTTCACCATAACCCTAACCGGGGTCAGTCAACACAAACAACCTCGTCAACACCTCTCAAAGTGTATTGTCGCCTGTTGTACCAGTCTTCCCCTCTCAGTTACAGGACTCTTTCTCTCCGTCCTTCCCCGGTTAACATACCAACCCTTCTGTCTGTGAGCCTGAAGTCAACACAAAAACAACAAGAGTCCTTAACGACCTCTTCCAACTACAACGTGTAAGTTACAACCTGACTTGAACATAACAACACATCAACAACTCCCACACCCCAAAGCACACACCAACTCCACCCCCGTTCAAATTCAACTTGAACAATCCCCCACCCACACCACCAAAAAAAGAGTTCCATCACAGGATCTCTTGAACACCTCCCCAAAGTTCAAGTCCCCAACTTGAACTCACCTCACGTCACCTCACCACCACCACTAAAAAAAAAAAAAAAAACGCCACAATGTCCTCCAACAGCAACACCCGCCGCATCTACCTCGGGGCCTTCGCGGGGGGGCACAACGTCCACATGATCAGGGTTCTTAGCGTCCCTGACACCGTCTCCGGCCCCGGTTCCGCTTTCCCCTCGGCTTCGGCCTCTTCTTTGTCCTCCTCTGCTGCTGCTGGCCCCTCGTCGTCTGGTGTTGTTTGTCAAGACAATATCAACAACAATAACAACAAAAACAAGAACAACAAAGTCGACGAGGGGCACGACAGTGACAGTGAAGAGGAGAGTGATGAGGATGACAACGACGATCTCTTCGGAGATAAAACGTACGAGCGGATTGCGCGAGAGAAAGCTGCTGCTGCTGCTGCTGCCGGGGGAACCGGCAATAGTGATGGTGAGGAGTCTGAGTATTCCGGTGAGGATGAGGAGGAGGATGATGACGACGACCTCTTCGGCGACAAAGTGTACGAGCGCATCGCGCCGGAGAAGGCTGCCGCCGCCGGTGCTGGTGCTGCTACTTCTGCCGCTGAGGGGGTCGCCGTCGCCGAGGGGGAGGCTGAGGGTGAGATGGGCTTGGTCACGCCGCCGCGGGAGGTGGGCCAAGCCGACAAGAATAATTCCAAAGTCGACAAGAATGCGGAAGAGGCCCAGCCCAGCACGGCCGAACCAGCCCAAGACTCCAACGACGACATGGCCAGTCTCTTTGGAGAGGGCAATCTTGATGGGTTGTCGTCTTTCGGGGACGATGACCAAAACGAAAACGACAAGGCCGACGACAAGGACGACGAAGAGTACGACCCGCTGCATAATTTGTCTGCAGCCGAGGCCGCACTCATGGAGTCCCTTTTCCCCGGTTCCCTGGCCCAGCTTGGTGTGAGTGCCGGCGAGGGGTCGGCTGCTGCCCCGGCCGCGGGTGCTGCTTCCTCCTCTCCGGCTCCTGCGCCCGCTGCGGCTATCGTCCCCTCGCCGGCACCACTCACCCGCTCGCCCTCGGACCTGGCCCCGGCCGCAACCCGCTCGCCTTCGCCCGTTCCCGCCCGGGCCACCCAAACTGTCTCCCGGTCCCGGGCCCGGTCTCCATCTCCGGCCCCGTCAGAAGAAGATGGAAGCGACAACAAACCCGACGTCCTGACCGTCATCGGCTTCGACGGGGTGGAGATGAACAGCCGGGATTTCCTCCGCAACAGGGGACACTGTGGCGGATCAGGGGAGTATGGCCCGTCGCAGTGTTTCCCTGTTCCGGAGGAAGAGAAAAAGAGGAGAAAGGAGGAGGCAGAGAAGAAGAAGAAGCAAGAGGAAAAGGAGCAAAAAAAAAAGGAAGAGGAGGAAGCAGAGAAGAAGAAGAGGAAGGCCAAGATCAGGGAGGGGAAGAAAGTCGATAGGGGGGTGGGGAGTGCAACCGGGATTCAGGGTAAGGGCCAAGGTCATCAAAGCCAAGGGCCAGCGTCCCAGTCCTGTGTCCCAGCCCCTCCCCCGTTTAGCCCCTCCCCGTTTAGCCCCTCCCCGTCAACCTCACCCTCTTCCGCGCCAACTTCAACCCCCCTGGCGTCAACCTCTTCAACCTCGGGGTTAACCCTCCTAACGCCAACCCCAACCCCCCCAGCCACCACCACCAGGACCCCCAACAGCCTCCTCGCCCCAGCGCCCCCCTCATCAGCCGGCGACAACAACACCCCCGTGCGAGTCTCGTACATCAACAAAAAAACGGGGGAAAAAGTCACTGAGCGCACCATCAAGCGGCGCGAAAAAAAAGCCCGCGCCGAGAATGCTGCAGAGTCGTGGAGATTGCAGTCGGCCAACAGTACGGCGATGCATTTTCTGGATTTTGGGAACGGGAAAGCGGGGGTGGGGGGCTCGAGTTGGGGGAGGAAGAGGAAGAGGATGGAGGAGGAGGAGGAGGAGGAGGAGAGGAAGAAAAGTTAGGGAGGAGGCGGAGAGGAAGGGGGATGGGGTTGTGGTGATTGGGGATGAGGATGAGGTGATTAGTGTTGAGGATGATTGAGGGGTTTTATATGGTTAGATCAAAAATACGTTCAAAACCTTCAAGACGTGGAATCTCATCACTGTTTCACCTTATGATTATAGCTCAAGTTTGGAATTAAAAGTCAATTCCCAATGTTCAGCTACAGGAGACATATATAAAGTCCAAGACTCTTTCTTACTATAGTTATGGTAAAGTGTTCTGTGAGCAAGTCAAGTTTCGTTAACCGGGCTGGGGAAACAAATCGGACACTGTCACCCTTCTTCTACTTGGGTTGCTCTACCGGAAGCGAAGCTCCCATTTTGAGCTTCTGAAGAACGACGAAAGGTCGTTTCATTTACAAGGGTAATCCTGCAAAGTGCTCAGTGGAGCGACTGGATCTTACTGCCAAAACCACATGTTTTTAGTGCCGTTATCATAACTGCTTCCGAATGATCAAGGCTCCATCGATACGTAGGGAGTATTCATCTGCTTCTCCATCATCGCATTTGTATGCCGACTTGCTCTGGGAATTGTACGTGACAGGCAATTGACAGGCAACCTCCTCCCCCCGCCCCTCAAACACACCATAAACGGCCGCGATACATGCCGGAGTGCCTGGCGGTCAGGGATATTTTACGGGTTTTTATTTGTCAAGCAACAGTGGGATGGTATGGTGTTTATGGAAAGATGAAATCAATGTTGAACCCCGTCTACGCCGCACTGTCGGAAACATACAACTTATTCACTCACGAAGCGGAAGAGAATGATCCATAGTAGCACGTGGATGGGATGGGTACAAGTTACAACGTGTACGGTGCATGAATCATTGACTACCTATTAAACCCTCCTGGCCTCACAAAGGCCACGCGATCAACTCGTGGACAGTCCAGCATGAATCCACAGCAACCGGCCCCGCCGTCAGATAGATGTAGACCTGCTCATCAGGGGTTCCCTGGGGAGAACAAAACCACCATCTCAAATCGCTGTCGAAAGTATTTCTGAATTCGCCGGTGTTGTCATCAATCGTAAATGATCCAGTAATGTCTCCTGTACCCTCGATCTATTCCCCGAAAGTAATTATTGTTAGGTTTATTTCAAACAGCAGTTCCCAAGATGGACGGTTGACGAAACAATGCTTAATATAACTCACGGGCTGATCCACAACCAAGCCAAAGATACCATCCTCATTGCCCTCTTTCCGTAGAACGAAACCTTCAAGGTGGCCCTGATCATCGAGACTCAACACTACATCTCCAGTATTTCTGTCGTATGTGAAGCCAACTCTCGACAGCTCATCATACGGTTGGGGTATCGTTGCATTGTCGTGCCCGAAGAACGGCACGTCGTCGCTGTTCACCCGGACCGTGAATTTTGTGGACGCAAGCGCCACCCCAGCGAAGAGGATGGGGGCGAAGAACTTCATGGTTTGAGAGGGGTGGGTTGGAAGTAACTATTGGTAAGAACAGAAAGGTAAGGTGGTGTTGTACAGATCGAGGAACAGAAGAGATTTAAGAGAAGAGAAAATGACCCAAGGCTTTATACCATTTCCATCTAACTGTCGGGGCAGTCGGAGCTCATAATTCCTCGATCTGGCCGACGATCCAGGAATTGACATCCCCCTTGCCCAGCTGGCTCGCTAGTATATGTCTCACACACTGACAGAGTATATCGGGCCGTGTCGGGCCGTATCAGACTGTTTCGGGCCGACAGAGGCTGAATGTTCAAAATGCAAGTTCAAGACATGATGCCCGATTTTGGACGGATCGGCAGCTGCGCACCACGTAAGTGGGCGGCTTCACAGCTGATCCGGTCGTCACACAGTTCAGGTTAACGCCTCAAATCGACGGCTGCTCGGACACGCAGCCGTTTCCTCGCCTCGATCTTGGGGGTTGGCGCCAACACACGAGACAATCCATTTTTTCACTACACTACACTGGGCCTTGCGCATGGTTGATCTGTCAACATGCGGCCAGCAAAGTGTGGGAGGTCTTTCCCGCTTCTTCTAATTAATGAATTACCGATGTTGCTGTACTTGGAGCTGGGCTTCAATTTTGAACTCCTGAGAAACAAGGAACATTCGTCGGTCGTTTCACTTGCAAGGTCAGTTGCCCAGGTCCTCGGAGGAGCGCCGACCTTGGCTTTACACTTCCTGGGGTGGCCCGGAGGTGGTGGCACGGTCCGACTCGTGGGAAGAGCCTTGTTTCCTGTCTTGGTCTCTCACGGTCCACTCAGTTGACGCTGTCTACGCCGGCAGTTGATTCACTCACGAGGGAAAAGGACTGATTCTGGCACATTAGGTAATCCTCGACTTTTTAAAGCTTCTACTAATTACGAATCTCCAACCACGCCGTAGTTGGCGCTCAAGTTGTGGGCACTCGAGCAGATCCACGCACCACCTCGGGTCAGGTCCACGGACGGATCCGCCAGATAAATATCCAACGCCCCCCGACTTCCGACAGTATTACAACACGACCACTGCCAATTTCCCTGGCCAACATATGTGAACTCGCTAGTTGCGTTGTCGACTTTGAATAGTCCCTTGATATCGTCTTGCTGTGCCTATTTCCCGGTGGTATCGTTAGTTTTATTTCAAACAGCGGTTCCTAAGAATAGGGAGTTTATCGACAGGTTGGCGAAACAGTGCCATCACTTACAGTACCGAAGTTTTCTATCAAGGCCCATATACCCTCCTGCTGTAACCGGAGAACGGACTCATCGACAAAGTTGCCGGTCTCGTCGAGTTGAAATACTGCATCAGTGCCGTCATTTATAAAGCCGATTGCCGATACGCTGTCGGTTCTCGGCATCGTTTTTGCATTCCCGGGTGAACTTACCTCGTTGTCGCCTTAGCCATGTTCTGTGGCGTAAGGCGCGTCTTCAAGCTCAGGCCGAAGAACCGTGCTAAGTCTTGGGCCCGTTATTTCAGGGAGAAAGCGGTGACGGACTCGACGAACTTGGTTGTCAATTATCTGTTTAAAGTAGTGGGTGGCAGGCTCCCCTACGAAAGTTAGCCTGATCTCTATCCGGGAGATGGCCATTCCTAATTACTCTCTTCGCGCATGCACTCAATAAGCCACATCATGATGCCAGCAATTTAGGAAAGTATCTTGTCTCGAATGGGCCCGCGCTGGTTGCTTTAGGGGCCAAGAATGACTCTCGCCTAAAACTCAGCTCAGGGCGATGAATGAGTACCCGACCGAGCCTTTGGAAGTAACGCTGGATCCTATGATCTAGGAACCAACTGGGAGCCTTTTACCTCGAGCTCCTGAAGTATGATGATTTGGCCTTGGAGAAGATCGATGATGGCTTCACGTGGTGCATTCCGTATATGCAGAGGGATGCGGATAGCCGAGCGTTCCTGATCTAGAAAGGTCACTTTGTAGATTCGACAGTGGACGCCGTTGAAATCGTTCTTGTTTAGAACGGGGACTTGAGTACCTGACATGGAGAGCGGCGATTGCCTCAAGGGTAATTTGTGGATGAAACACCCTGATTCCTTCCCTTATCAGCCAGGTTTGGGAGCTCTCGTCGATATCAAATGAGCTAAGATGTTCTCGTAGAATGGTGGGATTATCTCTGTACCGGACAACCCCGGGAGGGGGGCGGGGCGAGGTTGGTGGAGGTTGGTGGCAGCAGGTTCTTGACGGTGTTCCTGGAGGATTACGGTATTTCTCGGTAAGAGGTTCAGGGTGAAGCTGCCAAAAGCAGCGTCGGGGGCCAGCGCGGCGTGTGGCTTGACGTGACCAGGTTTTGCCATCTCTAATGTTTGCATAGGGGTCCCTCTCGTATAATTATGTATACTGCGCTCCTTTTCCAACATTCCGTTTGTTGATACACACAATTCAATGCACAGCATGCCCTCAGTTTTCCCCACTATTTTCCGCCCAAAAGGCTTCTCTGCAGTGTGATATCCGTGGCCAAGAATGATTCCGAGCTTCGTTTCTTTCTCGAACAGTATCCTGTCGAGGAGAAGAACCGGAAATTCTCCCCGTTAAAAGTCAGCGCTTTCGTCGTCGAAGGCCGGCGTGTACGTACAAACTTTTGGGTCATCGTCAAGGCAATGTTTGCAGTTCCGAGGACCATCGTGGACAGGGAAAAGGCCAACAAGGCCGCAGCGGGGGGCTCCGCGCCCGCCAAGGGGCTGGCGTTACGCATGATGATTTTGGGAGTGAGGTGGACGAATGACAGCGTGAGATGGACAACAGGACACCACAATTCGGGCTTGACGACGGCGGCCAAGCTCGTTGCCGTCGGGAGGCTCCGTGAGCTTACACTTCCAGTTGCCTCTCGTTGTGCAGTATGTGCACCACGATACTACCTAGGTTCCATTGGGGATAGCTTCCTGCGAATCTAATGCGCCATGGTCTGGTCGCCATGGTGTCACCGCCCCCACTTGCAGGCTGTCATACGGGCTTCGGTCGGCCGAGTTTTGGGTCAAAAGGAACTCCCACAGGGCAATATCATGCTCCTTTCTAAATACTAGGTAAACATATGAGGCAGCTAAGAGCCTGCCAGGTCCCGGAGCTTAACGTTATCCGCATCACCGGTGTTCACCTCTACATGAATTTCCGTTTCTTCGTGCCCACCCACTTATGTTGAATCCCGAAACAGGGTTTCCCAACGGGCCAACTCTTTCCTCGTAGAAGCATAATTTCATTTAGTAAGATAATAGAACAAACCGGTTCGTGCCTTTGTAATCTGGAAAACGGTGTTGTGCCTGATCTAAGAGACGGCCAGTGATACTGGGAACGACTGGGGATTGATGCCTGATTAATAGGGAATTACTCGTTGATGAACACTCAAACCGCCCAGGCGGGACGAGCAGTTAGCTACATCGCCGTTGAGGCGTAGCTCCAGCTGAAATCCACCCACGTTATTGTTCTTCTGCACGCGGGTTCGTTCTGCGGGCAAATCCTGCGGAGGTATTGCCCGAGGAAATCGTTAGCTGCGAGCCACCAAATTCCTCGACCGAGCTCCCGGCTAGCAAGCACTAGCGCAGCTGGGATTGGAAAGGTGGGAAGGTCGTCTGCAGGCCCACCTCCCGTCGGGAGCAGGTGCCAAAGGGGGCGTGTTTGATTGGCTCGCAACCAAGACAAGCTCCGATCACGAAGCTTGTCGGTCGTGGGCAATGCTTGTCGTTGCTTGGCTGGCTTGGCTGACAACCCCAGCCGCGGGCCATGCGATGCGACCTTGAGCCCCACTTTCACCCAACGCAGAGGCTGCAGGAACTCCTCTCCTGCTGCACCGCATGGCACAACACTAGACATGGGTCGAGCTGTCGCTTGCACGAGAGCGCGGCTTGGCTTTTAAAAAGAATGGCTCGCTGCCCAGCAGAGACGCAGGGTCGGACTGCACCGACACGTCGATCGCTTTGCAATTGGTTCCTACCAACGGCGCCGACGCTTCAATTGATTTCTCCAATTGATATCCAGCATCATCAGCATGAAGAATCTCATCTCGGGAGCGGGCGCCGTGCTCTGTGCGGCCAGCGGCGCCCTCGCTGGCGTCACCGCCGAGCCCTCGCACGTCTCCGGGCGGCCCCCGTTTAGCACCATCGAGCCGACCTTGTCGTCCATCTATGCCGCCCAAGCCACCGTGAAGCCGGAATCGCCCGTGTCGAACGTGCCTGGCAAGGCCTTCGACCGTATTATCCAGATCTGGCTGGAGAACACCGACTTCAGTGTGAGTATTCCTCCGTTTTCCCCGTGTAAATATGAAGGGAGAGGAAAAAGGTGGAGCGATGACTGACTGACTCGGTAGGCCGCGGCTGGTGACCCTAACATGCAATGGATTGCAAGCCAGGGCATTCTACTCAACAACTACTTCGCCGGTATGTACATACAGTCAGGCTGCAGTGAACAGGGTGCTGACTCGCGAGCGCAGTCACCCACCCTTCGGAACCCAACTACGCGGCGGTCCTTGGTGGTGATACCTTTGGCATGGAGAACGATGACTTCATCACGCTCCCGTCCAACATTTCGACCGTGGTCGATCTGCTCGACACCAAGAGCATCTCGTGGGGCGCCTACCAGGAGCACCTCCCCTACCCGGGCTTCCTCGGCTTCAACTTCTCCAACCAGGAGACGTTCGCCAACGACTACGTGCGCAAGCACAACCCGCTGGCCCTATACTCCAGCATCACCGACAACAGCACCAAGACGGCGCAGATCAAGAGCTTCGTCAACCTGACCAGCGACATCCACAACAAGAAGCTGCCGCAGTGGAGTTTCGTGACCCCCAACATGGTCAACGACGGCCACGACACCAACATCACGTTCGCCGCGTCGTGGGCGCGCTCCTTCATCGAGCCGCTCCTCAAGAACTCGTACGTGTCGGACAAGACGCTGATCGTGCTGAGCTTCGACGAGAACGAGGACTACCCGACCCCCAACCGCGTGTACACAGTCCTGCTGGGCGGTGCGATCCCCAAGGAGCTGCACGGCACGACCGACGACGCTTTCTACACCCACTACAGCACCATCTCGACCGTGTCGGCCAACTGGGACCTGCCATCGCTAGGCCGTTGGGACTGCGGCGCCAACGTGCTGGCGCTCGTGGCCAACAAGACGGGCTACCGCAACGCCGCCGTCGAGGTCGACGGGCTCTACCTCAACGTCTCGTACCCGGGCCCCGTTAGCGACTCCAAGTACACGGCCGGCTGGTGGCCCGCGCCCGACACGAAGGCCAAGTGCTCCTCGGGCAACGGCGTGCTTAAGGCCGTCGTCGACAAGTGGGGCAGCCAGGCCGCCACCTACAACTACACCAACGTGTTCCCCTACGATGCCGTCGCCGGCGTCGCCACCGGTGTCAAGCTCGTCTCAGATGCTAATGACTCGGGTTCGTCGTCGGGCGGCAGTGGCACCGGCACTGGCACTGGCACCGGCAGCACCTCGTCGCCCAGCCCTAGTTCGTCGCACAACGCGGCTGCACCGGTCCGTGCCGGCGCCGTCGGTGGTGCGGTTGGGCTTCTCGGCTTGGTTGCCGCCCTGCTGTAATTAAGTCGGGTGGTGTTTGTCATTCGGTGGTCGGCACCGGTTACACGTATTGGCAGATGGATATAAGAAATGACTATATATTTACCGCTTTGAGATCACCCGGACATACGATGTGCAACAATATTACTGGAAGATCCTGGAGTGCTTGTGAGATCCCTGGTGAAGATGCTCCGAACGAAACTTCAAGGCGACAGCAAGCTTCCCACCACTGAGCTCTCTGTCGCACACATCGCGTGTGCGTGAACCGCATGAATGACGTCATCAAGCACACGAAAGCCCTTTTCCCCATGTAGCGTAGGTACACCACTCGCGACAGCTTAGGATGCGTGTATCTGTGGCGTCAATATCTCTGTCAATATTTCTGCTCGAGCGGCCCGTCGCACCACGTGGCGTACTTTCGTCCCAGGCACGAACACGCCGCACGTGCGGGTCTGTTAGCAGACCGTTTTCTGCTCCAGGCTGCGAGAAGAATCAACAAAACTCCCTTTCGGTGACGAGAGAGGGCTGCTTCCCGGCAACCAGCGAATTGGCCAATGGAGTCCGGGGAGTCAACCACGTGGGCTGTTGCCGTCTGTCCGGGTTCACGCCGGAGGTTCAGAGGATTTACAGGGTTCACTCGGTACCTTGTCTCGCTAGTGTACAGCTGCCCGATTGGGCGTAGCCTTGCATGCCGGGTTCCGGGTGGACAGTCCCCTGTTACACGGAATCTGGCGGTCTCGCATTGTAATTTGTGCAGGTAAGCGCTTCTCGTCGAACTGCAGTCCACGCAGTGGTCTCCCTATTTTGTTTCTTCCATAGCTAGGAGACAGTACGACGCGATCCACGCAGAGGTACGGATACCGGCAAACCGGCAAGCCCGCCCTGCACGCCGCTGCACGACGCGCCAGAACTTGCGAACCCAGAAGGGCAGCTTCATAGAGCCCAGCTGCTGTACATACAATACCTCCCTCAACTTGGGTCATCCGCGGGAACACCAGCGAGCGGCTGTGGGCAACCCTTTATACCGACACTTTATACCGACACAATAGCCCGGGTTTGCTAGTACTGCACTTTCTTGCCATGACACACCCCGTATAACCAAATGTCCGGTTCACAGTCCCCGCAGCCAAAGCCCGGCGCCACAGGCACAGGCAATACCACAAACACAAGCACAGGATCTAAGCGTCGGTCTGCGCTTCTCCTCGTCGGCGGTCTCGTAACCTTTGCCATCCTGTCCTTGGGCCTGGGACTTGGGCTGGGCCTTGGTCTAGGGCTCAAGAACCGCGTTAGCTCCTCGTCTAGTCCCACGGCCTCTTCCCCAGCGGCTTCCGGCTCACCCCTGCCTGGGTCTGGGGCCGATCCAAACGCGAAGCTCGAGAAATGGAGGCTTGACCCTAGCCAGTACGTCCTGAACACATCATGGGACATCCATGCGGCTCCGACAACGAGGCGCTATGACTTTGTTATCACGGAGGGCCAAGGCTGGCCCGATGGTAAGGCACAACGCCACTTTGATTCAATCCTGGTGGTTACTAGGAGTACGCCAAAGAAGAGCAAGTGTAAACTAATACAGGCCACCACTGCCAGGTGTTGTCCGCGACATGCTCTTCATCAACGGCCAGTTTCCGGGTCCGCTGATCGAGGCCAACATGGGCGACCGCCTCGTCGTCAACGTCACCAACAAGCTGTCGGCCAATTCCACAGCGATCCATTGGCACGGCATGTACCAGAACGGCACTAACTGGTTCGACGGCACCACGGGCATCACCCAGTGCGGCATACCGCCCGGCCAGTCCCTGGTGTACAACTTCACGCTCGAGCAGTTCGGCACGTACTGGTACCATTCGCACTATGGCATGCAATATCTGGATGGCGTCTTGGGTCCCCTCATTATCCACGCCCCTGACGAGGCTGATGTGAGGCATCTGTACGATCAGGAGCGTGTCGTCCTCATCCAGGACTGGTACCACGATGTTAGTACGGTCAATCTCGAGACTTACCTGGCCCCCGACAACGAGAATACGGAGCCTATCCCGGACAATGGCTTGATCAACGGGATGGCATAGTAAGTTTTTTCTTCCCAAATTCTAACAGAGAATCAGAACGTGCCGAGCTAAGTTTTCCTAATTAAACAAATTGCCAGCTTCAATTGCTCGTCGTACGACTCAAATTCTGGGCACACGTGCTTTGACAATAGCACGTACTCCGTCTTGTCCTTGGAGCCGGTAAGTTCTGTCACGTCTTAATTACAATCATATCAATCCTCACGCGTTGGGCTATTTTCAATAATCCTATCGGAGCACGGCGACCGATCCATTACCTACTACCCACTAATTCCCCCTACTTAGAATACCCGCACCCGAGTGCGCTTCATTAACACGGGTGGCTTTACCGAGTTCGAACTCAGCGTGGACAACCACACACTTTCTGTCATTGAGGCCGATGCGACGCTTGTTAAGCCGGTGTCAGTCCACAGGTGAGTAAGGGAGGAGGCAACAACCCCTGAGGGTGGGTAGGATATGCTGCTGAGTGGAGAGTGGGCTGACTGAAACTGAAACTACTTCGCCTGGCCGCCGTGCTAGAGTCCCCATCCACGTCGCGCAACGATACAGCGTAATCCTCGAAACCAACCAGTCAACATCGACCAACTACTGGCTGCGCGGCGCCATGATGACTAACTGCTTCACCGGCGACAACCCGGTGCTGGACCCAACCACCAGGGCCGTCATCTCCTACTCGGGGAACAGCACCGTACTGCCCAGCGAGGGGGCCTCGGTGGACTGGACAGACGCGCTCCCAGTGCACTGCATCGACCTGGAGGAGAGCAATCTGGTCCCGGCGACCCAAAACCCACCGCCAGGCGCCACCAAGATGTGGCGCATCGACTTCAGCTTCGGCATCGGTGCCTACCAGCTCGACAGAGCCAAGGTCAACGGGACGTCATGGTCGCCGCTGGACAACACCACCACCCTGCTGCAGGCCATCGACGGCCTGAGTGGGAGCGGGGGTAATTCTCACAAAACAGAAGCGGGCAGCAACAACAACAACAGCAACAGCAGCAGCTGGGCCGTCGACGGCCCAATCGAAGCATTCGGCTCAGACCAATTCGTCGTCGGCGTCAGCACCACCAACAACAACCAAATCGACGTGATCGACATCCTACTCTACAGCCTCGACGAAGGCTCCCACCCGTTCCACCTGCACGGCCACGAGCTGTGGATCCTCCAGCGAGGCGCGGGCCCCTTCAACTGGACCGACTACCACGCCAACACCTACCCAGCCAACGCGCCGCGCAACGCCCACGCCCTCCGCCGCGACACCTTCACCGTGCCGCCGTACTCGTGGGCCGTGGTCCGGTTTGTGGCTGATAATGCTGGCTTGTGGGCTTTTCACTGCCATATTGCCTGGCACCTTGAGGCTGGGCTTATGATGCAGTTTGCTAGTCGGCCTGATGTGTTGGCTAAGATGGCTGTGCCGGAGGATGTTAGGGGGTTGTGCGCGGCTGCGGGTGCAGGTGGGGGCAGCTAACTTGTTAAGCTGATGATGATGATGATATGTGACTGTTTTGGGATCTTTAGATGGGAGATTAGATTACTAGGTACTTCTAGAATAATTCCATGACGAGTATTACCAGTGGTAGTAGGGGTGGTGGCCCTGATGACGGTCACGGCAAGACGTCAACATATTAATATTGGCTAGGCTGCTCACTTTGCTGTGTTTGGTCGTTGACGATTTCCTTCACCGAACTATGACAGTTCGTGTCGTGCTTCATCACCTTTACCACCGACGCCGAGGTTCCCACCCTGTATTAATTGAAACCGTTCTAAACCTAGACTCTGAAAGGGTTCGCTCGGGGATATCTACCGGGTAGGTCTAAGTTTTGGTGAAGCTAAAGGGTTCACAACAACTGGTGTGATGGTAGTGATGTCTCTTACAATGATAGTAAAGGTGTCTCAAACACTGTTTGTGTATTGCTTACTGGAGAACTCCCAAAGTCGGTCGGAACTGGGGAAATAAAAGTTGTTATTTTCACTTGTTAGCTGTTAATTGTCGTTCTACCAGCTCAACAATACCCACCAATAATTAATTACAGGTTCCATTACCCAGGAAGCTGTCAGACTCTTGCATCCAACCAGTGGCGAGGGGGTTGTTTTCTGACTTGGCCTTTCATGGTCCACTCAGTTGCACGAACTAACAATGCGGACCACATGAGTAAGTAGGTAGGTACCGCCACCTACTTGTGTTAGTTATGCCCGATCTTGGACAGATCGGCGGCTGGAAGCGATGTGAGTGGGCAATTTCACAGCTGATTTCGCCAAACGCAGGGCCGACTTTTCCCTCCTGTCAAATTCGCCGTCACACAGTAGTTAAGGTTAAATGTCTTAGTGCAGATAATCTGTTCATTTGTTCGTACTCGATGGCTTCTCGGGCCCTCAGGTCGTTCCTTCAGCTCGACCACTAGGTGACGCCAACACACGAGACACTCCATTTTACACCACACCGCATCACCACATCAACATGCTGCCAGCTGCCAGGAAAGCCGCGCAAGTCAGGGCAGCTAATCATAACCGGCAGGCGCCAAAGGTGGAAAATGAATGATGCATAAACACCTGGGTAAACACGATATGTACGGTACATTACTCGTTGACTGATTACCATATTTAATCCTCCCAGTTCCAAAGCGTAGCGGTCAACTCATGGGCACTCGAGCAGGGACTGACGTTAACGAACGACTTGACTAAATAAACATCGATCTCGTCCTCATCACCCGGACGTGGACAAAACGCCCACGCCAAATTGCGCTGGAAAAAAATATATGAACTCGCCCGTGGTGTCATCAATCCGAAATGGTCCAGGGATACCGCCTAGTCTTTGCTATTTCCGTATCGTCAGTTTTATCTCAAATAGTAATTTATTCCCGAGATCGGGGGTTACCGGCAACTTACAGCAACATGATCCGCAATCAAGGCCCATATCCCATCTTCCACTGACCGCATGAGGAAACGGTCTCCGAGGTAGCCATTCTCATAGAGGGTCAATACTGCATCCCCGGGCTTGTCGTCCTTTACAAAGCCAACTCTCCATTCTGTTGGGGACTGCGTGATTATCTTTGCAGCACCGAGTGAAGACAACTGCTTGTCGCCGCCGTTGACCGAGGGTGTGAAGTTCGTCTCCGCAAGTGTCACACCGGCGAAGAGGATGGGGGCGAGAAGCTTCATGGTTTGAGAGTGATTCGAAGTAGTGTTAGGAACTGGACGGTGAAGTTGCTACACAGAAGCCAAGGAGAGAACATTACCACAGTTTTATTTATACCCATCAAAATATCGGAGCCGGTTTTTAACTTTCTCCGGGCTGGAGATCGACACAGTGAGAGGGCCACCATTATTACCAGATCAAGAGAACGATCATTATCAGTTGGACCCCGATGCGAGTGGGCAGTTCATATATCTCAACAATCTGTCAGCGAAGCGAGCGAAGTCCAGGCAGCTGATCGCAACCTTCTATCCTTGGGTTTTTGTTTGATCGTGAAAGGTTTGCACATGATGCCATAAAGTCTCACCTGTTCTTATAATTACCTGCTGGATATTCCCCAACAATACAGATTCCGCTCTCTAAGAAACTATTAGGCTCTTCTACAATTACCACCAGTTACACTGAGAAGAGAGATCGACCAGTCCTAGAGCACCATTAATTCATTTTAGGGGACAATTACCTACCTTACTAAGGTACCCAATGAGAGTGGGAATGGTAATGACAGATTTACACATCAGATTCACTCGGGGATGTGGAAAGTGAATGGGAGTATGAGATATGACAGGCAGGTAGCTACCGAGAGGTAATTAATCAAGCATAATGTGTGCGATGTAACAATTCATCACTGACTATTTACTCGCTCGCTTAGGTCCAGGGCGTAGTGATCAACTGATGGGCACTCGAGCAGTGGCTCACGTCAACTGACGCACCCGTCCGCTGAATCTCTACCACCTCGTCACCATTCCGACCAGGGCAAAACGACCACTGCGAATGGGGCCAGTAGTTATATCTGAGCTCGTGAGTGGTATTATCGATTTCGAATGGTCCGGTAATGTCGTCCCTTTCTCGCTGGTTGCGGATAGTGCCGTTACTTGAGTTCTCTCGGTGTCTAGTTCTCAAGACGGGGGCGTTCACCGAAAGAGTGATATCACTTACAGTAGTATTATCCACCATCAAGGTCCAAACCTGATCGCTGGCTAACCGAAGAAGGAAATTTTGTTCGAGGTAACCCTCGTCATCGAGACTTAAAACTACATCCTGAAGATTGGTGTCGTTTATAAAGCCGACCAACCATGTCGTTGCCGATTGCGGAATCCTCTTTGCAGTGCCGAGTGAAGACTGCGCGGTACCGCCCTCCACCGAGAGTGTGAAGTTCGAGGTTCCAAGCGCCACCGCAGCACTTGCGAAGAGGATGGGGGCGAAGAGGTTCATGGTTGAAGAGAGGGATTGGAAGTGGTGGGGAGAACAGACGGGTGAGGTGGTCAGAATACAGGCGGAGGTGGTCTTGTGTGGAGTAGAAGACAAAACATGACCAAGGTTTTATATCGTTTTTATCTAAATGCTGGAACTGGTTCTTCACCTTCGCCAGTATGGAGATCAACACGGTGATGCGGTGACCTGAATTACTAGCGTAGATCTAGAGAACGATCGTTGGTTAGCTTGACGGGCTAATTCGTTAACTGGCGAATGTCTCAGACACTTAACGGACTGTATTGAACCGTTTCGGGCCGGCAGAGAAGCAACTCCAAGACATTATGCCCAACCTTGGATGGATCGTCAGCAGCTTCACAGCTGATCCATCCACAGCTAGCAAAGCGAGCGGGCAGCTGGTAGCTAGCAACCCGCAGAAACTTTCCATCACGTGGACTGCATCGTCAAAAGCTTATTCGTACAGGTCACGTCATTTAGCATCGCGAGTCTGCGACATGAAAAATAACCGAGGGTGGAATCACCCACGCTTAGCACTGTCAATTAATTAATAACAAGGAGGTAGCAATGGTACTTGAAGTATCTCTATTCTCATATTCTCGGGGTATCTATCCCTTCGTAAGCAAATCCTATCTTCATGAATCCTCTCCGTTTTAGAAAAAAAAACTCTCCCTCTTACAAAGAAACAACAAAAGAAACAACAAACTCATCCCCGTTTACTCAATCCTGTTGAACCTTTTTCGTTCAACCTTATCATCTACTTCCAATAAACATCCATCCAGAACCAATTCCCCGGGTTCGCTGCGCCAGCCACATTACCCTGGCTCCTCTTCTTCCCTTGTTTCCCCTGCTGCATCTTCCCCTTCCCATTCTTCCCATTCTTCCCTTGCGCCTGTCCCCCCTGATCCCGTGCCTTCAAAATAGTAGGCACATTCACATGCTTATACATTCCCTCACTACTCTGCGCAATCGACGCGTAGTGGATCTTCTTCTTCCCTGCTGGTCCTCTCGCAGCGTTCGCCTTCCCGGCTTTCCCGTTGGCGGCCGTGCCAGCAGGCTGAGACGTCACATTCCCAAACTGATCATACATCTCCCCCTTCTTCTTCATCTCCCTCTCCTGCTTCTTCATCTCCTTCCTCTCCGCCCCCGCAACACCACCCCTTCTAAACAATCCCATCCCCTTAACCCGCTCCCTCATCTTCTCCCTCCTCTCTTTCTTCGCCTGCTTCGCCCGTGCCTTGGCTTCTTTGCGTTCTTGTCTGCGCTGGGCTTTGCTTAGCGGTACGTCTTCGAAACCGTCGTCAGCTCCAGAATTGACGATGGCGGCGGCGGAGGATTGGCGGTCGGCGTTGGTGCCGGAGAATTCGTTTTGGTGTAGTTGGGGACTGCCGGTGCGGACGCGGCCGATCCGGGGGGTTTCGTTGGGGTTGTTGGGGTTGGGGGTGAGGGTGGAGAGTTCGATGTTGTTGGGGTCGGATTTCTTGGATTTTTTCCAGCGCCATCTTTTGGAGGACTTGGATTTGGTCTTGGTCTTGGTTTTGGATTTGGCGGTCTTGGACTTGGACTTCTTGCCGGTGCGGCTGAAGAGACGGGCCCAGAAGCTGGGTTTCTTGTCTTTGGTGGTTGATTGAGAGGGGTCGTTGTTGAGGTTGTTGGCGTCATTGACATCGCTGGTATCGTTCAGGCCGTTGGCATCGTTGGGATCGCTCGGGTCAGTCAGATCCTTGGACTTGGTCTTAGACCCCGGGGCGAAGATAGCAAACCCCCAAACGAAGCCCTTCTTTTTCTTCTTGTCCTTCTTCTTCTTCTTGTCAGCGTTGGCAGCGTTGGCAGCCACCGGCTGGCCGAATTCGTCAACGGCATCGCCCGCAGCCAAGGTCTCCATGGGGTAGGACTGGTCAGTCTGGTTCTCGGGGTCGTACGCGTTCTGGTTCTGGCGTTGTTTCTTGGAGTTTTTGCTGCTGAATAGACGAGACCAGAAGGATTGCTTCTTGGGCTTAGTGCCGTTGTTCAAGCCACTCTCAGCATATCCGTTGTCGGCGTACCCATCGTTGAACCCCTGCTCATCCCCGTAGGCTTGTGTGTTGTTCGCGCCGTTTGGCTGTTGATTTCGGCGCTTAGACGCGTGGGAACTGAACAGTCGGGACCAGAAGGATTGCTTCTTGGGTCGCTGGTTGTTACCGTCTTGGTAGCCCGCCTGGTAGTTGTCGGCGTAGTCGTCGGGGTATCCGCCTTGGCCATTGCCAGCGTTGCCTTGGTAGTTGTCCTGGTAGTTATCGTTGTAACTACCCTGGCCCTGGCCATTCTGTCTCCGACGGCCATTCTTCCCAAACAGTCTGGACCAGAAACTCGGCTTGTTATCCCTGCGACGGCCCTGTCCTTGTTCACTATCAAAACCACCGATGGTCCCAGGACCTTGTGCACGATCACCATACTCGCCTTGGTAGCCTCCTCCCTGCGCAGAATCACCGTGATAGCCATCCCCTTGGGCGGGATCACCTGCGAGGCCGTCTCGTTGCTGGGTGTCGCCTGAAAAACCGTCTCCTTGATACGTATCGCCATAGCCGTCTTGGAAACCGCCTTGGCCTTGACCATCCTGGAAACCACCACCTCCACCTGCTGCGCCCGGCCCACGATTCTTCCGGCCACCGCCAAACAACCGGGAGAAGAAACTGGGTTTGTTCGAGGGCTGGCCGCCGCCGGTGCTGTACCCGTTGTCGTATCCACCACCATTGCCATAACCCTGAGCGCTATCCCCATACCCTTGACCACTATCACCGTAACCCTGGCCGCTATCTCCGTACCCCTGAGCACTATCCCCATACTCGCCACCCGGCCCCTTAGCAGGCCCAATAAACAACCCCGCAAGCCAACCCCTCTTCTTCTTCTTCCCACCCTGCTGCTGGTTCCCATTCCCACCATCCATCGGGTACTCCCCATTCATATCCTGGCCTTGGCCCTGACCAAGGTCCCGGTTGTCCTTCTTTCCTCCACCAAACAAACCCGCAAACCACCCAGTCTTTTTCTGTTTCTGCTGCTGCTGTTGATCGGCTGGTGGTAGCGGGTTACCGTGCTCATCAACAGCCATCTGGTCGTCTGCAAACCCTGCTTCGCCGAGGGGAGCGTCAGGGTCGAGGTTGTCGCCGTCGCGGAATTGGTTGTCTTGGAGCCCATCGTCTGGGAACTGCCCGTCCGCGAACTGTCCGTCTTGGAACTGTCCGTCCTGCAATTGTCCATCCTGAGCCTCGAGATCCGGCTCCTTCTTCTCACTCCTAAACATCGAAAACAACCCGCCCTTCTTCTTCTTCTTTGCATCCTCCGCTTCCTGCTGCTCCTGCAACTCATCCACATCTTCCCACTGCCCTTCCTGATCAGCTGCAAGTCCATCCGCATCGACCACCCCATCCTGCGGCTGCAGTTGCACCTCATCCCCAGGCAACTCGACCACATCACCCGCTGGCATCCCATCCGCCGTCACAGCCGCTGCTGCTTCTCCCTCCCTCTGTCCATCCACACCCTCTTCCCCATCCTTCTTCCCATCCCCGTCCTTGTTATCCTTATCCTCTTTCTCCTTCTTCCCAAACAGTTTGGAGGCCAACGCCCCAAAACTAAACCCAGCCCTCTTCAAATTCGCAGCATGATAATCCTCCTCCAACTCCTCAATCCCCCACCCCAGCGTCGCCGTCGCCATCACAGGCAACAACCACTGGAACTTCTCCTTCTTATGCACCCTCCCCGCGCCCAGCCCCGGAGCATG